AGGAGGAATGAGCTATAGCCACGGGTGGATACGACATGTGTAGTGTCGTTGCGGGTGTAGTGGGACGTGCTTTGCATTACGGTGGTGACGGGGTTCAGCGTGGAGCGTCGCTAGGTGTGGGTAGGGATGTAAAGGGGGCAGTGGTCGTTGACAGAGAAACACGGGTGCAGAAAGTAGGGGGGGGGGGGGATGGAACGCGGGCGTGCCGCTCACGCGTTGGGTTTCTGCAACAACCTCAGATTGACAGTGGTGTTTTTCCCGGTGCTGCCGCTGTTGTTGCTGTGTTGCTGATTTGTTGGTAGTCAAGGGATGCGCGCATCGAGAAAGGGCCCTTCTCCACATTCCGGTGGTTGCTGCCCTCTTGTATTGCGGCTTAGGGGGCGGAGCCGGGGGGGGGTGTCACTGCTTTCATCGGCGTGCACATGCTTTGTGGATGGCGTGCATGCAGGCGAGGGAGTTGGAGGAGCAGAGGAAGGCAGAACAACAGGAACGTATGCTAAGGGCTAACCCTCTGCTGCTTAATCAGGGAGGTTCGGGGCAAGAAGGAGGAGACACTGGTCCGCTGAAACGGCGGTGGGATGACGAGGTCGTCTTCAAGAACCAAGCCAAGAATCTGCCAGCGCCAAAGAAACAGTGAGAGGCTTTTTGTCGGTGCACGCGGCGCACGGGTGGCTCAAGGGGGCTTGCCGGCGAGCAGCTCGCTTTCCTGCAACGCGGCCATTAAGGAAGGCGCCTTGCTAATTTGTGTGTGGCAGTCCAAAGGCAGCTCTCCGCGAAAAGCGGTGTAGAATGTGCTTTTCAGCATACGGGAAAGCATCTTTGTAGGCACCAGGGGTGTGCGTTTGGCTTGGCAGCTGGCGGGGGTCCTTTGGGGAGCGGAGCTGTTATAGCTCGTTGCTTGCTTTCAATGCACCCATGTATGTATATGTAATGTGTGAATGTGTGGATTCTTGTGTATCGTTATTGACTGCAGCTTCATCAACGACCCCGTGCGCAGTGAATTCCATAAGAAATTCCTTCAGCGCTACATTGACTGAAGGGGATGTCGCCCTCCCTCCTCCTCAGGTGTCACCGCGAATCCTCCTTCTCGGTCTTACTAGCCTTGTTCATAGCTGCCTTGCCTTGGACGCCTGTAGGCCTCTTGTAAGTGCGCAGCAGCTTGAAGGCAAAGCCTTCAGGTGTGGAGGAAGGACGGCGAACGGGAGTAGCTAACGGAGCAAAGTGCGCTCGAAGCCGGTTTAGTCCCTGTGCAAGTTGTGATGCAAGTAAGAGAAATGCACCGAGATAACGGCTTCCAAAGCAGCCCCCTTCTGCACGCAGGAGGTCGAATTTGTGTTAGGGGGGTGGAGTCGCCTCTGCAGCCTGCGATGCGACTGTGTTGTGGTGCTCCGGGGAAAATGGGAAGCAGAAATCAGCTTACTGTTTTGCGGTAGAGGGCTTTTTGTAGAGCATATGGTGTAGCGCACAGCTCCGAAAATAGAGCGGCGCTTCGCATTGGAAGTAGACCTCAGCCTTAAGTTTGGCATGCCTAAGAATTCCTATGAAGGCACGCGCAAGCAGCCTTCACTCCTCAAATTGAGCTGGTGTCGGTTCACTGGCTGCCTGAGCACGTACCGCACAGCGCGTCGCCCCGAGTATGCGGGCAGGCGATTGTAGTGCAGCTAGAGCAGCACTCGACGGCGCTGCTAGAACGTAACACTCCACATAAAAGGCCTCCGCAGAAAGGCGCTCAAAACTTGACTTCGTACAAACTGGCTAGAGCTATAAATTGCGTATTCATTGAAAGGGACCCCTGCTTCCTCTGCCCGTGCTCCTCCGCGATCCCATATGAGCAGAGAAGGACAGAGAGGGGAAAACGCGTTGCTCCATCATATAGACACTGTGAGCCTTCGCAGCTTGCTGCATGGGGCGGCTGCCGCACACCCACAAAACACATGCGTCTTCTGGTATTGCGCCAAGAGCACTTTGCAGCAACTTTGATATACAAGAAACCCTTCCACCATTTGGTCGTTTCAAGAAGTATTGTGGGAGTAAGCATAAAGCCAGTGCAGTACACAGTGCTTGGGTGTAGGTGGTGCAGTCCGCTAAACAGGGCCCAGGCCAAACTCCCCGCCCCCTCTACGCACAGGCAGCTGGGTGGCACTGGTTTCGTGCGACTGCTAGCGATGACTTGTAGCAGATAAGATGTATTTATGCGGTGGCAAGGGGCTCTGCTCTGCGTGTTTTAGCCCTCCTGCGTAAGAAGAATGCACTGGGATCGCTCTAGGAGGCGCTCGGGTGTCGGGAGCGCGCGTGTCTTGCACCGGTTTTTCTGCAGACGAAGCGTATACACCTGCTGGCAGATATTGCACGAGCCAGGAATCCTTGAATTGGGCGTCAGTCGCTCGCTCTAGAGAAACTGGAGGCCGAGGAGGCCCTTCGAGCCGAGATGATGCCCAGCGAGTTCAGCTCCACCAAGCTCCAGGTTGTTTGTTGGGAAGAAATGAGTATTTCGGCCACCCAGAAATAGGTTTTGCGCAATTTGGTGCGCGTATTTATGTGTTATTTCTGCTCACCCTTCCACACTTTCGTCAGAGGCCTCCGTCGAACGAGCAACCCTCTTCGGAGTTACATCATGCCCGGCAGCCAAGGGCCCCCCTACTACAAAGAGGCCCCTCGTCCTTCGTCTGGACGCACTCTCCGGTTGCTTCTCTGAGTTATGCCCATTTTCGAAGAGCGGTGTTAACTCTACGGCGGAAGTCTGTCCGAGTGCGAGTGAGGGTGCAGAAACGCTTCTGGCCGCAGTATCGACGGGGGCTGGTTTACGCAACCAGGCGCCTCCCCGCGCATCCGATCAGCACTCGCCCTGTTAAGCCGCGTCTTCTTCTACAGAAAAAGCACAGGCTGACATGTACAGAATATGGTTTCAGAGCAGGGGCCGCTGCTGGAGCGTAATATGGTGCCCCAAATGGGGTGGCGCCTTGTGGGAGAAGGCGGTCAGCACTTTGTTTTCGCAAACAGCAGCTGTCCAGGGGTTGTCGTAAAGTTTCGGAAAGTCAACTGCTCGTGCCGCTGGCTGCTCACTGCCCAGGTGTATGTACACCTGCAGCGGCTCCAGCAGCGCTGGTTGCAGCAGACCAGCAGCCACAGGGCAGCCGGTTCAGAAATGCGCGCGCATTTGCCTGTAAAAGGCTGCATAACGCCTCTTTCCCATTCTCCTTGCAGCATGCCGCATGAAACGGCCGCCATTTACGGCAAGAAAGGCAGCAAGGGCGTCCTCCACGGAAGCATTCATCGCGCCAAGGGCATCCAGGGCAGCACAGTCGGTTTTTTCAAAACAACTGATCGCCTGCGAAACAGGCGAAAAACGTTTTCAAGCGGCTTTGCTGCGGATCGGGGTGCTGTAGGGCCCCTGATGCAAATTCAGAGAGACACCCTGTGGAGGCAGCCAACCCTTTTCGCCAAGCTCAGAAGTCTCGAAAGCACGAAGAGACGCTCTCCGACGCGTCTCATTCGTCTTGAGGTGTCGAGACACCTTGATGGCAACAACTCCACAGGCCGCTGGATACGTAGATCTGGAGTCAAGGCGGAGGTCTGTGCTTCCCGAGAATCCTTTGCACCACAGGCACAGACGAAGCTCGCCTTTCCCCCTCCCACCCTTGCGCGCCTCGGCATCAATCCCGCAAAATCTACCCGTCTAGCAGCAGTTCGAAGCGTGCCGTCAGGAGGCGCCAGATCTCTTGCAGGAGACGTGCGACAGACACCCACCTTCTTCGGTCTACCGCTGGAAAACGTCGAGCTACAGAGAGTGGGATCTGCTCCTGTAGAGGTGCTGCAGCAGTTTTCTTCGCTTGCAGGGAGCGTCGCTGGAATACTCACGGGCAGAGCTTCACAAGACACGTGCACGACCCCCCAGGCAGCATGTGCAGTCTCCTTGCAGTGCGCGCGAAACTTGAAGGCAGCCGCGGCAGACGCATCCCCTTCCCCTCCCGACGCTGGATCGGATGGCGCTGGCACGGCTAGCTCTGCTCGCGCGAATCGCGGCGGAGCCACGCAGTATGCGCCTTCTCTGGATTCAGAGAAGCTTCATGCTGTCTGCGCCTGCTGCGGAGAGGCCCTCTGGCACAGCCTGCATCGCACGTCGTGCACTGGACTGCCACGCACTTGTCTTTTCTGCGGTCTTCTCCTCGCGCGCTCACCCCCAGCCCCTTCAGCAAGAGCGCAGGAGGAAGCCTCCCCCGTAGCCGCCCATGCCGGACCGCAGTTCTGTAGCTGCAGCATGCATGCATCTCAAATGGTGCTTGCGGCGTGCTGCTGCAGGCGGTGTGTCTGTTGCGCCGTCGAAACAGACCTTATCGGCATCCCTCCAGCCTTGCTGAGGCCGCTTTCTCCGCGGGAGGGCTCCACAGAGCTTCCTGGCGAGCTGGCGTCTCTCCGAGATGCTGCAGTGTGTTCGCGAAAGGGTTATTCGCCTACATCGGCAGCAGCAGCAGCCACAGCAGCAGCTCAGCCGTCGGATGGCTCACCCCTAAGCACGCCTCTGCGCTATGTGTGTATCGAGCTCAAGCCGAAATGCGGCCTCCCCGAAGTTCCTAAGGGCTTTCCGAGCAGGTTCGCGATGCATCAAGAGTACAAGCAGCAGCAGCAGCAGCAGCAGCAGCAGCAGCAGCAGCAGCAGCAGCAGCAGCAGCAGCGGCAGCAGCAGCGCGAGAGAGAGTCGCCGCTTGCATGCGCATCCCGCCGCTCTGCGTTCGCGCCACAAAAGTTCTTTGCAGGCATCGGCAGTGCTGGACGTGGGCTGTACAGACAGTTGCAGCGCCTACAGGACGCTCCGCAAAACAACTTGCGCGTCTTTGTCGACGGGGAGCCCACAAATGTTGCTTCAAAAGGGCTCAGCTTTCCGCTTTCCCGCTTCCCCTGCAGCTGCCAGCATGGAGAAAGCTGCGCTGAGCTCGCAGGCGGCGGCAGCGGCGTAGACTTGGAGCGACTGCTGGTGGAGACGCTTGCGCAGCACTGGAAGCTTTTCGCTGGTCTGTTGAGGCTGCAAGCGTTTGCTGCCGGCCAGCATCACGTCGCACAGCAGCTGCTCAGCCATCTGCTCACACTGGGAGCGCAGCAGCACGTCACGCCACGGCGCAAGCAAGCACCTAGCTCCTTAAGCCGAGCTTCCCCGTGCAGACGCGGCTCAAGAACGGCAGCTGTAGCAGCTGTAGCGGCAGCAGCACCAAGGGAAGCGGCTTCCCTAGCAGACGGCGGAGCGCAGGCTGCGAGGAAGCGTCTCGAAGGGGCCTTGACAGAGGGCAGAGGAGCGCTCACACGGTTTCATGGAAGATCGTTCGCTCCATACAACGATGGCGAGCTGGAGGGCAGCTCAAGCAAGACATACGAAGAGCAAGAGATCTGCCGCGCCTCCTGGCTAGTGCTGCAAAATTATCTCGAAGTAAAAGTCTACGAAGAGTCTCTTGCATGCCCGCAATGCGATTCGCGAACTTCTACGTCTAGGCAGCTGTCTGCTGCTTCTCAGCCTTTTTCTGATGGCACCCTGCTGAAGCCTACGTCAGACCATCGTAGAGGTCACGTAGTGCTCCCGACTTGCATGCGCATTTCTAGCGTCTCTTGAAGCACTCCCCGCGCCGTGTGCTGCTGTGCGAGTGAGTGACGTTCAGGCTTTTGAAGAGCTACTGCTGCCGTCCCCAGAATTCTTGCAGTCATATCGCTCCTCCAGACGCTTGGTGAAAGAGGTGCAACGGCAGCACTGCGCAGGTAACCGCCCATGCTTCACCACATTAGACGCTGCCTGATGTTCTCCACCCTTCTACGACCTAGAGGCTGGGCTTCTGCAGCTTCGGTGCAAGGCGCGCGCGATTTTCGAGAAAGCGCTTTCGTGGTTGAGCCCGCCAAGGCACCGCCTTCTTGTTCGCTGCGCTTGGCGTCGATGCACCTTGCATGCACCCTGTGTCTCGCTCGTGTGTGCATCTAGTCATCTTCATGTTCCCTCCTAAGCGAGGTCAGCAGCATCTGTGCGTACAGGCGTTGCTGCAAGTTCACAGGTCCCTCCTGTGATCTGAGCACCCTGCGTTTTTTTCGCGCCTGAGCGCTCCCCGCTTTGCTTCTATGGTTTGCGCAAGAAGACGGCATGATTCATCGTTTGTCTCGCACTCGAAATCAGAAGCAGTAGAGCTCGTCGACGCACGTGGCTGCCTCGGAGGCTTTACTCGCGGCACACGGATGCTCGGTAGAGGCGCTTTAGGGGACAGCAGCTTGTGAAGCAGTGCGCGCAGCTCAATGCATGCCGTCTACCAACGGAATCTGCTGCATGTATGCGTTTTCGCACCGCAGCGGGACGGAGCCTTCTGCGGTTTTTCCACCGAGACGTTGTTTACGGTGGTCATCTCCAGGGATTTAGGAGGCTACGCAGAAGCGTCCATCGAATATTGTTGAAGAGGGCTGTGCAGCGGTGGCTCTGCCGCTTCCTTCTGGGCCGGAGCGCAATGGATGTTAGCATCCTCATCAACTTCGCAATCTTCCCTTCCTGTGAGCACAGTTCTGTTGGTTTGCACCGGCCTGCGTGCTCGTGCATCTTGCAGCAGGCTAAGCACGCATCGGGTGGTGCTCTACTTTATCCATGAGGCCATGCTGCTCTTCGATGCTCAGTGAATGACATCGCGTTCTCACTTTCACTCTTAGAACTGAAATAGGTCTTGGTGCACTGAACTGCGCTAGTAGGGCTACCAGGAGTTCTCTTCCGATTCGGGTGCCATCTGTCTTGACTCCTTGAATGCACATCATCAGACACTGCCTTTTCTGCTGAGTGCTGGGCCGTGTGCTACCTGTTGCCATTTCCTTGAGCAGCGTATTCGCTCTTCGATCGCTGTGTCGCCTCTTTTCCAGCAGTTTGCCAATCCCTGTCTGTGTGTCTGTGTGTGCCTTGCGCACGCTCTCCCTCCTGCTTCACAGGTCATCGCTCTCAGCGATCAGCTTGTTCTGCTGTCTGTACACTTCTGTTGCTGCATTTTTGTGCTTTAATGGTCTCCAGTCTTCACTAAACTATCCCCTGTTCCACTTGCACTGTGCGTATACGCAGGCAGATCGCAGGAGCTTCCGCTGACTTTGCTGGAGGAACACGGCTTTCGTGCACTCCCTGGTGCCTCCGCGGCATGTGGAGCTCCTCTTTTTGTGCTGCAGAGGCTGCGTCTTGTCGATTTTGATTTCAAGCCTTTGGCTAAGATTCCACTGTGCGTCTTTTCATATTACCTTTTCTGGCAGCTGCTTCTCTCTGGATGGGTGGCGTACTGCAACAGCGAACTGGTAGCCCTTTTTGTGCTGCAGTTTTGTTAGATATTTCGCAGAGCAGCGCAGCAAGGCTTCGTTGTTTTGTCTTCGTTCGTTGACTCTTTCCGTCCTTCCTCTGCGCACTGTGTTTCGCAGATGGGCTAAGCATATGGAGGAACTTTTTGCGATGCACAGGCAACGCCTGGGTCGTAGTACTTTTGCGGACTAAGCACACTTGAAAAAAGCCCTCCTACAATTCACTTGATTGTGATGTTGGGCAATGAAACGAAAACTACGCGAGGTCCCTGGGCAGACGACGGAGACTAGTGCCAGACGTTATCTCGTAAGCGTGCAACCCAATGAACAAAGTTTTCTCAAGCCCTCCTAGTAAGCTTAGAAGATCGTTTTTGAAGCTGGATTGATTGAACATGCTGCACGCTGAGGTCGGTGCAGCGACTTCCGGAACTGGGGCGGATAAAGTTCACTTGGCGCTTAATTTTGCTTTTTTGTTTCCACACGCAGGTCAGTCGTGCCTCTAAAGAACAAGTGCAATACATATGTGCTTGGAATCGTTTCGGGACAGCTTGGAAACATGGATTACGAGCGCGTCTGAGTCTTGTTGATAGATTTTGTGTCTGCCTGCACCCAAGTGCCTACAGACGATTTGCGAGGCTTGCAGGGGCGTGTAGCGATGCCGTAGACCCTCCCCATGGGAGTTGGTCTGCTGCTGCAATAACAACCAGAGGGCGGCATCTATCCAGCTGTCTGATTTCCTAGTGAAAAATGTTCCGTTATTTTTTGTTACAACCCATCGCTCTAAAATCACGCCGTTCTTCATCAGGAGGCCGAAGCAAGGAAAAATCCTTGGGCCGCTCGCTTCGCTTTCGTCAGCCCAATGCTGTGCGAATAGAGAAGACGCCTATGACAGAATGTGCTAAGGAAACGAGGGTACTTCCGACTCCAGTGTAGGGGAAGTCTGACATCAAGCCATTTTTATCGTGGCTGCAGGCTGTGATTCTGTTTTTCAGCACTCTGGAATCGCGTGGCACGACTTATCTAGACTACCGAAAAGCCATGTAGGCCAAGGGTAAAAGGGTCAATATGCTGGGGGATTGACACTTAGATTTGTGCTAAACCAAAAAGTTAGCTTGACCGGAGGCCGAAGTACAATAAACATTTCATTGATGTATGTGTAAGTCTGTACATATATGGAAACGAATCTTACCGTGATCCTTTTACATGCGAATTGACTAAAACTTCATGGCGCAATTCATGCTTCGTACGCGATAATTGGCTACAAGCCCACTATAGTAGTTGCCTTTCGAAGATTTTCCATTCTTCACCTCCTGGAAGAAGAACCTCTGTCTCTACCGCATGATATGGTTAGGTCTGGATTGGAAGAACACTTCAAATAGGGGATAATGAGCATCTGGCCTGCGGAATATTCTAACCAAAGTGAAGAGTAGAATTAGCACCTCCCAGTAGTTGAGCAGTATCATTGCACAAACTGCATAGGTGCACTTAAAGATGTCGTCGTACCGCTTGGATCCATCCAGCACGAACGGTGCAAAATTGAAGAGAATCATGAAAACGATTCCCAGTGGCTTATTACATGTCTCCTTGTAAAGATGAAGAGCTCCAGAGCCAGGCCCTTTGCTATGAAGCCCTTCCAGGACGGGAGGTCAGAGGAATATACACGGCCGGGGCATACAGAAAAAAATATTGCGAGATATGTCTTCGAGGCAGCTCTCTTCAAGAGCTTATATCTGTACAGGAATGTTTTTAAGAGCGCGAACGCCTTGGTCGTAGGTGTCGTGCAGAAGGTAGGGGCTCCGTCTTACCTTGGATACTGCCGCACCACTAGATGCAGTTGCCAAGGAATGATATGACGCATCACGAGGTCCTAGGTACTGCCCACTTCGAGGCTCACTTTACACGCCTTTCATTGAAGGTGCAAGCCTAAAACTACAGGGCGAGACGACCTTCTAGGGCACAACCACAAATAGACTAAGTTCAATGCAAAGCCTCTATTTCCTGTAGGGGGTTTTGGGGGTGACCGGAGACTACGAACGAGAAGGAGTTGCGTCCTCCTTTTGTGATAAAATGTTTTTGTTTTACATAGCTGTGTGTGCAACAAAGTGCACTGCAATTGTCGCCTCATGCGGGCTTCTCCCTGAATGGCACATTCAGCCGTCTACATACATATATGTATACACACATGTATTTGTGGGTAGATATTTCGCTGTTTCTTCAGCGGTATCACTCACACTCTCTTGCCCCTACTAGGCAGTATTATTAGCTGCGTATCACCCTAAGATACATTACCCATGATTGCGAAGAGGAGTCCTCTGTTCAATACCTATGTAGCTTCACAGCCCAGATAACCAGGTGTATACGAAGTGGAAAGTGCCGCATGCAATATATTGCCTTACTCTAAATGTACAAACGAGCAGGCATAAAGACAAGCGTTTGACGGAGATGGGTGTAGAAAGTGCTCCTTTAGTATAATAAGCATTTCACTTTGCAGCACTGGCCCGAGAGTAAAAGCCAGCTTATGTATTCTTGCCAGCATCTAGCACTTTTGTGTTCGAGCTCACATTGTTCACATGGCACACGACAGTTGGGAACTTTTGAGGTTCTAAACCGGTGAATCAAGCCGCTCAAGACACGAGTACGTCGTGGTGACTCGTTATTTAAGCAGATTATTTGAACGCATCAGCAGAGCCGGCATCCCCTGCAGGCGCAAACCGTCGGTGCACCTGGGAAGTCAAAACTAGGCACATTTTTATATACTAGTCATATTTAGTAAAGTGACGATCTATTTTTTTCATAAACAGTTTGTTTTTAGGGTAGCGTTAGCTCAACGCAGTGAGAATGGATGTTGTACGCATGTACATATATACACATGTTAGTCGTGGATGTTCGCAGTGCTTCAGGGGTGCAGGTACGCACACCATAGCTATCCTTCTCCCATCTTTTTCAAATCCTGAGGGAAGAAGCCAGGAAAGAGAGAAAGTTTATGAGGAATAGCACTCAATAGCCTACCATCAAGTTGATGCTGAGGCTAAAGCAAAGTGTCTCCCTAGGGAGAACAAAGCAGGAACATTAGTGGAATGTTGTCCACGGATACCATGCAATATGTACTGCCCGAACTCCACACAAGCTGCGCTTAGTACATTATAATCCCACAGACAAAGTACATCAAGTTTTGGCCATTGATCCTAGTTGGTTCAGGTTTTTCAAGTTGATTCGACTGCTCAACTTGCACTGCGACCTAAGCCAAGCTGCTGCGTATACCAGCCCACGAAACCAATGAGCACGACCAGAGGCTAATGCATAAACTGGGCTGGCCATTATTTGGCATCTAAAAAATGCAATGACTCCGTATTTTTTTTCACTAAGAATACATATATTGGTAGCCCTTCACTTGTGGTCTCTTCAGGGAGACACGTAGCTTTTGGCTTACTACAAACTGAATAGAAAACTATCGAGCAGTTGTTTGAAAGAGCTTTCTTCTTCCCTGGCTTTGCCCCCAGGGTTCTCTACATGAGGAAAGAAGTAAAGCTAGGGTGGACGTTGCTGCCCCCACTAAATGCAGCGAGCCTTCACACCTACTTCCAAACACAGTTGAGTTGACATTGCTCTGCAATAAAAAGGGAAACAAACAGCTTAACCAATCTGTCCGTTCTCTGCTCAACTTGAATAAAATTTAGTCCGTTGTAGAAAATGCCCAGATGTGACTAAACCCTCAATGCCCACATTTAGCCGGTTCCGAGCTCATGCTCTCATCTAACCATAGAGCACAAATCTCTCGTGGAACAGTACTCAGTCATTTAGTCACCTGAAAGGTTGCCTAATTGCAATGGAACACTTTAGAGACGATACTGCATCATTGGACTACGCGGTGACTCATGGCACTCCAGCATCAGGAGGCAGTAACACGGGGCAAAGAAAGGCGAGATACAAAAACGAGAAGGTCCATTACATGTTCTCCTGGATACTCAGAGTAATAAAACGCGCAGGGTTGGCGTGCTGTTTTGCGGGGCGGCTTACCTTGGTGGCTACTATCGTTCGTGGGGCGACCCTGAGCGTCGCCGCGGCTACTGTAGTGCATGCAAAGCGAGAAAGGGTTCAGGAGTTTTTGACTTCGGCGTTGTAGGGTTTAGGGTTACGGCTCCTTCAAAGCTCCTCGTCTTGCTTTTTCTCCGGTAGGTTGCACGGTCTCTAATCAGCAGGACGCTTGGTGCTGCAGTCCTGTTTTCTCAGGGCTCTGGATTCATGCAGCATTTCATTCCAAGTGTGATCTTTGCTCACCCGCGGAGCAAGTTCTGAAATCTTATTTAATGCCCTTGCTGATGGACGCTTTACTCTAGGGCCAGGCCATTGCGTTTCCGGACTTTTTGCCAGACTCGGGGAGGCTGGCATCCCGCCGCCTCTGTAGGAGCCACAGGGCCAGACAATCCTGTGAAACCAGCACGACGCCGATCTTGACATCCTCTTGATCATACGGCGGTTGTACCGTACAACAATACATCCGTCTTTCTTCGCTAACCTGTGTTAGGGCCGCCGCTTCGCTGCTCTTTCCGGGTCCGTGCTGCGTTCAAGGCCGGAACAACGTGGTCAGCAGGTGCACACACGAGTAGTTTGGTAGCGGCGTTTCAGAGTTGCTGTGAAGATGACGGACCTAGATCAGTCAATCGAGCAATGGAAGATCAAGCAGCTCATCAAGACACTCCAGGCGGCGAGAGGGTGCGTTCCAGCCTTGATATCCTGCCTGCCTATTCCTTAGGGCGAGCCTTCACTCTTAATGCGCATGCGTTATGTCATCCTTTTGAAAACTCCGCGTAGCCTGTATGCATTATATATGCCTTCTGCATGCCCACATGATCGGTTGTGGAACCAGCAGTGCTTTTTTTTGTATACGATACGGGCTGCTTTTCTCAGCAATGGGACCTCCATGATCAGCCTCGTAATTAAGCCAAAAGACGAAGTAACACGCATCAGTAAAATGCTTGCTGATGAGTTTGGGACAGCCTCCAACATCAAGAGCAGAGTCAACCGCCTCTCCGTCCTCTCTGCGATTACATCCACACAGCAGAGTACGAAGCCACCTCTCTATTCCCCCGTATCGCCAGATGCTTCTAAGCGAATTGTGAAATAGTGAATCTTAGCATGCGATTGCCGCTGTTTGGGGCACGGCCATTCATGCATATATGCCTCCGCTGTTCCCCTGGAGGCTGCGCATCGGCGACTTGAAACGTGTTTCGTGGTGGTCGTGCAACACTTGTTCATTCAGGGCTAAAGCTGTATAATCGGACACCTCCCAATGGTCTGGTAATTTACTGCGGGACAGTTATGACAGATGACGGCAAGGAGAAGAAAGTCAACATTGATTTCGAGCCTTTCAAGCCCATCAACACGTCCCTGTACCTGTGCGACAACAAGTTCCATGTCGAGGTCAGCAGGCTGCGCCTTCTTTGCCAAGCTGAACAGCATGTGTTTGTGAAATGCCTGAATACTAAGCTGCGCAAAACAATTTTTTGTGCTTCGGCGAGTGCAGGCCCTTTCTGAACTGTTGGAGTCGGACGCAAAGTTTGGCTTCATCGTAGTGGATGGTAACGGTGCCCTTTTCGGAACTGTCCAGGGGAATACGCGCGAGGTGCTGCATCGGTTCACGGTAGACCTTCCAAAGAAGCATGGCCGTGGTGGTCAATCTGCCCTCCGGTGAGAGTTAGCCATCCTGGAACGTGGTTCACCCTACCCGGATGATGAAACTCCGTGTTGCTGTTTTTTTCTAGTGATTCGATAAGCGTGGGCAACGCAGGACAAATGTGGCACGCTTGAATTTCCGCGATAAATTTTTGGTGGATTCGCATGTTCACGAGTTCCCCACGCAGCTCCCTCCGTCATCTTCTCATGTTGCATCCGCCTTCAGTTTCGCGCGCCTGCGCATGGAGAAGAGGCACAACTACGTCAGGAAGGTTGCAGAAACGGCAGTTCAGATGTTCATTACCCAAGATAAGGTATGTATGCGGATCCAGCAAACTTACCGGTCAACGTTCGCTATTATCTCATGGCGACACTCACTCATCGTGGCGCCGTCCTCGCCCATGCTCGTAGTAATGGCAATAACGCTGGTGGTGATGCACTCTTAGGGTGAGGCATGGTGACGTAGGGAGACGCAAATGCGCTGAAGATGGCAGGAAATCCACTATTCATGTACTGTTGGACACGCATCTGCGGCGTTGGCTTGTAGGTCAATGTTGCTGGACTGGTTCTGGCGGGTTCCGCGGACTTCAAGAATGACCTGGCGCTGAGCGACATGTTTGACCAGCGGTTACAAGTGAAGGTTTTGAAGATCGTTGACGTGTCGTATGGTGGAGACAACGGCTTCAATCAAGCCATTGAACTTGCATCAGAAACGTAAGTTGCGGGAGGAGCCTGGTGGGACTTTCCCCGTTGATCGTGCTTGGCCAGGTGGCGGTTTTGTTGCTTGCGCGGTTGTACCTTTTTACTCAAGTAGCGTATTTGAACAGAAGAAAGTTGTTCTCAGAGCGAAATGCGTGCCAGCGCCTGTTGAATTCAAGTACTCTACCCCTCTCGTATTGTTTTATTCATTTATTCCTTAGAAATGAAATGTTGTGGGACTGCTGTCTTGCTCCTTTTCAGGTTGCAGAATGTAAAGTTCATTCAGGAGAAGCGTCTGATCGGCCGCTTCTTCGAAGAGGTTGCTCAGGACACTGGAAAGTATGTGTTTGGTATTTCTGAGACACTGCAAGCCCTAGAAATGGGCGCAGTCGATATCCTCATAGTGTATGAGGCGTTGGACACCCTAAGGTGAGAAGAAGCAACATTCCTCTCGCTCCTCTCGTGCTGATAATGTAGGCTGTCGCGTCTGCGGACTGGATGTTGGGCTCTCTGGGAAAAGGGATACTTTGTTCGCAGATGAGATGGCCACGGCGTGGGCTTGGTGTTCGCTGCCATGAGAAATTTGCTTGTGTATTCGAAAGCTGTGCCTGCACACCTGGCAATTTACTGTTGTTACACACGAGTTTTCAGGATCACGTTGAAGAATCAGACAAGCGGGGAGGAGAAAGTTGTGCATGCGAGCCCTGAGGAAGCCCGCAAGGACTCGTTCTTCAAGACAGATGAGGGTGACGAGCTCGAGAATGTTGAACAGCAGCCCTTGACGGAATGGATCGTTAACAACTACAAAAACTTTGGGGCGAATCTCGAGTTTGTAACGAACAAGTAGGCCGCACCAAGCGTCTCGTTCGCCGACCCGTGGGAGCCGCTGCTTCATCCAATGAATTACGAACAACTGACCCCGCTGTAGCTCTCACTGTGTGCCTATAGTTGACGCAGCCTGAAAGATGACTAGAGGACCCACATGAGAGTCTGGCGTTGCGCTAGTGGCTGTAAATGTATCGGGAAGGCAGCATTGACCGGACTGCGTGAACTGCGAGTGTTGTTTCCCTGCTTTTCGCGAGTGCCATACGCAGTGCTGACATTTTGTGTTTCAGGTCTCAAGAGGGCTCTCAGTTTGAAAAGGGCTTCGGTGGCCTCGGAGGCATTCTGAGATACAAAGTGGAGTTTTGCGACGAGGAGGAGCCAGCGCACCTCGATGGGGATGAGGAATTCATCTAAATGGCCGCCACACCCCTGTAATTTGTATTCTAGTAGACTTGAGCAGGTTTTCGTGCTCCAGCTGGACTTGTGGCCTCGGTTGCTGCAGCTTTTGCGTTGAGCAGCCGCGACAATACACAGAAGTCGCGGCATAGAAAAATGCATTCCAGCGTAGCAACAGATCCCAAATGCCTATACGTGAGACGCCTCTTCAACCCTACGATAGAGACAGGTACTCGACATATAGTGCATGCCGCCTCTCTCCCTACTACCGTATAGTTTGACGGGAAGATGGGCCATTCAATATGGACAACACGAGCCCAAAACCAACAACAACGGCAGCAGCAGTACTGATAACAAGAGAATACTGAATTGGAAGGGCCTCTGGGGAAGGGAGGAGGAGACCCCTCCAGCGACAACAGGGGAGAAACCTATCCGTTCCAGCGCAGCTGCGGAGACGGATTTTCGGTAGTGCCTCAGTACGAATTAGAGAATTGCGTGCTTGCTGCAACTGTTTGGTTTTATTACATTACAGATTACCCTTTGAGGTCGCGCCATTGGTTGGTCCCCAAAGCGTATGCCGTAACGCTCCTATCAGTCTCCGTAGGCAAAAACGTAACCTCTGACGCAGTACAAATTTGGTAAAAAATGGAGTTCGCTTAACGGAACTCTCTGCCTCTCGTGCCTGAGCCCCCCTTAGTCTCCGATATGAAATGAGACAGCTGAGTTGCTAGCAGCGCTACCTTCTTAGCACTCTGAGCATTCACAGCTAGTTGCAATATGCAGCTCGGGCACACGCACGTACTGTCCTTCCCAGTTGAGCCACTGGCAGCATTCTGCAATAAGTGAGATATACTAATACCAAACCACTTTGTCCATTCTTTCCAATTCTTGATTACTACAACCGCCATAGCGAAAACCTGTTGGAATGGAGCTTGGCCCGTCTCAAAGGCGCCAGCACCTAGCATCCCCTCATTCGTAGCTGCTTATGTACTAGAATAAAAAAAGCTTTTTCCGGGCTTCCATTAACGTCCCACTGCCAAGATCGTCACTTGGAAGCAGTCGAACAGCGAGCAGGGGCCTGCGTTTGTACATGCCAACGCTAGGGAAGTTGAGATAATATATTGGAATAACCATAGTTCAGCCATCAGCTTGTGTTCTGGAGCAAAACCCAGGAGTGCTTTCGGCTACCGAAGCCTAGTTGACTCCGACAGCAGCTACCTCCGGGGGAGTGTACCCTACCTGTTCGTCGTTTCTGTTGCTCAGAGGATTCTGATTAAGAAGAATCAGTCGCTACGGGAAATAGAACCTGGCATCGCCAAGTCTGGTGTACGTGACGGAGAGCAAAAAACAACATTAGTGGACTCACAGGCAGGTCTAAGAAAGAAGAGGGTGGTAGAGGCGGTTTCAGCGATCATGGCTTTGGAAGCTTCTGCAGGGGGATTCACCGGTCGTATCCTTCTGTAGTGTCTAATTCGGAGCCATACAAGAATTATCAACGCGGAAATGAAATAGGCTAGCGGTGTTCCCATCTCTAGAGCGCTTCATTTATCTTTGAGTTGATTTAAAAGCGATATGGTGTTGGTTCCGAGACGTGTCTCGTGTGCTCGCCTGTCTTGTCCAGTGCACCCCGAATTCATTTGTTGCATAGTGCAGCAAAATATTCTTGAAACTCCTTGCTTCTATGTTTTTTACTACACAATTCAACGCTGACATCGGGAACATTTGTTGTGCTTCGTCGCTTCCTTCGCTTTGTTTCTTTTTTCAGTCAGCATGGGGCAAGCTACACACGCCGAGGAGGTGGGCGGAACCATTCTCCTATTGAAATCTTCGTTATTGCTTGTTACTCCTTTAAAACCAGAAACATTGCAGTATTATCTACCAAGAATCACTAATTCGATGCCTTGTTGAAGACCTATTTTAGGCGCAATTGCGTGCTGGCGAGGCGTTCAATACACACAACACGGATTTCTGGGTGCGCAGGCCACTGAAATGCTCAAAAAAGAAGATGTAGAAACACCTGTAACCATGCTCCCGCCATCTCCTGGTGTTTGTCTGCTCTATATCGATCCTCTTTCGCCCGAAGATTACCTGGAAAATTTTGCAGAAGGTGAGGGAGCACCCTGACAAGAAGACGCCACGATTGAAGCAGTCGCTCTACATGAATGTATGGGAGGGGTACCCTGGGGGCCTTCAGCTGGATATCAGGCTTAAAAGGTGATGGTATGAGGAATTTCGGGAAGCTGAGGGCTGGCGACATGCGGCCATGCGCACAACTTGTACCTTGTGCCTGTGTCAAGCCCTCTAATGCATTTTGCATCTACATGCTAGGTATTGCCTGCATGTGTACTTAGGTGACTTGGCCGAAAGCTATAGAAGCATTTGTTGCACGACCCCTTCAGCTTTCCGGGGGAGCTGGCAGCTTCTTCTTGGGGGGAGGAGCGACAGCGTGGAGGAGCTTCTCGCCGCGCTAGGTATTGGAGTCCTCAAGAGAAAGGTCATGGCCTCCTACGCCAGTGTAACTGACGTTCAGCCCATCGAAGGTTCAAAGACGTCGTCTGGGGATGCCAGTTCGTCATATCCCACGTTTCAACTCACCACACACCTGCCCCTCAAAAACACCAAGCAGGGGATATTCTGTTTCGATGGCAGCTGCAGCGAATTGCAGGTGAGCGCGCCCTGACGTGCAAGTACGAACACCTTTACAGCATCTGAGGAAATAAAATTTTCCGGATGGCATGCGAAACTTTCAGACCACCGGAGAAACCTGGCAGCCTTTGTTGCTGCATTGAGTCGGGTGTATCCTCGTCTCAGCACAACAGAGCAAAGGGTCATTTGGGCTTCCTGACTGACGATGCAGTGGCTTCAGCGCCTATGAGGTTTCTCTTTTACGTGGCTTGTATCTATGTTTCTAATGCCATGCTGGTCGTCCTTGCACGTCTTCGCTCCTTTGATACGCACATGTGAACACAACTTGAATGGACAGAGGGCGCAAGGAATGCGCTGTTCTCATCCCGTCAACTCCCGATAAGGGAGTACAAGCTTTTTCTTGCGCTTCACTTTGCGTTCTGTAGGACGCCGACACCGGCGCATGGGAGACGCGCTGCGTCTGGCTAAACGGCCGAGCCATTCAGAAGCGTTGGGGTCCTAAGGGGGTGATGTGGGATACGCGCTGTGTTTTCTCTACCGATCCCTTCGAAGCAAACCCCTTAGAAGGGCTCATAATGCTCTTCCAGGTCGGTCAGAAAATGTAAAAAGCGCCACCCTTTGTGCGATCATTCAGAAAGTCAGCGAAAGCCCTCCGGAGAAAGCAGAGCAACAGTCTACAGAACGAGTTGGATAGAGCGGTGTTGCGTTTTAGACAGACAGCAGGATCGAGAACGAAGCAGAGCAATACCTAAGAAATTGATCGAATTAGCCCGGAGGCAGGTACAATGTTTCGTGTGCATCAATTTTTACGAGAGTACCCAAAGTGTGCGCTGGTGCTTCGCTCGGTTGTGTGGCTTTCTGCAGTGGACTTTTCAGCCCACGGGCAAGGAGCCCATCAAATGCATGCGTTGGCTGAAAAAGCTTTGACATCAGCAACGAAAGTGTATATCATCCGAAGATCCCCTATTTCTATGTGCCTCTTTTTCGTTGCTGACGTCCCTTGCTTGCACTTAAAAGAGCAAACGACCGACCTTCTACAGGAAGGCGCGTATTTGAGTACTGAGCCACCCGAAGCTGAACAGGTAGTTTTATGAACTTTAGAAACAAACGGGAGGCGAATCGAGGCTCTAAGTCCATGAAGCTCCCGTCATACAATGCTTCTTGCTGTCCTGCTGCTGGGCTTCTCTCTTGTCTCGCTCCCGCACCCTGAATGCATTCGGCTTGTTGAAAGCGCCAATCTCTGCCATCCCCCGTGCTGCTGTATCAATACCGCATTCTTGAGCTACCGCTGTCCCTTGCCTCCTTACACTGCTCCCGACCGCAACGTTCTTCCGCTACGCGTCCGATATCGGCGAAGTTGTGCAGCACACGAAGCCTTTTATTTCTGCCCACTGGTGGCGCAGTCTGGGAAGAGGCTATGAAACCAGAGAGTTTTCAGACCGACCAGCCATCCCGTTAAGCGTGTTATCGTAGAGAAGCGTGCTGCTGCACCTGCACGGCAAGCCAGATATGCCGCTAGCTAGGGCGTAGCTGAGGGGCGTGCGTGGGTTTGCCAACACCCGTGGATATCTGCTGCACCTGTCGATCAAGCATGACGGGCTACCTGTTGTCTCCTTGTGTTAGAAGCTGAGCTTCCACGCGGAGGACGTATTCCCTGGCTTCGTGCTGCACTTTCTGCTGCGTCTGCGGGGTTCCGTATTTTCGCTCGAAGGCAAGCCACCTGGCAAAGAGCGACTTCATTTTGTGTGGTTTCAGAGGCAGCGAAATGGCTCGCTGGAATATGAGGCGGACAGGCTCCGGCGTAGAGGGTTCGCGGCGGGGGGGCGTGCAGAGGGAAATGTGCTGATCGAGGTACAGACACCACACGTCAGTCCTCTTGGGATGCTCCGCGAGAAGCTTCTCGTAATACGTTTGACCCCTGCAAAAAGCAACACTGACAGGGGGATAGCCAGCCAACCATGACGCACCCTGCCGGGGTGTGCACAGTCACGAGTAGGAGCGCTGCGCCTTTTCTCAAGTCCGGGGAAACTCGGAGAGGCGCGACGTTTCCACGCATACATGCAACTAGAGGCACGCTAGAGACACGCCTTGTATACAGGCAAGCGGCCTGCCCAGCCAGCTATCGAACTGTAGCCAGCTATCGAAAGACCACTCTGAGACAGAGCAGAGAAAGGGCAGGCAGACGCACCGCTCCGGAGTTCCGTAGTGGTACTCAAGTCTCGCGCAAGAGCAGACAAATTTGATGTGCTTGCGGCGGGGGAGACGGTGGAGGGCTTTCAGCATAGTGCCTCGACCTCCCGCAGGGTCCTTGCCGGCGATAAATTGAAGACTCACAGCACGGAGCCACATCTGAGGAAAAACACATCAAAACCAAGCACTGACACATGGTGCCCGCGCGCACATATCGCCTGAAAAGATCAAAAAGTTCTCTAGATCTAGCTCTCGCTCGGTTGCTGTCGCTCTGAACCTGCATGCATGTTTTTACAATGCTTCTGTAGAAAAAGCTTCCGTACAAAAAGCTTCTCGGCGCGCGGAGGCCCCTTCCTCTGCCACGCTCCTCTAACTACGCTACTACCTACAGAGCTCTACCAATACAAAAGCCTTCGTAAGTGGCAGCGCACAGACTCATAAAAACAGGCAGCCCAACGATGTATGAATAAATATATCATAAAAACAGGCAGCTCAACGATGTATGAATATATATATATCATAAAAACAGGCAGTTCAACGATATATATATATATACATTATTCATCTGTATACAGCGCATGCAAAGAGAAACGCACCTTGTACGACTCGGGGAACTTGCTGCAGCCCTCTATGACAGTCTGAATGGCCTCAGTAATTTTGTTGGCTTTCTCCAGTACAAAGCTTCCCTGGTAGTACACCTGCTTGGGGTCCAAGTACTGGAGAGCTCTGTGGCAGTCGCAAAACAAGCAGAAACAAGACGCCCATGCTCCAGGCAGCCCGGCAAGCAAAACACGGGAGCCAGCCGCTATACACATACACATATATATACATATAGTATTTATCAACAGCATTCAGCAGCAGGCTATGGCCACTTGCTGGCAGCAGGGAGTGCCGCTGTGGCAAGTAGGACAAGGCTGACGAAGAAGGCAGCGACATGAGCTCCCCCTTTTCAGCCGGAGCCTTGATGTGCTCGAGGGAAGAAACGTCTCGGAGTCTTCGGCTAACCTCTTGAAAGCCTCATTGAATTTGCTGCCGAACAAACATTCCAAGTTGAGGTAGCCCATCCACACGGCGAAGCGCTCGCTCTCAGACGCGAAGGAGGCTTGCTTGATGCCCCTCTCCGCAACGGCTCGCGCCTTGGCAACCTCACCCAGCTTCAGATACCATGCCATATAGCTGCACAGGCGGAGAGGGGGTTGGCAGACACCGACAAATAGAAGCCACAGGGGACAGAGTGCGCATGCTGCCTTCCCGCGGGAAGAAAAAATGGCGATTTTCAGAGGAAGCTGTCGGATATCCAGCAGCATAGCAAGAGCACAACATCAAAATAACGTTCTCTATCCGGAGCTACTGGCCCTTCTTGCAGAGACAAAAGAGCGACGAGGCACAAGGCGAAGAGAGAGACACACGTGCAAGGCCGTCCCTTCGCAAGACGCACCTGATCCAAACAGCCGCAGCGTTTCCATGAATCAACAAGAGCCTCTCGAAATCAACTTCGCTTTGTGGATTTTCTGTCCACTGCTGCTCCTGCTGCTGAGCCTCGAGAGCCTCAACGCTCTCCTGCAGCTCCCGCTGCAGCAACACGGCACATCAAGCATCATACGAGCAGCAGCTACATGCAGCAGTGCTCTGCAGCTACATGCAGCAGTGCTCTGCGGCTACATGCAGCAGTGCTCTGCAGCTACATGCAGCAGTGCTCTGCGGCTACATGCAGCAGTGCTCTGCACCTACATGCAGCAGTGCTCTACAGCTACATGCAGCAGTGCTCTGCAGCTACATGCAGCAGTGCTCTGCAGCTACATGCAGCAGTGCTCTGCAACTACATGCAGCAATGCTCTGCAGCTACATGCAGCAATGCTCTGCAGCCACATGCAGCAGTGCTCTGCAGCTACATGCAGCAGTGCTCTGCACCTACATGCAGCAGTGCTCTGCGGCTACATGCAACAGGCCGGCGAGGGAGGCAGCGCAAGCAGCCCACAAGCTACACAGCCACGGAATACGCAAGTTATTCTATGAACTGCGTCCTAAACAGACTGCTTACGCGTTTCCGCTGTTTGTCACGCTTGCTGAGTTTCCCTTTCTTTGCAGCGTTTGCGTCTTTGTCTGCATCTATTTCTTCATCTGAATCGTCTGAAGAGCCGTCGTCGCTGTCTGCCGTGACCGCCTCTTCCCAACCCCACACCTGTTGCTGCTTGTGCTGCTGCAGCTGCAGCAGCTGCTGCTGCTCTGGTGCAAGCGCGTCATCCTCGACATCGCTATCGCTAAGGGCATCAGCACCTGCCGCAGCCTCTGCTTCTGCTGACTCACCAGCGTCTCGCTGCCTTGACGTTTGCGCCAAAGAACCCCCAGCAGACACTACCGAAGCAGCACCCACCGCGCAGTCAGCATCTTCTACGTCCATGGCTGCTAGAGATGCAGGATGTTTTGCGTCTTCTTGCCCGTCCTCCAGCGGCAATGGCGGCAAGTCAGCAGGATCTAGCGACAGCTCCACGCGGATAGAGGGCCAAGTCTGGAGGCTCTTGGCATCGGCTGCCGCCTGCTCTGCAGCTTCCAGATCTGCTGAATCGCGATGCGACACTTTGATGGGCTGCACTGACAAGACGCGTGCCTGCACGAGGTCGCCCTCCTTCAAAAAGGCGAGTCGTCGAGCTCTTTCCTGAGGGTTAAGAGCTCCCAGACGCGAGGAAGGACAGAGGGCATCAATAGCCACACACTGGAGCGCTTTGACTTGCTCCAGAACGGCGGCGGCGTCGTTTTTCTTTCCCTGCTTCCGCTGCTGCTGCTCCTTCAGAAAGGCAACAACTGGCCCCTCGCTGTCTCCCGCCTCGTGGTCGAACAGAGACACCCGCACAAAGATCCCATAGCTCTCAACCCGCCGCACAGTGCCCTCCACGATCTGCCCCTTGCAGATACACTGCAGAAGTCGGAGGCGCAGTTTCTCCAGCTCGCTGACGCCGTCTGCGGATCCCGCCGTCGAGCCGCCTTGGTACCGATGCAGCAGCAGAGTCTTCCGTCCCGCCGTCCGACGCCCCTTCAGCGCTGCTGCGGTGTCTGTACAGCTGCGTGCCGCGGAGGCAGCGCCAGCGGGCCGGAGCGAACCCTCGATCCGCTGCGCTACGTAATCCACGGAAAGAATGTGAATTCTTGGCAGCAAGGTGCCAGGTGGGAAACGTTCCTTCAACTCGTCGAGGCTCAGCAGGCCGCTGCTTTCGTCTCGCGACGCCTCTTCCTCCGCAGGCGCACTGGCGTGCTGCAGACGGATGCGAACGGTGAGACTCCGACTCAGCGCAGCGAAGATGCCTGAGCTGCCGCTCGAGACCACCAAACCCGGCAAGCTATCGCCCTTCTGCAGTCGCAGCAGCAGCCACGCACGCGCTTGCTCACACGACACATATCCCCATCCGAAACTTAGACAGACAGACAGACATGCATGCATGCATGCGAAAAAGTCAAGCAACGACAACTCGCGCCGCACGGTAAGCTGTACAACGTCTGTCTAACAATGCAGCACCAAGGCTCACCTGGATCGCTTCAATCGCTTCAGGTCTGCAGGCTGACTTCTTCGAATGCTGTGGTGCAGACGTCCTCTCCTGCATGTCTGAGGAGGTGCCCTCAATGATCTGCTGCCTCAGGGAGGCTTGCAGCGTCATGTGTTGCACTTGCTGCTGTTGCTCCCGTTTAGGCAACGGCGGAAGCACCTTCACCTTAACGAACTGCCCCACTGCCAGCTGCAGACGCTGCAGAGGCTGCGATATCCACTCGTCCGTCAGCTCCGTGAGGTGTACAGAGGCCAGCAAAGGGATCCGCAACGCCCGCTCGCCGTTCTCTGATGCCAGCAAGAGCTGCGTCAGCTGTACAGACACCCCAAAAGGCGGCCGCAGCAGCTGCTGTATGCGGCCCACGCAACAGATCCCTTCAGGAAATCGCCATCGCTGCACACCTAGCAGCGCCTCCTTAACCGAGTCGAATGGCTGCTGTGACGCATACCCACACCAATCCACACACAGCCACAGAAAGATGCGAGAAGAACGTCCAAGACGCTGCACCTCGTCTAGCGCGCTGTTCATGAGCGCAAGCCTCCCCCCAGTCCTCCCTTCCTCCTTCCCTCCCTTTTCGACGCAACTTGCGATCATACGACCGCACGACTTCCCCCTGCTTCGTGCTGACGAATTCGCAGGGTTCATGCGTGGCAAAGCATGTCTTCGGCAAAAAACGTCGTGCAATATGTGCGCCCCTCCTCCTACCTCGATCTCCTTGGGAAGAAGTGCAGAGGCAGCAGAACACACACGAGGTGCCAACAAGAGATTCTGCTGAACCAGAGACGGTGGACGTTGCTGCGACTGCTGCGACTGCTGCGACTGCTGCGACTGCTGCTGCTCAGCCGTTCGATGCTGCTGCCGCGGGGGAGGAGGAAAGCGCTCAGAGGGAAGAGGTCCTACCACGAGAAAGCGGCGAGCATCTCCCGTGTCAGGTAGGGGAGCAGTGTCTGCGGCAGCATCGGCTAGAGCAGTATCTTTGCACCGCAAGGTGGGTAAGGCACGCAAGAGAATCATAGAGCCTTCGGTGAAAGTCGCTCGAAAATTTCGAAGTGCTTGCCGATCCGAAGACGCGTCCAAGAGACACACGCAGCCTCTCCGTCTCGGATGCTGCTGGTGGCGCTGCTGCAGATCCTGGGGGGGATGCTGCTGCTGGAGCTTGCGCAGCTCCTCCTGCCCTTTCCAGCTGCTCCAACCACAACTCACGAATATATGGCCTGCCAAAGTCTTTTCAATAATACCCCATTCGGCTTCGCAAGGCTGCGCCTCCTGTCGCTTCTGCTCTTCTTCTTGTTGCTCCTTCTCAAGTGCACCGCGCCTCTTCCTCGGATTTGGCATCTTGACTGTCTCAGATTCTCCTTTCCTGAGAGCTGCTGGGGGTGTCTGCGGTTTGAAGAGTCCGGCGCTAATGACGACAACTTCCTTTGCAGGCTTGCGGAGAGACGCGAGAATGTCGCCATTCTCGTGCTCCTCATCTTCGCTTTCGCTCTCGCTCTCGCTGCTGTTGCACTTGAATCGATGCACGGCAAGGATGAGGACGCAGACTTCCTGCTGCGGCTTCAGCAGGTTCAGCGGAGAAGGGGGGAGCGCCTCCTTGTCTGCTAGTGGCGGTGGAAGCCATGCGATCTCCTGATGCTGGTGAGCGGCGTCTGCCAGAGGGGGCAGTGCATCGCTCGGGTGTATGTACACCCGAGCAGCGACGCGCGAGCCCACAAGTGTGGCAACTGCTGCTGATGGCGTTACTCTCGTGAGCAGACAACGCACAACGGCGCCAACACGCAGATCTGCCGCTGTAGTGGGAGCTTCCGCGAGAGGCTGCAGCAGCTGCTGCTGCCTTGCAAATTGCTTCAGGAAAGGCGATCCTCCTAAGGCTGCAGCAGCAAGGCGACTACCAGGTGTATCCGCATGCTGCACGTCCTCACGAGACCTGCAGCAGAGGGGCAGTATCAGCGACGGCAGAGCCTTCCTGCTGCTGCTGCTGCTGCTGCTGCTGCTGCTGCAGGGTGACAGACTTATGGAACCGCAGAAATCGAGGGTGCAGCCAACGAGGAGCTGCGCAGAGCGGCCAGAGGCTGTCTGCTGCTCGTTGTTGCGAATTGGGGAGAACGTCAAGAGGAAGAGTGGAAGTTGGAGGCTCAGCGCAGGAGCGTCGCCAATCGAGATCGAGATCCGTTCTGCCGTGACTGCAGCAATCGCAAGCAAACCCATATCTGCTGCAAGGTACCCTTTACTTGGAACGCTTGGATGCTCCCGCTGCTGGTTCTGTCTTGCCATCAGCCTTTGTTGCAAGCGGCGAACCAGCGCCGCTGGCAAAGCGTCTTTCTGCCAATCCCACACGGTGTCGTCTCCTTGAGACGCCCCTCGTGGCACTTTCTTCTCCGACAGCAGACGCACTTCCACAACTTCTGCTGCCGCTTGCCGCTTTTGTGCAGACACGGCCTTGTCTCCCGCAGCGCTAGTGTCTAGACAGCAGCGGACGTTCGTGCTGCCTCCCTGCTGCCGCTGCTGCTGCCGCTGCACCTCCTTGCGCAACTCAAGGAAGGGCTGCAGCACATCCACGCAGCAGCACCCAAAGGCTTGCCTGCTGCAGTTGTCAACAGCCACAATCAGGCACTCGAAGGACTGTGTCTGCTCTTCCTCGCCGCTCTGCTCCTCCTCGCCGCTCTGCTCCTGCTGCTGCCCTTGCTGCACTTCGAGCGGCAAGAAAGCAGAAGGCACAAGCACAGACATGCAGGCAGAGCTGCGGGAGCACCCGACAACGCGCAGACTTCCCCCGTGAGCCTCCAACGACTCCAATGTGCATCGCAGCAAGGCGCCCGACTGCAAGGCTGCGCAACACCCACAAGGAGCTTGTCGAGCTGCAGCCTCTGCGGCAGCTTCTGCCGCTGCCCGCTGCTGGAGAATTCCATGAAGCGTAGTCAGCGCCAGCGCAGCCAACGCCGAAGTCTCCGTCTGCTCCCTGAGGAGCTTGTTGATCTTCTGATGACGCAACTCCACGATGTGCCCCCCCCTCTGCTGCTGCTGCTGCTGCTGCGGCAGCAGAGCCGCCTTCACCGTCAAACCGGAGGGCAGTCGCTGCTTGAGATGCTCCTGAGAAGCAATGAACTCCGTCGCCAGATGGCGATAGGGGCACACTGCCTGCGCATGCAAAGCTCCTAAAGCGACGTACACGCCGAAAGCCGCAGCCTCCTTCACGTATCCCCACAGCAGCAGAGGCGCAGACCCCGCTGCTGCATGCAAACGCTGCAATTCTGCACTGCTGCGAGCAAAATATCTCCCCCCCTGACTCCCCTCGCCGTCTCCTCCACTCCCGCCAGACGCGCGAGAAGATGCTGCAAGCCGCACTCGCCACACCCCGCAAAAAGACGCAGTTGCTGCAACGCGCTCACACCTAAGCACTTCAGACTAAGAGCTGCCGCAGTGAAGCCAAAAAGCATACGTCTCTTAGGCTCTACCAAGGCACACGACGCTCAGCAGCTCCGCATCCCCTTCCTATCTCCTTCTCCCTCTAAACTGCAACAGTCATCAGTCACGTACTGCAGAGCGACGGCTTGCAGCTGAGAAGACACAGATCTCGAATTTGATGAACACCCTGCTGTTTTTGCTGCTGCTGCTGCAGGTGCTCCTGCAGCCGCATGGCTGCCGATGCAACTGCGTCGTCAATGTCTTCGCTGCTGCTGCTGCTACTACTACTACTGCCACGCTTCTTCTTCCTGCGCTTCTCGCCCGAATCACCTGCCCAACGAAGAACCTTCCCCGGAGAAACTGCATATGCTCCAGCAATGCAAACGGACTCAAACGGCAAAGCCTCCCCCACCTGCACCGACAGAAAAACAGACAGACAGACAACACCCCTCCACACGACGACGCAGAGAGAGAGAGAGAAGAGCAGCCTCCAGAGACTGCCACCAAGAAGCGCGCGCATGGCCTCCCAGCCTCACTATTCCCCTTCAACAACAACAATAAGAAAATCAGCAGCAATTACAACAACAACAACAAGAGCGACGGCAGCAACGCAGCAATAATAACAACACGAATGGCTAGCAAAGGCAACCGGCGCGCATGCATCTCCAGCGAGCAACGCACACGCCTCCTTCACTAACCTCAAGGTGCTTTTGCAACTGGATTGCCACAGCTACTTCATCTGCCAAGTGCAGCGTAGGAACGAAGGCAAGACAGCTGCCCGCGACCTCTTCTTGCTGCTTTGGAAAGCTCTCGCGATGGCGAAGCAGCAGAAGAAAGACTCCGTTCTCATGCACCGATACAACACGCACAGAGCTACCGGGAAGAAGTGTTCCCACGGAGAGTGTCTTGCTGCTGCTGCTGCTGCTGCTCTCCTCCTCGCCACGTGCTGCAGCGGCTGCTGCCCCACTGATGTCAGTAGTAACCTCTAATGTACCGCGATGGAGACTCACGGATGTTACAGCTACCTGCATGCACACAGACATCTCCCATGCCGAGACACGACAACATCTGCAATCCAACCGCCATGTCAAAACACACACTGGCGAAGCAGGGAAAAATCGAGTTGCAGCACGCATTGGATATGCAGTAGCCACAACCATGTATGTCTCCTTTCTTTTCTCCCCTTCCACTTCTTCCTTTCTTTTCTTCCTTTTCCCCCTTTCCTCCCCACTCTACACTGCACTGCACTGCACTGCATTGCGCTGCATTGCGCTGCACCTAAGGCCTTTTCTTCCTCCCTCCCCCACCCCCTCCGCTTTCCTCCTGCTGTAGTTTATATATATATATATCTCGAGGGCAGACGCGCATCTGAGCCTTACTTTGACGAGGGTTCCAAGCTTGAACTCCACCCCCGTCGCTTGGGCAGCACGGAGATCGCTTTGCGACAATATCGCCTTGAAGGGACCAAAGAAACGCAATGTCACGTGCTGCTCCTGCTGCTGCTCTGCATGAGGCAGCCACCGAATCTCACTGACGTATCCGAGAAGAACGCGCCCTCTCTCAACAAGAGGTTGCTGCTGCTGCTGCTGGACGCGTAGCTGCGCAGACTTCTCCCGCAAGATTGCAGCAGCAAAGGCTGCTGCAGCAGCAGGCTGCAGAGGACGTGGCAGCAAAGGCGTCTGCAGCTTCAGCAGCGCCTTACGGCGAGTCAGCAGCAAACGACCCCCCCCCCCTCCCCCTATTGCCATCAGAGCCGTAGCCAGCATGCCCTGCTCAAAGGCAGAAAAGACACTGCCGCTGTTGCTGCTGAAGGGAAGAAGTCGCTCATGTGGCAATAACAGCTGCAAACGCGTCGACACGCCGAAGGAGGCTTCCCCCCCCCCGTTGCAGCAGCGTCCTACTAATGCGGCTGAGGCAGCTGCAGAGGACGACTCCAAAAAATCGCAACTGCTACAGCAAAAGCGACGCAAGACACGGAGGCTCAGAGTTGCCCCCGCAGCAATATCCTCCGGCAAATCCTGAAGCGGTACGTCACTTAAACAGGAGAGAGGTACCCATCCCTTCACGGAGGACGAGACACTGCAGCAGCCATGACAAAAACAGATGCAACCATACGTACACATACATGCATGCATATACATTCCGACATAAATATATATAGATATATACATGTACATATATATACACACATACTTCATCATATGTAGATACACACAGATATACTTTTATATATATACTAATATATATATATAAGTATATATATACAGTAAATATATATATATATCTACTATATATATATGCATATATAAGTATATATATACACACATATGCACACATATATATACATATACATTTATAGATATACATACATGCATGTATGCGAATACACACATGTCCATACACACACACACCATATAGATATATATATACAGCCGGAATGGGTTCCCCTGTTTGCGCTGTCTGAAGCCGCACGCGCTAACGTTCATCAAAGCAGCCCGATCGATCGAAGGCTTTAAGCCTCACTGCCTCACCGAATTAGAAGCCCACTTTTCTGCTGCTCGACTCGCTGCAGCTGCAGCTGCTGCTTGTGTTTGCCGTTCGTCTGCTCGTGCAGCGCCTTCACTGCCTTGAGCACCGTTCCCACGAGGACCTCTCCGGGGTGTGCGTCTAAGGGCGAGAGCAAAGACTCAGACAGGAGAGGCTCTGCAGCAGCTGCAATAATCTCGAAATCCAGCCAGTGCACAAACAACACTCTGCATCTACGGATGAGCTGCTGCTGCCCCTGCTGCTGCTCGCGCTTTCGCTTGCTTCGACTCCCCCCCCCTGCCGCAGCGTCGAGAGAAGGGGGAATTCGTACGACTGCGAAGCGAGCAGAGCTCTCCCTGCCGCTGTCTGCTCCCCAGGCTGCCGCTGCAGTCGCCTCCTCCTGCTCTCCGCTGCCAGTCAGACCGTCCTTCCGCAGCAGCAGCTGCTGCTGCAGCTTGTGCAAAGGCAGCAGCGCACGGCAGCCGCTGCTGCTGCCGCCGCTGCAGCTGCCGCTGCCGCTGCAGCTCCTCAGGAGAGGGAGGGAGGCTTTGACTCTCGTGCCTGGCAGAACCAAGTGGACTGGAAGCAGCCGCAGCAGCTGCTGCTGCTCCCACCCAACAATGTGAGGCAGCAAGGAAACAAACACAGTGCGCTGCTGCGGGAGGACGGCTACAATGCGGCCATACACACGCGGCTGCTGCTTGTTGCAGAGGCGCAGCAGCCACTCGTCCAGCTGCTGCTGCTTCTGCTGTTCACTATCGTTGTCTGTGTTACTGTCGTCTCCAGGAGGCAGACTGCCGCTGCTTCCCTCGTCGCCACTGCCCCCCCGGAGCCTCTCTTCTCGCCCGCTCGTAGCCTTGCTCTTCCTCTTCGTGCTGCCAAGACTGCTGCGCAGCTGCAGCAGCTCCTGCTGCCGCTGCTGCTCCCGCAGCATCCCCGCATGCGCAATGTGGGGGTGCAGCACAACTGCGCGCATGCTTGCGAAGCACCGCAGTTCGAAACCTTCTACGAGAGGCAGATCCTCCGCAGCGAGCGTCATGCACTTGAGCGCCGAGCCTTCTCCGGAAGCTTTCTTTCGCTTCGCAGCGGAAGAGGGCATCAGAACGCGCGTGACGCGACATTCTGCCAGCAAGCCTGGCGAGGCGCTCTCCCACGCGAGCGGCTGCTGAAGATCCACTGGAGCGAACAGCGGCGAGGCTGCCACTGCCGCGCCTCCCGTTCCTTCGCCTCCCCCCCTTTCCTCTGCAGCCGACAAGGAGGCTGACAAAGACGACAGAGCGAGGGGAGCAGCGCATATCACCGTCTTCGCTGCAACATTCACTTCCTGCAGCGCCACCGCCACGAGCGATCCCGGCAGGAGGACTGCATTGTCGCGCTGCTGCAGCAGCAAGTGCTGCTCTCGTGGCAAAAACGCACGAACAGCGGCAGCAGGCGGGCTGCCGCTGCCGCCCTTACACCTCACTCCCAGACACAGCAACACCCCGTGCTCTTCCACAGACGCAACAGTTGCTGCTAAAATCATGCCGCGCTGCAAGACATCCAGAGACAGTCCAGCGTTGCAGAGAGACGGTCGCAAGGATAACTCGTAGGCGCCGCAACTGCTGCCGCTGCTGCTGCTTGGAACCCCCGTAATGACACACGGCAGCATTTGAGACACAAAAAAGCGCTGCAACAGCTGCTGCTCATAGGCTGTCTCCGGCTGCTGCTTCTGCTGATGCTGCTTCTGCTGATGCTGCTTCTGCTGATGCTGCTTCTGCTGATGCTGCTTCTGCTGATGCTGCTTCTGCTGACGCTGATCTTGCGCGTAGGGCTGTTGCTGCTGCGGTTCCAGAGTATGACTGCGAGGCACGCATCCCATGCGTCCATACGGAAGCTGCAGCAACAGCTCCGAGGTATGAATCTCCGCTACTATTCCCAACATCAGCGTTCCCTCTTTCAGAGTGCCTTTGAGAGCCGCTGCTGAGGCTGCAGCAGCCTCGTCGGCTCCCAAGACGTCCAAAGACGAGGCATCGTCCTCTTGAGGCACAGACTGCTGAGGCTGCGCTGCTGGATTCAGGAACGGAAAGGAGAGCTGCGAGCGACCCCCCTCTGAATCCTTGCTGCTCCTGCTGCCGCCGAGGTAGCTCGCTGAAGCGCCATCTTCAGGTGGCTTCTGACCGCTGCGATCTCTACGTTTCTGCTGCTGCTGCTGCTGCTGCTGCTGCTGTTGCTTTCGGAAGGGGGCAGCACGCGGAAAATCCCCCTGCTGGTAGGCTGCATCCATGATGCAAAGCCCTTTCCAGGATTGTTGCTGCTGTTGCTGCTGTTGCTGCTGTTGCTGCTGTTGCTGCTGTTGCTGCTGTTGCTGCTGTTACTGCTGTAGCTCCTGCTGTAGCTGCTGTAGCTGTAGCTCCTGCTGTTACTGTTGTTACTGCTGTTACTGCTGCTACTGCAGCTCCTGCTGCAGCTGCTGTAGCTGTAGCACCTGCTGTTGCTGCTGCTGCTGCTGCGGTTGCTGGAAAGGTCGTTTGAGGCGCGCTCTCTAAGGGAACGGAGTTAGAAGGATCGTAGAAGTCGCCAGGAAGACAAAGGATATCGGGAGAAAAGCAGTGGCAAGGGCTGCTGCTGCTGCTGCTGTTGCCGCGGCATGCTGCTGCAAACCGCTGCAAGCCACAGCTGCTGCACGATCTTCCTTGCCACTTTAAAGAATTCAGAAAAGGAAGTAATGTCACAATTTGGTATCCCAAACATTGTTTTTGTTGTTACAGAAGCCCCTGAGCGCCCCACAGCAGCAGCCTTGGCGGCGGCTGCTGCTGCTGCTGCTGCTGCATGCGGCGGCAGTGGCATGGGCAGCAGCATCGATGGTCGGAATAGCGCATGCTACAAAGGATAGTCTATCGACTCCTCTGTGTATATGAGTGCATTTATAGACAGGTGGCGTGACACGCGGGGAAAGGGGCCTTTGGAAGCAGCCTGGCTAGGTTATTCACGCTTTGCAACAAAAGCTACAGCGGCTACAGCAGCTACAGCGGCTACAGCTCGAGAAGCGTAGAAAACAGTTAGGGGTACCAGCGCAAGCTGCTCAAGAAAAACGGGGGCAGCGTGGAGGAAGGTGGAGGCAAGATGTCAGATCTGCAGCTCCTTTTGTTCTTGAACAAGCCGAGGCTTGCAGACACACATCATGACTAAATTTGCAGTGGTCTACGCAGCCGCGGCAGCAGCTCGCATTCCCCCGTGCAAAACAGCGGCAGCAGCCGCAGCTGCATCTCCAGTTGCTGCATGCAGAGGCTGCGCCATTCTGCGGCAGAGACGGCATGCAGCAGCTGTAGCCGCAGCGACAGCAGCAGCGCAGATGCCGCTGCCTGTCGCTGCTACGCATGCAGCTCCGCGATTGCCAGAAGAGGCCTTTGGACGCCTGCGTCAAGGCACACGGCTGCTTCTTTGCGGCAGCAGATTCATGAGCAGCAGCAGCAGCAGCAGATTCATGAGCAGCAGCAGCAGATTCATGAGCAGCAGCAGCATGCAGACACACGGCGGCTGTTGCGCAGACAGCCTGAGGAGTCTTGAGCAGGCAGAGCAGCACCAGCAGCAGCTGCACGAAGAGGCCTCCAGACTTGCGCATCGCTCTCCTGCCGAATTACTCGTATTCTTGCAACGGATAGTACAGCTGCGCCTCTCTTCCGTTGATCTGCTGCTGCAGCTGCTGCCACAGCTGCAGCGAGCTTCTGCAGTGCTAAGCCCAGAGCAGCTTGCAGGATCTGCTGCATTGCTGGCAGCTCTCTGTGTCACCAGACGCAAGGCTTTGCAGCAGCATCTTCTGCAAGAAGCATTGCAGCCGCAGCAGCTCTCTCCGTTGCAGTCTTCGCTTTCCTCAGCTAGCCATCCCCCCGGGAGACAGCGGAGGCTGCAACTGGAGCTGCTGCAGCAGCAGCAGCTCCAGTTGCAGCGCGTTGAATCGCAGCTTGTACACCTCGTGCGGCGGACTGCACAGCTGCTCTGTGAGCGACAGCCGCAGCGGCTGACGACCCTTCAGCAGCTGCAGCAGCGCGCAGCTGCCGTTTGCTGCCTTTCAGATGCCACGCAGCAGCTGCTTTTCTCCGCGGATGCGGGAACCGCTGCAGATCTGCAGCAGCTGCTCTCCAACGCTGCCGCTGCAGTGCTGCAGAATTTCGCAGCATCGCTGAAACTCTCGGGGGAGACCTCTGTAACAGCGGATTTCCAGCAACTACAGCTGTTGCAGCAACTGCCCCCTCTCCTGCAGAGACTTCTACACCTCTCCATGCCGACACCGTTCTCAGAACAGACTAGAAGCAACAACAGCAACAACAATTGTAACGACAGCAATTGCAACAGTAACAGCAGCAACAGGAACAACAGAAACAGCAACGAGAACACCAGCATCAACAACACCAGCAGCAGCAAAACCAACAGCAACAACAAAAACACCAGCATCAACAACACCAGCAGCAGCAACACCAACAGCAACAACAAAAACACCAGCATCAACAACAGCAGCAGCAACACCAACAGCAGCAATTGCACACTAAAGCGCGAGCTGCTCCCTGCCTACGCTGCTGAAGCGGTTGTTGCACTGCTGTCTTTGCAGCACCAGTGCCTTCGAGTCATGTCGGTGGAAGTTTCTTCGAGGCTGCAGCAGCAAGACGTAGCGCTAGCACCCGATGTTTTGACCCCCTCTACGAGCAATCGTGGAGGCGCCATCAGCAGCTGCAGCAGCGCGCATGTAGCTCCCAGTTCCTGCGAAACAGCAGAAGAACTGTGCGAGACTGCGAAGCTGTTCGGTCTGAAGCAGACATACGCGATGGTTGCTCAGATACTCCGAGAAGCACCAGCTACGCAGGTTCGCTTGCGAGCGACGCTGTCACTGCTGCGCATTCTGCATCCCTGGCTGTCTGCCCCTGGTAGTGGAAAGGGGGGAGAAGAGGAGAAGAGAAGAGAATAGGGGAAGGGGAAGAGAACAGGGGAGGGGGCAGGTGGGAAGGGAAGGTTTCTGTTGCCAGAGTGTTGAACGTTTTTCCTTGCCAATTGAAGAATCTGTAGGCTTTTGTTTGTAGGGGGATAGGTGTTTAACAACTCTTAAGAAACTGTTGCCTCCAGCATGGATGGCTCGCGCAGCAGCTGTCTCTGTTGTTTCTAAGGCTTCGCCTCCTGCTGCGCATGCATGCGCCGTCGTGCAGGTGGATAAATGGGGCTTTTTGAAGCAAATTTGCTGCAGCATTGCAGCCTTGCCCCCGACAGTTCGCGCCGCTCTTGCAGAAGGCGGCTGCTGCTGCACAGAGGGGGACCTCTGGCTGCAGATACTTGCCGCTACAACGAAGCCTGCTGCAGCAACAGCAGCAACAGCAGCAACAGCAGCAACAGCAGCGACGCTTCCACCGAACAGGATGGCTGCAATCTCACGCGAGAAACACTCCGCTGCAGCAGAAAGCCAGGTAAACAGTAAAAGCAGCAGTAGCAGCAACTGCAACAGTAGCAGCAGCAGTAATGGCGGTATGAGCAACTGCAGCAGTAACAACAGCAACAGTAACTGCAGCAGTGATAGCAGCAACAGTAACAGCAGCAGCAGTAACAGCAGCAGCAACAGTAACAGCAGCAGCAACAGTAACAGCAGCAGCGTGGAAGGCTCAAGTGTTGGCACCAAAGGCCGTAAACGGCGTGCGCTGGTGTGCCTTACGACAGAAACGGAAGCAACAACGCATCCAAATAAAACAGCAGCAGTAATAGACGTCCATCCCCATCGTTTTTCCTGCGCTGCATCTCAAGGGTTTGCGGAAGCTTTGTTTCAAACCGAGCTTCTCCTGCTGCGTTCTCTCCTGAAGACTTCCGGAGCAGCATGTGCAACAGCGGAGATCTCCACGCAGCATCAACAGCAGCAGCAGCAGCAGCAGCAGCAGCAGCAACAGCAGCAACAACAACAACAACAGCAGCAGCAGCAGCAGCAGCAGCAGCGTGTGAAGAAAAAGGCCTTCCAGGAGGGGCCCATGCCGCCGCATCTGCAGCTGCGGCTGCAGAAACTTTCTACGCGCGCTCTCTCGCAGCTGCTTTTAGCGGGGGCAGAAATGCTGCAGACAGCAGCAGCAGTACCAACTGAGCTTGCAGGCAATGAGGCAGCGGCAAGGGGAGGCTGTAGAGGGGATGTTGCTGCGTTTACTGCTGCTGCAGTAGGCGCAGCTATGACAGAGTGCTGGCGCTGCTCGCCACGAGATGCACTTCGAATGCTGCGCAGTGTCGAGTTGCTGTTGCTGCTGAGCAGGCTTCCCAAGCAGCAGCAGCAGCAACAGCAGCAACAACGACAGCAGGGGGATCGTCTGTTAAAAAGTCGCAGTCGCAACAACAAGCAGCTTCCCCCAGCGGATAGCGAAGAGGGCATTACCCGTAGCAGCAGCAGCAGCAACAGCAACACGACCACTCTTCGCGAAGAGCTGCTGGAACCTCAGCTCTTGATGCTTCTCGGAAATCTGCTGATGCGCTCTCTTCTGGCAACGGCAGATCGGCTGCAGCAACGGCAGCGGCTTCGGCGCAGCAAGGAGAGCGGCAGTGCAGTACAGCAGTTGCGGTATGCAGAGGACGGTGCAAGCGAAGAGACAGCGTTCGCTGTAGAGACTGCGTCTGTCGTGATGCCTCTGACTTTCGAAGAAGCCCAAGAGCTCGTTGGCATCGCAGTACGTCGCTCGCGAAGCCATGAGGCAGCCGCGCCAGCTAGCCAGCACTCCCCTCAGCGAGTTTTATGACGAGCGAGATGCCACGCTAGCTTCAAGAAACAAGCACACTGAATGCTGAGGAGCTGCGGGTGCCAACTCGAGGGCTGCTGTTGCGTCTGCTGAACAGGCCGGCCTGTCGCGGGTGAGGTGATTTTGCTTGTTTTCGGAAACTGCGACTTTTGTTTGTAGAAGCGTTTGCAGCTGGAATCGCAGCTTCCAGCAGCCATTCGGAGCTTAGCAGCAGCAGCATCTACACCACTACCACCACCAGCGGCTTCAGCAGGGGCTTCGAAAGGGCATCCAGCAGCCGCAACAGAAGCTGCAACGACTACCCTCTCTTCTGCGCGGAAGGAGAGACAGAACAAGCCATCAGGCGCTCAGGAGTCTTCGCAGAAGAAGGGGGAGACAGTGGAAATCTCTAAAGAGGCTTCGGGGAGCGTCACTGCAGCGCTGCGAGCTGCGCGTTCGCAGCAGGAAGCACAAACAGCTGCAGCAGAAGCAGCAACAGCAGCAGCAGCTGCTGCTTCTGCTTCTGCAGAGCTTGCCGTATTGGGAAACACGCTTTCTCGCCTCGATGCAGCAACAGCAGCAGCAACAACTTCTGAGTTTTGCAGTCGTAGCCGCAACGCGAGGAGCAGGAAGCACAGAGTTCTACGTCCTCTCCAGCACGTGCCGGATTGCGCTAAGGCTCGAGACAGCATGAACCCCACCTTTTCTCCACAGCAAGAAGCGGCCTCCTGCCTTTCTACAGAGGGATCAGCGGCTGGGAGATCGCTGCCAAGCGGCTCTCACGAGGAATCGACGCGCGTGTTGAGGCTGCTCTCCGAGGCGCTGAAGGACGGGCCGGGTGGAAGTCGCTACGTTGCTTGGGTGGAAGCTGCGGAGCAGAATGCGACGCCTGCGAGCACCAGCGTTTGGCTGGAAGACAGCGACGAGTTGACTTTTACAGCGACAGAGAGTGCAACCAGCAAATCTCCGAGGTGACTGACACAGGCGGTCAAGCTCTTAGGATGTCTTTAGACGTCCTTTAAAAAGCCTGATACTTCAAAACATCAAGCTGCTATCTCCTCTGATTGTTCTCCCATAATCCTCGATAATGGGCGTTTTTGCCAGGGGTCAAAGGCCACATTGCAGACTGGGTAGCAGCCCCCTTGTGTCAGCCTCTTTCCTTGCTCTCTCCTTGCTTGCCTCGAAGGGGGGAGAGGGGGAGGGAAGAGGGGGGAGGGAGGGATCTATGCTCATTCCTTCTCTGTCTCTGTCTGTCTGTTTGTCTGTCTGTTTGTCTCTCTCTCTCTCTCACACACGCGTTGTCTTAGGGGGCCTTTTATCTCCGCTGTAGTTCCCTGCTCCGCATCGCCTCTTACTGCTGCCTCGGTTCCTTACCCCTCTTTCTTGCTTTCTCTCTTGAGCTCGCTGGGGATATACGTGTTACCTGACGGCTTCCTGGACGGCGCGTGGAGGATCCCCTCCAGACACGTTGCTGCATTCTTCGGAGTGGTTTGCAGCTTCATGGGGAGAAGTGGGGGAGGGAGGGACGAGGCAACAGCTATTCCTTGAGATCCATGCACTTGCTGCCTCGTATTCCCATCACTCCCTGGCATTCACCGCTGCTCGCGGAGAAGGCATTAAATTGGAGGGTGTATTTCCTTGACGCACGCATGTCGCTGCTTGCGAGTTGCTGCGTGCCGCAGCAAAGAAACAAGAAGCACCCCCAGCTTCAGAAGCAGCAGTCGCAAGAAAGAGCAAGTAGTTGAATCAATCAAGAGGCCCTCCATCGCCAAACTGCAGTTGAAGAGGACACCGCTGCCGGAGCAGCACAAGTCGGAGCAGTACAAGAAACGCGCAGAGAAGTAAGCCTTAAGAAGAGGCGATTCTTGAGGAATTCGTGCCCTGCGTGAGCGCTGCTGAACTTGCAAGACAAGATCCTTTTTTGCCGCCTGCCGAATGAACGCTCACGTTTAGAGGTTGCCTTACGCTGTTTGTGTGTACGTGTTGCCGACGCTGCAGCGGGACGCGTACGGCGTCCTCCCGGGAGCTGTACAGACAGCTGCGGCGCTTTGATCGCGAAACACGGCGTTTCTAAAAGACGGCTTTGAGGTTTTCCCACCACGAGTTGCTCGAAACACACACTCACACACATACGCATGAACCTTTTCGTTTAGTAGCCCTCCACCCCGCACGTCGCTAAGCGCTCAAGAGGCCACGGGAACGCAGACTGCCTGCGCGTCTCTACCAGGAAATCCTTAGACGCATTGAGACTCACCAGTAAATTTCGATGGCGTGTCTCGCTCTGCCAAAGCCCCCTGCCGCTGCCTTTCGCAGGTGCTGCGCGTAAACGTTTTTGCACCCTAGCAATGGAGAGGCCAGCGTTTTCACACGGGGTAATAGGCTGCCACGGCTACCACCCTCTAGAGGGTCCCAAAATTAAAAGTAGCCGCGTAACACACTCAAATGCCAGCCGTAAAGTAAAGGGTGCCTTCACACATTTAGGGAGAGCACTCCACGCTCGCTGGCTGCATGCAAACCCCTAGAGTTTGCGTCTCGTGCAGATGGCGTGTTTATACTACTTTCCTGTGTCCACATGGATACCGTGAGTCGCAGCCGAGAGGCACAACGAATAAAAACCCCTTCACCCGTCCTCGCGCCTCTTCGCCACTCTTTTCCTAAAGTGTGCACCCTCCTTAAAGGGAGGCAGGACCACAATAAGGGATAGCGAGCGGCGCTAACGTGCTTACCCGAATGCGTAATGAGGGAGCGGCGCAAAGGTTCTCTATCTCGAGGGCTTTTTCGCAATTGTGCAGCGCTGCAGCATTCGCACTAGCCTCAAGTGTACTGGGAGGTGCTACAACGCGGGCTAGCCAGCCGTCTTCTGTGAACGAAGGAGCAGAGCACGGTGGATGACACAAGGGAACGGCGGTTTCAGCTCTGTGGTGGTATCTAATTACGTCATCATGACACGTATTCTTATGACTCCGACCAGCGGATGTACCGACGGACAGGGGGTAACATCAGAGCGCACAAGCATACACGGTGCATGCATCATCATATTCTCAATAGAGTGAGCAGTGCAGAAAATTGCAATGAAGCAGAGGTGCGGGTGACTGACCCGAACAACGCGTCATCAGTAGATTTCAGGGTCGCCGTGCAAGTTGATCGAAACTTTTAGAGCGACAAGTTTGTGCTTCTTGGCATTCACACTGCGTAGAGCGGCCTGTGCTACACATTTCCACTTTCTATTAAGGGCGGAAAGACTTTAAAAGAATCAGAAAAGAAGTGACTACGCAAGCTTGGCCCCTCGCAAGCCTTTTGAATTGCAGAGGGAGTGCTACTGCATCAAGATAGAAGTCAATGTAGGGTTCCTAGACGCTAGTGGTTCTTAGTAGCCAGCTGTCCATCTGTCACCACTCGGAGTTCTCTGGAGCTGCGGCAACGCACACTTGAGCTGTTTTTTTCTCTCTGTCTCCTCCTGCCGGAAGCCAAAGGAGTCAGGGGAGAAAGCTCCTTTAAGAATACCGTCAATTGCTCTAACGATTTTTTTTAGGGTTGAAGGCTGCCAGTGCCTCCTAGCCATGGGCTTCCCAACGTAGCACTCCACCCTGGCTCGCAAAAAGCTGCACACCTTGCGTTCTAGTCCCCAAATCCCCCGTTTCAGACCGCAACTGACTGCAGCAGGGGGCAACTAAGTAGAATGTAACTGCGTCCTCTCTCGCGATGCCCTTTGCAAAGAGCACGCCCCCGGTGAGATGCAACAGGTCCTGCGTAGAAAGCTCGCTTACGTCCAGCATAGCCACAGTGTGCCATGTGTCTGCTAGAGACTTGCTTTCGAGAAGGTGCCTGTAGACGACTCTACTATGAAGTTGTCCTCATCCCGGAGGCAGCAATTCAGGGCCCTCCGCAGGTTCCAAACGAGGAACTGGGGCCTTCATCAGATCATTCGTTTGTGTTTAATGGCTGTACGCAAGTGTACCTCAGTTTTTGCCGGTTACGAGGTTGACTGCGGCTGGCTCGCTGTCTAAGGGAGGGCCGCCTTCGGGTGATTCTCCACGGCAGTCCACGCTTCCAAACACAAGCGGCCAAAGCCTAGCAGTTCCAGCTACTAGTGAAGCTGTGGAGCCAGTCTTAATCCTGTAACTCTGCATCGTGGTGGAACTAATGAGCTTCACGCATGCTTGTATGATAGGCGAAATGCATGGAAGGCCACACGCATGAGGACGAAGGGTTTTCGACGCGCAAGACAGTCTCCTTTGCGTAGCCTTTGGCCGGTGCAACTGCTGACTTTTGTGCGCGTGGAATGGGAAAGATCCTGCAGAGTGTTTCCCTCCTCGGTATGTCGAGGGGGGCGGCCTCCCTGCCGCTAGGGCCATAAGGGAGGATACGCAGCAAGCGAGGCTCCTCTCTCTAGCACAGTCAAGCGCAAAAAGCAGCCGCAGTCATAAATGCAAATTAATTGTGGGCATATATTGTATGCGGCGGCGTGAAATCCGCCGTCGGCATGGATACTCGGATTCAGTGAGTGAGGCCTGCAGGCCTCCCCATCTAGCCATTGCTGTTCTGTGGCGTTCCAACGGAGCGTGGCAAAAGTAACTCTTCGCCTTAAGACACAAAATAAATCCTGTTTCTATCAACTATTCGTGCGGGATGTGTGCGCACTCCACTCAACTCTGTAGACCGCTCGCTACCCCGCCTGGCCTGCAGCTGCATGAGGTGACCCTAGCAACGTTTCAGGTGCTTGCTTGCAAAACCAGAGCCACAAGAATTTGCATCAATAGCACCTCCAGCAGCTTGTTATGGCATATTGACCACTGCGCTCATTTTTCCTAGCTGTAGACGGAAGGGGTGAGCGCCGTGGAAAGTGTGCGCCTCCGTGGAGGGCATCCTTGACTTGAAGTCTCAAGGGAAAAGAAGGAGAAACAAAGCAGAGGCACACGGACGCTGGAGACTGCGACTGAAGCAGCGCACTTTTAAAAAGCCGCAGTTTGTGTGGGCTGTCGACTGCGCAGGTGCCCCCAGCGCGCCCGTTTTCGTCTTTGACCAGAACAAGGCCGGCAACAAAACTAAGCTGCAGCGAATCAGCAACACAGAGCGTCTGAGGATGAGCTCAATGCGACTCTCTGCAGAAGATCAAAGGCATGTGGATGCGTATTTGGAGTACGATGCTCTGGTGGGAGCCACGGACGGAGGCGTCCTTCTTACCCCGAAGGTGGGCCCTTAGTGTATGCCCCCTCCTGCTTGGCGTTTACTGCGTGTCTCCCTGCTGCTCTTGGCCTGGTGTCTTCAAATTTCCTTGCTGCACCTCGCTCATACAGATGATCCAGCAGGCGCTGCTCCGCACCCGAATACTGCAAGGCAGCAAGCATCCTCTGTATGCAGAAACAGGACACATTTTTAGAAAAGCTTCCCCTTGCATAGGCCCTACGGCAGTTCTGCTTTGTGTTACGAGGCGTTGCCTTGTAATTCCTCGTCGTGCACTCCCGCCTCTTCCCCCGGGAGAACAGTTGAGAAAGGGCCTGCCTGCCATTCAGGGGCCCCTCTACCTAGAGAGAGCGGTATATATATATATATCTATCTATCTATCTACATATATATATATACATATACCGCTATATCTAGGTGCGCATCTCGGTGTCACTTGACTGCCGCGCACCCTTCGTGAAAGATGGCTTTTTCTAATTTTGCGTGGACAGCGTTTCCATTCGGCTTTCAGCCTGCCTGTGCGTTCGTGTGCGCGAAGGCATATGAGGCCCTCCGAGAGACGGCCGCCTCTTCAGATGCTCTCCTCTGTTTTTGGGTGTGCGTTCCAACAGGACTGCGATGCAGAGCTGTAGGGCCCTTTAGCCGCTGCCTCTGCAGCCATACTTTCAGAGAGCACCGCGTTTTCCAGCAGCGACAGCCTGCCCATGCCCCCCCCCGCGGGAGACAGGAACAAAGCCAACAGCAGCAGGCACTGCCTCAGCCCGTAAAGTGCCTAGTCCCCGGCTGCAGCTGCCCGCACTACAGTTTCCTCCCGATTCAAGGCTCGGGAGACCTCCGCTGCCGCTGCAAGCACTCGTACCGAGACCACCACGCGGTCACTCGCCGCTGTTTGAAGTGCCACCCCCCTGCGAGGGCAGCCCCCTCTAAAAAAGCTCCGCCAGCCTCAGCAGGAACCACTGCCAGGAACCGTTCTCAAAAATGCGTAGTCTTCGACTCGCCGACAACGTGCTCCTGTGGATCGGCCTATGCCGTTCACGAGACCCGCTTCTCGTTCGCCAGTGAGGGGGGCCCCCTTGCGAAAGCCGCCACCACGCAGCGAACTGCTGTGCCGATGGGGGGCCTCACAGGTACGCATGAGCTTCGCAGCGAAGGGGCAGGCGCCCGCTTTTTCTGAACAGCGTGCACGGCGGCCTTCAGACAGTGCTGCATGCAGTTTCTTCCGAACGGCAGGAGCACAGAGAGAGGCCAAGTGCCAGTGCAACACACCAGGAGCCGCTCTAATCAGTGCTGTCGTTGCAGTGGCTCCGCGGCAGCTCGCAGGCGGTGCGCAGCAGAGACCGCACGCGGTGCAACGCGATGCCTGTGCGGCTGCGCACAAGGCGGGGAGAGGCTGGCATTGGCAAACTTGCTGCGTTCCTGCGGTGCGTGCTGCAGACTTGGTGGATCTCGCTGAGGGCATCGACAGGCTAGCCCTGTACACGGACAGCCCACAGGACCTCCTGCAAAGGGCAAGAGGCGAAGACACTCGCAGTGCCACGATACACCCCAAACAGCAGCAGCAGGGTGTGCGGCGACAGCGGCAAGAGCCGGTGGACTGCCTCTCTTTACTCTACACGCCTCTTAGGCGTTCGTGAGGAAAAAAGCAGCAGTTCAGCCGAGGCAGCAGCAGCAACAGCCGTTAGAAGGAGGGAAGCATTCCATTTTTAGGAAAGGTAACGGCCATCTTCTCCACGTGTCGCCGTAAAGTCATAGTGTTGCAACACTGAGATATTAATAGGAACCCTCCATGCACATGCATTCGGTAGGGTTCCTGCAGCCTTTTGGGAAGACCCCCAAAGGGGCTGCAGCGGCTTCGTACAGTTGCGGACCGCTAGGGAGTGCCGTCGCTAGGCAGTTGCCGCCGCAGAAACACATGAAGCAAATACGAAACCCCTTTCCCACCCGTGCATCATCATGGAAATGAAGGCTGCCCACGCTGTTACTGCAGCTGCTGCTGCTGCAACGCCAGTTCGGCGCGACAAACCTATACGCAAAGGGCACTCGAGCGCCCCTCTAATGCTCCTTGAATCGAAATGCAGCACTGCCCTGCGTCTACTGCACCAGACAGAAGAGGGCCAAGCGGCTACACAACCGTGTTTGGCTGAGTGCCACGTTTACACAGCAGCAGTAGCGGCTACATGGTGTGCAACTGCTGCACAGAACCACCGCGAATAACGACACATCCCACGGACCCCATGAACTAGAATGCGCGTTCTGCCGTCTCCATTGCGCCTATGGCTATTAGCTGTCAGTCGGGAAAGTTCTATCACAGTTTGAACGCTGGGTGGTTTTTGATGCCGGTTGCTGCCACCTGCCTCGCGACCAGTGCCTCCGCGCAGTGTACGTCCTCCAGCAGATCCGCCACGTCTACGGAGAAACTGAGGCTCTTCAGAAGTCTACAGAACACCTGCCACAGTTTAAGGCCGGCGCACAAATCGGAGACAGGGTCCTCTGCAGCCGGATAGGCAGCCCTGATCTCGGCTTCGAACGCAGCCAACTCAGCAGCCCCCTCATAGTGCAAGAACCATCGTGTCACTAGGCCCAGTGTATAGCCACTACTTGGGAAAAGTGGCAGAAACCCCTGGCTTGCTTCCGGCCGCGGAAGCACCTCTACCTGAGCAAATACACAACTCACGCGCACACGCACCAAAGCCCCCACCCACTCAGTACAAGAGACACCTCCGGAGGCTTCCAGGCTGCGCATGCGCAGCCCGACAGCCCCCCTGTGTCTGACGAGCGATTTCCCAGGCACACAGCACAACACTTCAGAAAAAAATTCATCAATACCGCGTCACAAACAGCCGCCAACATTACGCCTCACACCCTACACGATGACGGTGCCCCTTCCTACAAGCCCCACACGAACAACCACCCCAGCGGCGCTGGCTGCTTACAAGCTCCGCATGCTTGAGCAGCTTGCTAACAAGGGCGGCTTCCGTGACTTCTCTGAGGGCAGATCTAATGAGGCAGACAACACAGTTGTATCCCATGAAATCCATGCAGATGTCGCTTTCCCATGGCCTCCGCTGATTAATACGCAGAGGCAGCAACGAGGCAATGCGCTGGAGAAGCAAAGCCGCCCGCTGCACTGTTCCTGCACTCGTCTCTTCCTCCGAAGCACCTGGATATGGCCGCATAAGAACTGCCTGTACACCCGAAGGATACGGCTTTCCGCTGGGGGGCTCTATGGGGTCACCACTCAACAGCCCCATCTTGAGCAACTCCAGACACACAAATATTGCCTCCTGAACGCAGCAGAGACTTGGCAGAAACTCAGGCCTTGAAGAAAGACCGCAGAAAGCCATTAATAACTCACTGACACCGAGAAAGGCAGACACACCGATAGCTGCATGCACGCATGTATGCATACATAGAGACATAGATGCAGGACTGCACGCATGTATACATATATACATACACGCATGCACACATGTATGCATACATAGAGACATACATGCACGACTACATGCGTGAATACACATGCATGCATGCATGCATGCATGTTTTGAGAGACACATGTCCATACGCACGGAAACGTCCATTATTATTACAAAAACGTGTAAAACACACGCCCAGGGTAAAGGAAAACCGTCAAGGCTCCATATAGCTCCTTCCAAAGAACAGGCCGGCGGAATTTCAAGCGCAGAGAGGGCAGCAGTAACACAGGACGGAGGTACGAAGCACAGAAGCAAAGCGCTGGGATACATGCGGTGGATGTGCATGCGGGCACGAGACGCAATAATGAGACCTAGCAACCCCCTCTCCTATCTAAGAGGCAGCCTTGATGAGGCGTCTGTGCATCTCCATGTCTAGGGGCATAAGGTGTGACAACGCATAAAGCCATCCCGCAGCACACAATCTCCACAGCAGAACCGCGTGGACGCGAAACCTCGCTGAAAGCCTCGCGTGTGCATGCTTATTCACACACAAAACGCATGCACACTTAGGCATATATGTATCTATATACATACATATACATATATAGATATATACGCGCAGGTCGATGTAAGAGGACGGCTCGCACAACATGTCTACAAAATGACGGCATTTATTCGCATGCACTGCGCTGCAGCAGCAGGGGCCGAGGAGGAAGGGGCATAATTATACCTGCTGCACGGGGGGAACTGCGGCTAGAGCAGCTCCAAAGACGGTGCTATCGCCGCCTTCGGTAAACAGCCCGACAGCATCCAACAGCTGAAACAGCACTGCTGCTTGTAGCGCTCTCCTCTCCATGTCTGCCCCTGCAGCTGCTGCTGCACGGCCTGCGGCTGCAGCCACCCCTGCAGACTCTCCGAAGAACAAATGCTGCTTCTGCTGATCAGGCGCGTTCGCGAACCATTCCAAGCAGAATCCCAAGTCGACAGAGTCCTTATTCTGTCGGTGAAGTTCAGCTGCTACCGCTGCCGCAGAGACATGCCAGCGGCGTTTCAGACTGCTGCTGCAGCTAACGGGAGGCAACGCATGCGCACCCGTCTCCGTAGCTCCTTCACCCCCCACTCGAGAAAACACAACCGGCCTATTCTGGAATTTGCTATGCAGATGCATCGCCACGAGCCCTGAGCGCATCGGCACCAGCACAAACTGTCTAGCGACACCAACTGCATCGCCCCCTCTCACCGAAATGCCACACTCTAGTTTGCTTGAACACACAGCGCTTCGTCCAATTAAAAGAGTCGAGATCCACAGGAGCCCGTTGCATGGAGAGAGAGGGAGAAAAAAACTCGACGACGAGACGCCGGGAAGGGAGACTACGGCACAGACAGCACGCGAGCTGAAAGGCGCAAGCAGAAACCTACACAGCGCCTTCAGTCTGTACTGCGTGGCTTCTGAGAAAGCCTCTGCGTATTCAACAGAATTCACTGTCGGAAGGCAAGGCTCTGCCCACTCCCCCTGAGCGAGCGCCACTGCAATGTTCCGCGAGAGACGGCCTTGCGCGAGGTGTACATACACTGCCGGGGGCAGCCGCAGACCGACAATCTGCGCAAAATCCTTAGGAGGCAGAGGCGCGCGTGCTGGCTGCTGCGCTGAACCCGACGTAAAGATTTCCACATGCCCCGTTTCCTTCAGCACCAAGGGATACGAGAGGAGACACTTGCCCACGCAGTATCTGCAGCGCAAACGCAGCAAGCCGCAGAGGTGAGGGGCTAACAAAGAGGCGCATTCCACACACACCGCGCACGCTTAGGGAATTCTCAGACGTACAGAACAGGAAACATGCAAACACACTCATAAAGCAAAACAACCCCACAAGACGCAGACCATGCATGCTTTACAGTACAGAAAAATCAAGAAAGAGGCCCCCCCCCCCCACACACACACACAAACAGAAGACTCTTCACAGAAACGAACAATGGGGGCTATATATACACATATATATATATATATCGTGCTCCGTGTACAGCTACAGGTGCATGTATTACTCCAAAGTCCTCAACCAAGAAAAACACTCCGAGATAAGGCGAGACAATCCATACATACACACATACAAATATATATCTATATCTATCTATGTATATACAGATACATACATGTATATATATGTATATGCTTGTATCTATTTGCAGCTAGGTTGACCTGTACATAACGAGATGCCAAAAAATGCATATTTCAATACCTACATACATATAAATATTTATATTCATCTGCACGGAGACAGGGGTTTAGAAAGCACGGGGCCAGTGTATAGAGAAAGCTATCTGCAAGGAAGAGATGTGGGGAGGCCATATACCCGTCTACGTGCTCAAACTTCATTTGGTCGCTTGGGAACTGGTGCAGGTAGCTGCTGATAGGGGCCTGACGGATGAATTCGACGGCGGATCCAAAGGAAAAGCAGGAAGAACCTGGCTGGAACTGTGTCAGATTGAGGTAAGGGAAGGTTAGGCAGTAGTCTGTGCCGGCTAGGAGACAGCTGTCCGCTAGCTGTTCTTCAGTCACGCCCAGCGATTGAAGCAGTTCGCTTTTTTCTAGCCAGGTGAAGAAAGAGCCCTCCACGTCCAGCTGCGTGATGATTCGCGACAAGCCGAAGAGCAAGACGGAGGGGGGTGCCAAGGCAGCGTGAATGAAGCCCGTCTGCAGGAGATACGCTAGCTGGGGGGGAGTTAAGTATGCCGCGTGGAGTGCCTCATAGCCGAGTTGCTGCAGCAACTGCAAGGCAAGCCTCTCCGCGTCGGGAGGCACGCGACTGCAGCACCCCGCAAACTGTGGGGAGGCCGCTTCCCTTCCATTGGCGTAGTATCCTTCCCACGCCTCCACTTGCGGTTGCTGCTGGCTGAACAAGTGGTGACCAGGAGGCTCTATTCCTCTGAATACGAAGACGGGGGTTATGCCGATCTCCTTCAGCTTCAGCAGCTCCTCTCGGATTGCGGCAACGAGCGCTGCACGCCCCTCACCAGTTGGTCCCAGCAAGGCGTCCGGGTAGCAAGGGAGGCCTCGTAGCCAATACACTGCATCAATGCCTAGGCGGCGACCAGAGAGCTCCTCGAGGCTGCTAATTTTGAGCAGCTGCCGCTCCTGCAGGAAGCTGTGCAAGTGACGGACCCTCATTGACGTGGCTGGCTGGAGAACAAAAAATAAAGGGCCTGGATACGAGTCGTGTGGCAGTCACGGAGGCAGGAAGATCCCCCCTATGCGGAGAAGCACACGCCAAAGCAGCCTCGCGGGTACAAGATGATGGAGTCAGATTCCAAGACGCGGAAAGGGGTCCTGTTACACCGGATACACACGCCAGGCAGGCTCGCTAGGACTCAGTGATACAACGGGTAAGAGGTCGCCGCAGAAACACAGACATTGAGGGGCTAAAGGCCGCTTCAACTGTCGAGACAGCGCAAGTGGCCAAATCCCCTGGGATGCGCTTGGCAAGTCTTCAGCTTCGTTTGGGGAACGGCACCTTGCTTGCTGCGGCTGCTGCGGGGACGGCAGCGATCGCAGCCGCAGCGCAGTGCTGCAATTTCGGTAAAAGGGTGGGTTACACAGGATCCAGGTTGGATTACGAACAAAGACAAACGCTTCTCAGGGTGTAGAGTGGGGCAGCACGAGTCAGGCCCTGGCAAGGAGCGTCTTCAACGGCTCCGGAAGGGGCCTTATAGCGGCCTAAGGCGCACTGAGCCTCAGGTGGCATCTAACAAGACAGAAAGTGTTTAGGTTAGGCAAGGTACAGCGCAAGGTCCAAGTGAAACCGCAACAACGGCTGCAGGAGCACCAGCAACAGCAGCAGCAGCTACGGACGCAGGAGGTGCCACACAATGCCGCTTAACGCGCAACAGATCAATTGCTCTATTCCCTTCCCCCATTCTACACCTTCATGCGCGAAAAGCAGCCACCAATCGATGCGAAGAAGCCGCAGCCACAGCCACTGTGGACGCTGCCGCAGGAGCCGTGGGGGCTGCACTGGATGTACAGCTGACGCAGTTTCGTGTGGATCGACCGTTGCCCGCCAAAGAAGGAGTTTAGAGAGTTCTGAAATTTGATAATTACTTGTCTGTTTATAAGAAAACAGCGAACCGCAACTCATAATCTGCTTTTGTGAGGGGCCCCTTGGGTAATATTAGGTGGGGGCTGGTAGACGCTCCCAGGTGGTGTGGGCGTTCTTTGCCCTCCCTGCACTTTTTCTGCGCTCGTTTTTCTTGCAGTGTGCATTTGTATGTAGCGACTCTATTAGGGCCGCGATCCAGGCAGACACTGCAAATAGATGCTGCATACATGCTCCAATATGTCCCCGTACCCTTCTCGGTGCCCTGATTTGTTATTCCTCTCCCCTTCTCCTGTTTCTCTCGCATACACAAGGCTCTGCGGCCTAGAGAGCAGTATCACGGCCACGCTTACCCTGTGGCTCCCAGTGATTAACGGGGTATCGAGTCAGCACTTGCCACAGCGGGATGCTGCACGCATTGGTGGACTGCATCATCACGGTCCGAGCACCAATAGACTGTGTGTCGTGGAGAATCGAATTCACAATTTGCACATCGTCCTAAGGCCTCAGCCCTCACACTCGTGAGAAACAGAATAGATCGCGTTCAACCCTCCATCTGAGATCTCCATAGGGAAATTTGAACTCTAATCTCAATACACACCACCGGGCAGAAGGTTGCTTGGTGTTTCTCAAAAGAACTTCTGCATTCCCCAGCCTTCACCCAACAGAGTTCTTGACATGAGGGGTAAAGGATAGTGTCCTAGATGCATCTTGTAATTACTTTGAGCATTCGCAGCTAGTGGCAGAACACCTGGCGCACATGCATAAAAACATTGCACCTTTTGGTATCGATTCCACAGTCGTCTGCAATGAACAATATATAGAAATGTACAGGATAAGTAGTCAGTAGTGCCATACATTCTATATACACAAATGCGAAGGTGCTGGGACGGGCCCCTGCGCGTTGAGCATCTCATGACGACTGTCCAGTCAGGTGCTCATAAGCTGGGTGGCAACAAGGCATTTGACAGGAGTAGAAAGCACTAAGCCTCTTCTTTCCAAAGAATTGATGGCTTCGCATTTCCCGAGACTCACGGCTCTCGGTGTAGCGGCTCAAATTGCCCAACTGCTAGTAATTTTATCTTCCTGCAAGGAAGAAGAATGACGACAACGGAAGCGAAACCCTTAATCAATGATGTTGAGAGCATGCGCTGCTAATAGACGAGGAGTGTGGCGGGCTATACTGCACTGCAACACCTTCTACCACATTGGGTGTATTTAAATAATGAACTAGAAATGGATCGACTCATTACTTTGCCTGTCCATATATCTTTTATATTGAAGCTTACTGTCGCGTCAGCAGAAGAACACGTGTGGTTCTCTGTGTGCACCAGATGCTATGTGCAGCTAGCTGCGAATGCTTGGAGGCCAGTGGGTGAAGCTATGCGCACCGTGATTGTCCTCTCCTCTCGCGTCTGGAATTTTAGTAGCTGGTAGGTGAAGGGCGGATTCCTTTGAGAAGCACGCTTTTACTTTCTATCAAGTGTTTCCCACCGAAGGTATTTGATGGACCTCTTTTTATAGTGGCATCTCCTATTTTGATGGAGTTCTTTCCTGATCATCCACTGGTTGTAATCATCGGCAACACTCCAAGAGAAAAAATTTATTATGATAGAAGTTGACGCTAGCACAACGCCTGTGGGGGCAGCAGAGGACGGTCCGCAAGCTAATGTGTGCTGTAGCTCTGAAGCTGGAAGAGTATAATATGCCAGTTATCACCCGGTTGGAATTGTACCTTGCACTGCTTTCCCCGTGAAGATAAACCAATGGTCTTTATTCCATGGTCAGCTGAAAATGAAGCGCTTCATGATGTAGACTTATTGTTTGTTGGCAAGCACCGATATAGTTCAAGCCTCAGTACACCCCCTGACGCATCGGTATGTGTCGAGTCCTGCTTAATAGCAAGCTTTGGGATAATTGGGGAAGCTTAACCAGGTTAGTTTACCAATACGTAGGTACATCGCCAAATATTGGTCTCACAAGCCAAGAAGTAGATGAACTCCTGCTTCACTAGAAGCTAATTTCATGTCTACACGCACTGTGATGTCAGGTGTCCGCGAGATGAAAAGCGACTCAGCGATTGAATAATTGGCCGGGAGCCTCTTCACAAGTAGTCAAGTGCTTGAGGCTTTAGGAGCAAAAGAGCGCATTTCTTGCTCCTTCCTGCTTGGAAAAGGGAAGAACGAAATCGGGATTCGCACCAATGGATGTTGGAGCTGTGTTAACGGGCCCTAGCCTACAGTCCAAGGTGAAAGGAGGAAGAAAGAAAAAGGGAAAATACAAGCCTAAGCAGTTCCCCAACAAAGTACCTGCATCAATTGTTGACACTTCGATCACATTATCCGGGGCTGCCACCGCATGTAATAAGTAAAAGAATTTGATCAGCAAAGTTGGGTCCGAAAGAAGCAGGCTGCTTGGTTGAGCAACGGAACCACATCAAGAAAATGGAAAGCTCCTCATACACTCTACATCGCAGTGAAGAGGGGGCTACAGAGGGTCGAGCCTCAGTTGCGGGCTCACCAGGGTTCAATCCTTCGCTTACACATATTCACACTAAAGGTAAAAAAATGCCAGAGCTTCTTGACATAAGACTGTAAACGGATGTGCTATCAGAGTATATGATTCGTAGTTGCAAATTGCGGCTTCACTTATTGGCGCAGTCCCCAGGAATCAGGTATGCTGAGGGCCGGCAGCATACAACGAACGACAAGGCCGTGGCAATCAAATGCTACTTTATACTTGAACTGGGTTCTATTAACATGGCTCGAAATTTGTTTGTTGAGCACGTGCATCATGACTAATTACTAGGTATGCCATCAATGGAAGGAATGCGTGCGGCCGCAGCTGCGCACTGTAAAGGTTAGTGTGCCGCGAAATGCTACGAGGAAGCACCTCCTGGTCTTCTCGATAACACTCGTTTATGGTGAGCGTGGTAGACTTGGTGCCTTGATAAAGTTAGTCAACTTCTCCATTTGGGCGGCGTTGCAGCGCAGTAAGACTAGATGATCATAAGCAGGCCTCCCGTCTTAGTGGCTTGCAGCTGGATCTTTACTAGAAAATTCAATCTGAATTTTGATGGAGGTATCACACAAATCAACAAATATAAAGTAATACGTCGCGGAGGTGCTAAATAATGACGAGCTGTGAGCAAACTGGCCACCTGGGAATCATCTGGAGCATCGTATTCAGTAATTTCCCGGGTCAGGCCCAAGCTACGTCCGGAAGTATTGGAGCCTTCCATGGCACGAAGAGGGAAGCTAGAGGCGGGTGGATAATCTGTCTAAAATGTCAAAGTGCATGGATCGACAAGTGCTTCTGCGCAAAATCCAGCGAGTATGCAGGAAATGAAAGTTAGATGGCGCATGTGAGCTAGCACAAAACCCCACCCAGCAACTAACTTCACAAAGAATACTGACCAAAAGTATAGTCAACGTCCAATTTCATGGACGCTTTCTTAAATGTTCACATGCACCCAAATGAGAGACCCGAAACGCTAACATATCGGCGTTCTAATGATGACGACCAATGGGACCGCTGAGATCCGGTTGGCTTGGTCATTCATGCGTTGTTGCTTACTGCATGGCTTTCTTCCTTCTATTTCCCTTAGTCAGCTTATGCCTACGTTCTTGCTACTACTTGCTCTGCTTTCCGCATTTCTACCTGCCTCGAAACTGGCGATCGAGGGAACACATCTGCTCCCTTGCATGCAGATGGCCTCGTCGGCCGGGTGTGGAGCACAACTTACTGACTTTCACAAAGCGGGGGTAATACGTAGCGGGATGAAATACGTATTCGCACGGTATGCAAAACTAGTAATTTTTTACTTGGCATTAACTATAATAGCGCTCTACCCAAGGTCGCCATAGGTAAACACTTAACTCCAGACTCAGTAGTAACTTGACAGAAATTTACCGAGTGTTCCTCAAAAATAACTTTTGCATTTTCCTGCAGGAGCCCTTCATAGTTTTTGACATACAAGGAGACCAACACCAAGGAGGCGCCCAACTGCACCTTTCAAGCACACCGAGTATTCACAGCGAGTTACGCATGACATAGCGCAGACGCACAATTTTGCTTCTTCTTCTATCAAACTAACAGTACTTTGCACTATAGAAGATAAGCATGACAAACGAGTTTCTCGACTTCCTAGTACTTTATAAATATGACTAGTGCAGTAGAGAGCGTATAAGTTCAACTGATCCCGCTACAGTTCCCCCCGCATTCCCAAATAGAATTTATCGAAATTAACCCGCCTTGTCCCGAACTTGCATGGAGAGACCATCTGCTTGCAGGAAGTCCGAAGAGCTGTTCCTGACGCCACTCCACCGGCGGGCAGGAAAGCCTATCAGCAAATGTGTACGCCTACCACTGAAATACAGTCGACGCAGAGAAGAATACACACACTAGCGGCCAACGAACAAGCGACCAAGCCAACAAGATCCACGATGCTTCTTTTGCCTCGGTGTCATCGGACGGTTGAACTCTGACCTTCCGGCTACGAAAAAGCTTGGTGTAAAAGGATATAGATTAGAATGTACTTAGGCTCAGCAGTGCTCTCGGGCCTTACAGAACAGTCTTTGCATGGAAAACAGTCGATGCGTGTAGCAACGTGTGATTTTAGGCCCCAAAGAGGCATAAAGGATGACTGTGGAGACTGCATAGTTGAGAGCACCCCGTCATAAAACCGAATGTAGCGGGAAACAAAGATACAAACCGGGGATGTTACAAGCAATAAGCGTGTATGGAGTTTGGTCAATTGGGCAGAGCATACCCCGGGGAAGGCCAACTAAAGGAACAAGCGGGGTATTTATGGCAACTAGCGTTTTTAACCAAACGGAGCAGCGAATTTTCTCGTTTGCAGCAAAGCTTGCTACTGCTCCTCACGTAACTAGTGAGGCAGACGTTCAACACCTTAACTCACTAGGAACTCCCGTCTAGTGTGTCCTCGGCGCTGAAGCGTCCTAACATCCAGCACCTCTACAGCTCTCTTGATCATCCGTCTACACCCAGGACTTTTGCCCGCGCAGCAAAGTTTGCGAATAATTAAGGGATTTTTGAAACTTCTCTGAGAAGCCAACATTAATAGTTCTGTGCAACTCCATCTTTTAGGGAAGTCGACAGCGTACTGTCAAGCATATATTTGTGAGGAGATGGCAAATGGTCCTAGCCACCTGGACGCGCACTGCATCGTCTGCCCACCTTCTTGAACAGCTAGGAAAGCCGGCCACTTCGAACGGCCAAAGGTTCGGGCTCGAATACACAGTCTGCAGCAGCCCTCATGGCAAAAAATATGGTTACTAAACATCATACCGATTAGAGAATTCGATTCTAATTTCTAGCTGGATGCAACTATTGTTGTGAAAAAGCTGCAGTGCAACGTAAAGTCAGGTCAATACAATAAGACGCGTTGGTACGTGCGTGTGAGTTTTATGCTCTGTGCAACTAGTTCTAAATGCCTGGGGTGCCCAAAGGGTGCAGATACGCCCGTCGTAGCCGCCCCTCTCCCCACATATTGGAGCCGTCATTGGCACGGAATGCGATAGCTCTTTGGAAAACAGTTCTGAACAGTCTATTCAAGGAAGTAAGTGTCCTTGTGCAGTGATCTCAGTTGGAGCGGTAAATGAGGTTTCCTGCACGCACTGAGCCGTTTTTAAGTGTGAAGGCCTCACACAGCCGTACAAAAACCACCACAGAAAGTGTCTTCTCTCACGAGCTGTGTTTTGCAGGTCCGGCATTATATCACTGAGCGCACCATATATGGCGATCCACTGCTGAAGGGATGTAATAGATTCTCGGTGCACTAAACACCTTCTATCTTATTGATTGGCGTCTCTCTTGGCGGCAGTTACCAATCAACTAGACACTTGTGCACATTGTTTTGGGGGCTTGCACCTTCCTAATAGGTTATATTCACTCTGCTGCACACTTGAACAAGGAATGGCGATTATGTCAAGTGCGCTAGAGGTTGGCTAATTCACATTACACTGCCGAGCTTTGCTGGAAATGCTACTGAGAAAGTGTACTTTGAGACTCTACAAAAACTGGTCTTCTTATGATTGGGCAAGATGAGATTTAATACCGACGATCCTCGAGGTGCCTGCAATGCCCATGAAAGCGTAGCGCAATTCGATTCATTTTAACCATGGAACTCCGTGTGTCATGTAATTTGGGGGCGTTATCCTGCGTTTATTTCTAATTTTTCAAGTATGTAAAAAATATTTCAATGAAGCTAGCGCAGAGAAGCTTGATCGAGCAAGGCGTTCCTGCCGGCGTCGTGTGTCGCGTGCGGATAGATCAACGCTTCGCGTAGGCTGAGATGCAGGCTGCGGAGGATGCTACCTCTAACGCCCAAGGGGTGGTGTTCACCATAACCAAAATTGTGTAGCAGGTATTTCTCTCGGATGGAAGGCTGCGAATTTTCATCGCGCCTCAGGTCTTCGGCAGTTGCGAAGGCAACCCACTGACTTTGATACTCAACGCCTCTCTCTTCTACTTTCTTTCGACAGCCAGTTTCTTTAGCAACGAGCCTAATCTCAGGAGCCTCGGGTTCTATGTTTATGGTCTACTACGTAAGGACGATCTAGGAATCCTTTGCAAAATGACTTGGAAGCTCGCATCCTTCGTGGCAGCGCTGCTTGCAGGTACTCAGTACTCCCAGACCAGCTTTGCTGCCCGCTGACTTTTCCCCGGGCAGCGAGAGCAAATCCACATGTAACTGCAGATGATTCTGTTCCTTGTACCGAATGCAGAACATATTAACTCAAAAGAGCCTTTGGTTTTCTCTCGTTGGGCCCGCGAATCAAGTGTTCAATGTAGGGTTTGGTTGTTGTATGCAGGCGTTGCGCTCGGTGAAGAACCGACATTAATTGACCAAAATCCTCCCGCTGAGGCTGTCTTGAAGCCTGAGGAAGAGTCTGGAGGCAGTTCATTGGGTTTGCAAAAGCCGACCGACTTTGTGCAGAAACTGCAGGCCTTCCAGGAGGAGATCCGTGTCTGGCACGAGACTCAAAAAGACAACCTCAAGGCGTCTTACGAAGAGTTAGTTGAGCTGTGGAAGGCAACAGCCGAAGCCGCGGAACGCCGCTTCCAACGCGCCAAACAGTCAACTCAGTCCGACCTGAAAGACGCTAATGAAATCTGGACCTCATTTTTCGATTGGTTGAAGAATCTCATAGCCGGAATCCCCGTCCCTCTGCCTGTGACAGGGGGGACGCAGAGCCAGCAGAAGGCAGGTCAGCTAGCGCCTATCTCTATCCCCCAAATTGGCGCCATTCTGGAAGAAATGCATGCACTCCTTGAGGCCGTGTACACTAAGGTTTTGCAGGAAAAGGCACAGCTGCTGAACCAAGAGGAGCAACAGCCGCAGAAGGAAGGCTTGACCCCCGTCACTACCGAAAGCCCATCCTCGGAGGTTGCAAAGGCTGACCAGGAAGTAACATCGGATACTCCGCAGAAGGAACAACAGGAGGAGCAACGGTCGGAAATTGCGGAGGAGGCGGCAACGCCGACCCGAGAAGAAGCGACACAGGTGCAGCAGGAGATGGCCGAAACAGTGGAAAGACAGGAAGATGAGGTTTCTGAGCCTGAGGTTGGAATCACATCGGAGGCAGAAGCTGGGCAAGAAACCGTGCAAGAAGCTGTACCAGAAACTGCGCCAGAAGCTGTACCAGAAACTGTGCCAGAAGCTGTGGAAGAAACCGTGCCAGAAGCTGTGGAAGAAACCGTGCAGGAAGCTGTACCAGAAGTCGGGACAGAAAATGTGCAGGAGGGTGTGCAAGCAGTGGCGGCTTCCCCCCAGCAAGCCGAACCGGAGGCACACGGAGCGCTTCTAGTAGTAGCAGAACCTGAGGCTTCAACAGAAGCGACTCCTGCAGACGACCACGCTTCCCAGCTTTCTACCATCGTACTGGACACCCTGAACCGTATCGAGAATGCCTACAAGTCACTGTACGAAACTCTGAAGGCGGCAATTGTTTCCGGCTCCCGAGGGTCCTTTAGGGCTCCTCAGGCTGCTGCCACTATGCTCAAAGAGCTAGAGGAGCTTGGAGAAGAGTTTGCGGAAGAAAATGCAGCAGTGACAGCAGAGCTGGCAGCCGTGGAAGAGGCTGCACAGCGTCAAGGGCCTACCTGGACGATGATTGAGCGAGAGAAAGTCTTGAAGAAATGGCTAGTGATGGCTAACATCCAGCAGGTCAAGATAACAGCCATTGGCAGCAAGGCAGCAGCCTATGGCATTTCAACGGACGTAACGCCAGTATTGAGTCCAAGTGCAGAGGAGCAAGCGGCCACCCCTCCCTTCACCACCTACCCATACATCTACTATCCCTAGGCTCTGTGTACCGTAGTAGTTGCAAATGAGAGGCAAAAGGAAGAGTGTTAAAATATGTGGGGCGCACTGCGCAATAAGCAGGTAAAGCAAGAGGTTCACGTTTCCCCGACAAACTTCGAGGTATTAAAAGTGATACTCGTTCGGGCAGCTCTTGCGCAGCCGCTAGAAGTGCAGCAGTAGCGGCAGCGACGGCAAAAGCAGCACTAGGGGCCACTGCGATGGCGCTGCCGAGCAGAACTGCCAGTGTAAACTGAAGTAGCTAGCAAAACTGACAGCAGCAACGGCTGAAAGTTGCCACGCTCGCAACGCCACTAACAGTGTAGCAATACCCAAGGCAGTAACAACACTAGCCCTCATGGCAGGCAGAAAACTTACCCCTTGCCACTGTTCGACATGGATGGAACTGTGGCAGAGGGAGAGACTGCCTACAAGCTAGAGTCGCTGCACCTTTCCGCACTTGCTTGTGCCAGCCAGCACAGTGAACTGCAGCTACAGCTGCCTCCGCAGCAGCACCAGCAACTGCGGTAGCTGCCTTCTCTGGCATTCGCATGCACCGCCATGAGAGGATCGGGGCACACGGGCAGCAGACGGATTCAAGTGATATCAGGCCTCACTCTTCGCCGGAGCCTCTCCCTCATTTATTAGAATAAGCAGCACGCTCACATTGTCCTGCGCAAACGCCACACGTTCTAGAGGCAGGCAATTTTCAAATGCAACATCACGCAGACACAACGGCAGCAACAACAGGAGCTGCAACGCCAGCAAACATGTACCTGTGCCTTTCGGTCGACTAAAACGTAATCCACCTACGCCACACACACAGCCGCAAGGGGAAGCAGGGCAAGTCTTTCGGAGCAAAAACGACCCCTCTAGCTGCTACGTCTCATGAACACCTTCATCTGCAAAACACTAGATGTACCTGCTGACGCCCCCTCCTTGAGGGGAGTCTGGCCCAAGCAGTAGCATTAGGGCAAAAGCGTCAGCAGTAATTACGAAACCAGCAGCATCCTCTAAGGCTCACAAGTTGGCGGCAAACTGCCGAGGGGTCAAAAGGCCTCGAGTTCACCTTTGCAGACCGTTTCTCCTGAAGGCGCACCCGGCAGCAGAAGCGGCAGAATCAGCAAAAAAGGCTGTTCCCAAGAGACAAAGTGGAAGTAGCAGACACCGACAAGGCCCTCCCTTTCTCCCCTACCCAAGGATTACAAAAAATGACGCATTGAACCAGGCCGCGTTTGCCGCTTTTCGCTGCAGACAGGCAACAATGCCATCGTCCTAATGAGCGGCACCAACCCTGAACCCCCGCAAATGCATCACTTCATCGCGAAAGGCAGCAGTAGCAAGGGCAGGACTGATCGCAAGAGAATGCAGCTGCGATGAATGACTTGCCTTTTGAATGAACTCTGCCGTTTTATTGATGGCTTCAGATGCACCCCAGGCCCCCCAAAAGCCGTCACACGCGACCAGCAGAAACTCATCTTGCGAAGGGCACAGAGAAGTCTTGCGGATTGTGGGAACACAAGAGACACCGTAGCGCTTGAGCCTGAAGCATAATCGCCCCAGCAGCAACACAAGCCGAAAGCAGCAGATCTGATCACAGCTTCAGAGAAATTTTTTCCCAAAAAGAGAGGTGCGAAAACCCCTATATAAGAGCGCGACAGTATCCATGCACACACGCAGTGGCGAGTATCTGGACTGAGCGCTAGAAGAAACGATAGGAGGCAACAAGAAAATGCGAGCGAGCAGCATCTACATAGACGGACGCGTGGCGTGGAAGCTGCGGAGAAAGAGTGAGCCTCCTAAGGGTATTGGCAATTGTGGATGCCTCTCGAAAGTTCGAAAAGAGAATGCGAAGAGTCAAAAGAGAAACAAACAAACAAACGAGTAGAAACGTGAGCAGCAAGGCAGCGCAAAGCTTCTTTGAGGCAGGAGGCAGTCACAAAGGCTGACAGAGAGAACAGCTCGTGTGGCTCCTGCCTGGACCCAGCAGCCGCATGCAGGAGACGCAAAGTTTACGGCCTCCTGCCTGCACAGCCTGTCTTTTCGCATGTGAAAGCAGCTCACGGTATATCTCCAAACGATCGTGTGAGCTCCAACTGTCCATTGACGCGGCCTCCCTCAATCGAGCCGCCCATCCTCAGAATGCGTTCCTTTTCAGCCAGCAGATAGGGTCGGTGCGTCTCAGTCAGCGGAATCGCTGCAAGCCCCATACAAAAACACACACACAGACACAGACACCATGTACACATATACATACAAGGATACACACACAGACACACAGACACCATGTACACATATACATACAAGCACACACAGACACACAGACATCATGTACAAATATACATACAAGCACACACACACAGACACACAGACACCATGAACACATATACATACAAGCACACACACATACACAGACATCATGTACAAATATACATACAAGCACACACACACACACACACCATGTACAAATATACATACAAGCACACACACACACACACGCACACACACACACACACACACACACACACACACACACACACATACAAACACACACCTACACAGCATATACACGCACAAATACACACCATGTACACAGAGACACCTACATGTGTGCACTCGCATGCACAGACACCTGACACTTGAGGCCGTAGGCCCTTGGGAAGCGTCGCATGGGGAGAGAGGCCTTGTCGGGAGCTGGCAAGCAGCTCTCTTTTCTTGCTGAAAGTCGCAAGCGTAAGGCTTAAGCAGTGAATCGCACCATGATAGCCTGTCTCGTGCTTTCTGGCTAGATAAGCCGCGCTGTCTCCCAGGCCCGCAATAAAGGCTTGACGCGCCAACATCAGCAGAAATACCGCTGTGCAGCCATCTGCATGCATGGCCAAGCCGCAAAACGAGCCTTCGTAGAGTTTGAACTCCAAAGCCTCTAGAACGAAGTCAGCGCACATACCGAGGACGCCGCAGACTCCGCAGCGAAACGCGGAGCCCTCTGGGGTGTACATACCTCTGCAGGCAGGGATTTCTGTGGCGATGCGGGAGTCGATCTTGCGAAATGCGGCGTACAGCACCTGGAGCAGCGCCACGAGCAGCCGCATTTCGCAAGACGCAATGCAGAGCATAGCGCGCCCGTTCTCAACCCCCGCCAGCTCCCGTTCTGCAAGAGCCTTCCCAGCCCTTCACCAGCTGGCAGCCTGCATCGCGCCAGGAAGGAAAAACTTACGTGCTTCATCTCATGATCTGAGACCCCTCCCGTCGAAAGTTCATTGCTCTTGTCGCGAGTGCTGCTACCCTTGACCACTGCTGCATCGACCTCGCCCTTGATCGTCTGCAGCTGCTGCTGCTGCTTTTGCTGCCGTGAGGGATCTTCCTGCTCCGCTTTCTGGTGCTGCTGCTCCGCATACAGCTTGAGCTGCGTTGCGATCTCCAGAGGCAGCGTGGCTTTCACGAAGGAAGCCGACTGGCGACCGCCATGACCATCCAGAATCGCAAAAACGCTGGCGCAGAAGGCGCAGCACACACAGCGCTCTAAGCAGTACGAGGCAGGCAGAGGGCCTGCGCGCGGTAAAGGCACCGGGGGAAAGGGGTGTTTCTGGCGAGTGCAGCGGTTCGGCTGCTGGGAATGACGGGAAAGAAGCTAGAAGCGAGGCAGACGCCACGGGGAAGCCAGAGAGCTTACGCGAAATCCCTTTGGGGCTTCAAGGAGGGCTCAAGAGTGGCCAAAGAGGGCAGCACGAGACGCTCATCTTCCATCTGGCGCCTCACACCCTTGTCACCGTAGACGGCGGCATCCACATAGAACCCCGCTGAGTCGCACAGACCGCACAAGACCCCTAGACTGTTCGGTTCCTTGGATCAGCAGTTCTGGGGAATACTGGCAAGGCTCTTGTGTGTCTGCAGTGTTCACGCATGGGGGATAGGGGGACAGGTTTAAGGAGGGGTATGGAGAGGAGGGGCTTGTGGGAAAGGAGCAGGGCAGCAGGGAGGACGAAAAGGGAGGGAAGCTCGGGATTTACGGAACGAAATGCGGGTGGTGCCTCCATCGATGCAGCGGCGCTTGCCTCCAGCGTCTGCACGAAACGCAGCAAAGGCCCCTACATCTCCAAACGTGCCCCTCTAGCCCTCTCAAAGCAACCAACTGCATGCAGTGTCGGCCCGATCGCGACGCTGCAGGTGCCCCCCGCCGCTGGACGCACCGCTCACTGAAGACGGCGAGGTAGCGGCAATCCGCTTGGTGATGCTCATCGCGTGGGACCCCTAAACGGTAACACCCCGAAAGTTCCCGCTGGTAGGCAAGAGGGCACGCTCACGAGCCCTTGCACAGCGGTCCAAAACGCAGACGGAAGACGCGAAAAGCCTTGCTCGGTGGAGATACACCGCGGCTTCCCCGAAATCTCAGGCTCCTACGCGTTCCCCTGGACGCACGGATGCCGCAGAGCGCCCTGAAGGCGCAGCTCCAACTGCAGCTCTACGCTTAATACTTGCAGGGGAGGGGGAGGGGGAACCAGAGGCCTCTTCTGCTGTCGTGGTTAGGATGCGAATGACTCCGGCAAAAGGGGGGCTGTATGCCCTTGGGCGCATCAGTGAGAAGTTCGCGACGGCCGTGCCCACAGCATCGAGCACGAAGACGACAAATAAAACTAAAAGCGCGAGAAAATACACAGCAAGCAAGAACGACCCCCCGTTCAGAAGCCGTATTCCCCAACTCCACTCCTTGTGCCATCTGAGGGGGCCCTCTCCGGGGGGCCCCCTCCGTGCTGCGGCAGAGGTCTTTGAAGGGGGGCCCTGCAGCTACCCCGAGAAATCTCGACCTTCACACTCTAAGTCAAAAGTCACGAGCTTCTCTGTCTTTTGCGGTTGCGGAGAGCTATGTTGCGCAGCAACTCTGGACCCCCTCAAGTAACCTCTGTGCATCCCGAGCGCTACAGCCGTCGCTTTAGCTTTAGGGACGTGAGCTTGAGTGCTGAAGTGCGGAGCTTAATTCACCCGCGTGCGATTCCGGGGCAGAATGACTAACGGTCTCCTCTGCAACTTGACAGCTCTGCACCTCTCGCCGTAAACTCTGCAGCGACCCCTCCACTAACGGACCAGCTTGCCTAGTAGCCGTTCCGTGCCCACTTGCACACTCTAAAGGGCATTACCGCCCCGTCAATAAGCAGAATGGGCTTTCGATATTTGGCCTCGAGGAACTCGGCCTGAGAGAATAAAAAGGGATCTAGGAAGGACTGCACTCTGCAGAGTTCTTTGCCCTTGAACCCTAAACCCGCACCAAGCACTTGTTCCAAGAGCTCCAAATCGTAGCAGAAGAGAGTGCAGCATCTTTCGCGTGTATCGACACTGCCGTCCTGGCTGCATATCGTGAATGCCTGGTGGATTAGCGAGGCCTACGGTTCTGGCCAAGCGTTACTAGGAACAGGGACGATGCGATACCTAGGGCCGTATCACCCACGAGCCAGTCAGCAGCTCCATAGAAGAAGCTTGCCTCGTTCAGTAGCTTTCAAAAGGCAATGCGGCGAAAGCCTGCCAGTCGCCTCGCTGCTTTCACTGCGACTGCGCTTAATCGCGCGAGAAAAGAGCTTCGCGGGCCTTAAAAAAGCGACGATGGAATACGGCCTCCTGCGGAAACACGCCACGCCACACGCCTACACGACACGCCCTGAAGAGCCTGGCTGCCGAGGCTCCGAACGGAGCTCACAATTCACACGTGCATGCATGTAAGTATGCCTCAGACGCTGCGGGGTCACTCAAACGTAAGGACTCTAAAAAAAAAAAAAACACACACACACACATCTTGGCAGGGACTAGGCATTTAGTTAGGGATTTCGCCATGAAGGGCTGGGGTGTAGGATTCACGGGTATTCCAAATGTGGAGAGTTCGGAGGCTCCTATCTGAAGCAGCTCGGATCCTCGCACTCCCCAAGCCTCAAATGCTGGGCTTAAAGGCGGCAGATCGAGGCCTTGGGCGAAGATCTGGCAGGCCCTAGGGGACCACAAGTCTACACGTTTCCGCTGCTCGTATTCTACCGATCCTAGCGTTGTTGATGCCGTTGGCGTCGAGCCTCCGGCCTGTTCTTGCTTGCTGGAGGGGCGGAGGACAGACTTTCCCGCTGCCGAGGGGTTGGCGACTCGCTGCTGCTGCTCTTCCGCATGCGCCTGTGCCTCCTCTGACGGCTGCTGCAGCTGCGCCTGAAGGGTGAAGCGATAGGAAGTGGCGGGGTTGAGGTCGTTGATGCAGAAAGCTCCTGCTAGCCTGAAGTCATCTTGGGGACCCCGATGCATGCGTACAGGGAAGGCCTGAAGGAAGGCGTCAGCGCAGCCTCGTGTCATTGCGAAAAAAACAAAGAGCAGGAGGCACTTGGCTTCGGGTTTCGGAAACGGCCATCGGTTCAGAAGGGGTGTCAAGGTACAGAAGTTTACATAGACGTTCGAGGATGGGATACTCGTGGCGATCTTCGCGTGCGCTGTACTCTGCGCAACGGCATCATCTGCAGTTTCTTCTGCGCCAAGCGCCTCCTGAAGCATGCGAAAGGTGAGGCGGCCTTCGCAGAAGGCGGTCCCTACGCGGCGACAGATGCAGCACGTAAAAGAGACCATCACCGACTGAGCCCTCATATCGCTGAGCTTCAATCGTAGCTGCGGCTGCAGATCTTGGGTCGTCTGAGGCTTTTGCTCTTGACCTGCAGCAGCAAACCAAATGATCCACTAAAAAACTGCAAGCGTGTTCTGTCTGTCTCTGTGTGTGTCGTGCTCAGGATACACCCGAGCTTTCCATTTACCCGTTCATCTGTAGAGATACACCTGTACAAATACATGTAAGTAAATATGTATGGATACATAGATACGTATCTACCTGTCTCGTTCCTTCTCTTTGTAAGCCTTCTACTGTGTCTATCTTCCTGTGCCTGTGTCTCCGCGAACGGATTTTTCTGTGTTTTTTCCCCTAGTCGGCAAGGGCCCGTCTGACCCGTTGCTTGTGCGCTGCCAACGCTCCAAAGCACCAGCTTCCCGGCTATCTGCCTTGCTGCCCAGCTGTGTCTATCTGTGGCTGTCTTACTGGCAGGCTCGACAGCTCTGTCCAAGAGCTGTGAGAGGGGATCTTGACTCTCCAGCAGCCACTGGCCCCAAGGCGCTTCAGCCTCCGCGGTTGAGGCTCGAGCAGCTGACAGTGTAACTGCTGCTGCTGGTGATGCTGCTGCTGTCAGACCACTGGGGGCGTCTGCCCGTCCTTCATGCGGCTCTTGTTTCGTCTCGCCTCCAGCTGAGAGCATACGACGGCCACACGCAAAGTGGAGCTCTTGCAGGCTGTTTGCAGAAGCAGCTGCAGCTGGTGCTGCTCTGGCTGCTGATGCCGTAGACGTCATGGACGTCGACAAAGATACGCTGGCTCCTCCCGACTCTTCATCACTTGAGGAAGGCAAAAGGCGTCGGAGATGCTTCCTAGAGGCTCCTGAAGCACCTGTTGAAGAGGACCCCGATGGTGTTGGAGTGGCGCTGGTAGTTGTCTGCAGACGGCCTTCTCTTACAGGAGTGCCGGTAGGGCTGCTTGTACTGCTACTGCTGCTGCTGCTGCTGCTGCCACCTTCTGCTTTGAATTTCTTCGGAAAAACACATGCATAGACACCCCTCTCGCTTGCGCTCCTGCTGCTGCGAGTGCCCTTCCCAGGACCCCCGTAAGTAGAGGCGCCATTGTCTTCTTGGCTGCCTTTTTTTCTGATATCTCCATTATTGCCGTCCTCGTCGCTGGATTCGCTCTCACTGCTCCTGCTTCCGCTGCTGCTGCTGCTTCCGCTGCTGCTGCTGCTTGTCTTCCGTGTGGCTTTACGCCTCCGTGTTGCTAGATGTGCAGCATCCGCCTCAGCCGGAACTGAAGCATGTGGCTGTGGAGAAATGCTTGCCAGTAGATCTTTTGGTGGTTTCTTCTCCTGCCTAGCAGCAGCGGAGGCAGCAGGCCCGTCCTCCGCATCAGTGTAGATGAGATGCGGCAGCAGCAAGCGGTTCAGATCCGCAAAGAGATTCACGCTTTCCAGACCTCCAAACAGCCGCTTCAGCACGCAGTCGCACTGCACGGTGTGAGGATCCCCCGGCTGCTGCAGCTGCTTCTGCTTCGCATACGCCCAGACGGCCCTAACAACTTCCACTCTGTTGCTGACAGGCGGCAGCTGCATTAGGCGCTGCAACGACACTGACAGTCGGACTGGCAGCCGGCAGGCAGCGACCCCTGCTGCTCTCCGCTTGGCGCTGACTCGGCGCTTACGCCGTTTTCGCTTGAGGCTTCTGTCTGTCTTCTTGCCGACAGCTGCGCCTTTGCTGCTGCCTCTGCTGCCAGCGACGCTTCCATTGCAGTCGCTGCTGCGCTCGTGCTTGAGCGCAGCGAGGATGGCTAGTTTGTCGCTCCGGCCTGGCGGAGCACCCCGCGGTTGCGAGCGCCCTTCCAGCTTCAGCCAGTCTGAGTTCGGAGCTGTTTTGCTTGCTGGCGATGCTGCTGGACGACCTGCTGCTGCACTCCTTCCAGATAGCTCCTCGTGTTTCATGGTTGCGGGGCAGCCGACACGGGTATAAAAATTCAGGCTCCTACGTCTTAGGATCTTGAACTCCAGACCTACTCCTCCGCTCTCTGGGGAAAAAGGCTGTGCTGCAAGGCCTAGAAACTCCAGATTCACTCGTCTTTTTATGGCTAACAAAATGTGCAAACAGGTTCAGGTGCAACAGTCGTATGGGAAGGATCCTCAAAGACGAGCCCGCCGCCTCCATGGGGGGCCCCCCTCCGAGCCGCGCATCCAGCCACAGCTGCATCGGGGGCCCCTTCGCCCAACTCAGAAGGCGTTCTCTCTCACTTTCGTCTCTTGGAGGCTTGGCTTTCGGCTTATGTAATGAGAGCTCGGGATTTCGAAAGCCTTTGGCTAGGGTCCCCTTCCTGAGGAACGTGAGGGGCCTGCTGTGCAAAGCCCACCTTGCGGCTGTTGCTGCTGCTGCAGCAACGGCAGTCACGAAAGGGCAGCAGCAGTAGCAAAAGTTACGGAAAATAGCTCTCTGCTGGACCCCATAGAGGCTACTGCCAAAGCAGCTGGCGAAGTACAGGGATTTCAGCAGCCCCACCTGCAGCAGCAGCAGCAGCAGCAGCAGCCTTCGATGTCAAGAGCAAGGAAAACGCAGCAATGGAGTCTTTAGAAGAGACTCTGACAGCGTATGCTTGCAGGCTTGAGGCTTTCGAGGGACGCCTAAAGCAAATAAGGGAGGCCCTCCAGGCCCTTTCAGAAACCACACCTACGGCTCCTCAAGAAGCTTCAGCAGCCAATAGCACCCAAGAAGCCGTGATAGAACTGCCCCCCTTAGAAGCTGCGCAGCTGCACGTCTGCACGGCCTTTGCGGCGTGCACCCTTTGGTTCGGTAAGATGTGATGGGATTGGCCTCTTCGCCACGGTTTGAAGCGTATCAGCTGTTTGGCATTTGCCATTTTTGCGTCGCTCCTACGTGTTGCTTAGGCCTTGGAGGGAGCGATGTGTGTGCTGGTTTGATGCAGTCTACCTTAAGACGCAGGGGCTAAGTACTCAATGCCACCCAGTAACAAAGGACCTCGTCCGTTGAGCTCGAAATCCCGAACCTTCGACCTGTCTTATGACACCCCCCTCATTGCAGGCTCTTTAGATTCTTGCTAAAAATACGTTTCTCTAGGCTTCATGGGAGGAAGGCCTTCGACTGTGTGCTGCGTGGTTCAGGCTCGAGTACAGCAGTACATGCACAAGGTTTCAAGGGCCATACAAGAAGGTATGTTCACTCTCGGCGCACAACTCCGTAATTCTGCCCTCTCATTTAGTCGTGCGTCCGTGTAAACCATTCACGCATCTCCCGCTACATGTCTTCGAAATGGACGGCTGAACATAGAGGCCTACGCTCTAGCGTTCAGCGTCGAAGATCCAGGTTCGTGCTGTGTGCAGGCGAGAAGAGAACACAACAAGTAGATGTCGCCGCTGCTGGACGGATGATCGCCTTCCACACCGCAAACTCTAAGCGCGAGAGTATTCAAGACAGTCGAGATCTTAACGAGAGGACCCCAGAGGCACCCCCCAAGAAGCGCCGAAAGCCCAAGGGCGCCTCAGGGAGCGTCGGCACACCTGGGAGGGGCGACGTCAGTCAAAATGTGTCTGCACCAGCTCAAGCGACTCCGGAGTCTGGAGAGAACCGCGAAGCGCATGGAGCTTTAAAGAAGCACACACAGGGGACGCCGGAGATTTGCAGCAACGGAAGCAACAGCAATCATAAGAAGCAGCGTCAAAGGAAGAAAGGCAAGAAAGGAACTGTTTAGGGGCGTGGTACGCATCTTGGCAAGGTGAAACAGGCGCCATAATAAAGGCACCAGCCTGCAGCTACAGATGCTGTTGACACCAGCGCTTCCCGTAGATACCTTGTGTACATGTATCCTGGGGCCGCCTGCTCCCTGGTCGACGACGTTGGAAAAGACTCTGGAGCAGGAACTGCCCGATGCGTAGGTGGCGCTGTGTCACTTGAATCAGCACGAGAACAACACTTATCTGAAGCAGCGACAGCAGTATTTTACAATGCAGCCAAAGGCTTTGCAAAGGGGAAAGTATTCTTTTGAGCAATGCAGTGAACCGGCCAACAGGAAGACGCGTGACCTCTATGGATGCAGCTGTGGAGTTTAGGGTTTGGATCTACCGCTTGCGCACACATGTTTCATGAGCGAACAGGGAGCACCAGGCTACATAACCACAGGTTTCTGCAATCCCTTTGTGCGATTGCACTTATTGGTAGTGGACTCACGGCTACGAATCTTGCATGGATTTTCGTAGCGGCACTGGCTGCTGCCTGTGCGTATGGGGCGTGAACCCATTCCAGATGGCTTTAGTGCCGACCTTCACAAAATAACTTTCAGTTACTGCAGTATTACGCGAAAAACAATACTGAAGTGTGTGTTTCAAAGCCATTACCCCCTACCACTACTTTCTCTCTGGGGTGTCCACCGGCCTAGGTGGAGCGACCGCTGGGTAGGGGCTGGGGCTCAGGTCATCTTAGATTGAATTTCGCTCATTTGAATTTTTTCCCAGCTTGTGTAGGAATTAAAAGCATATGTTCCTCTTCAAGAGACCTAAAGAAGGCTGGAAAAGGCGCCTTCAACGCCACGACGACTGCCGTGCACCACGCCCCTCAAAGTGACCCCGACCATGGGAGCCTCCTGAAACACTCGTCGACATTTGCTCAGTTCCCTTCTAGGAGTCCAGCTGCGAACTTGGCATCTGAGATTTAAGGCTTGAGCACTGGGATGTGGTCATCCTGATGCCGCCTGGGGGGCCTGCCGACGAGGACAGAGTGTAGAATTGTAGCTGTGAAAATGGTTCCCAATGTGCAGCCTTCCCTTCCATCCTCTGCCTATTTTCGCCTCTATCTAAGGGGCAATACATCCTCAGAGGAGGCCCCTGTGTCGCTCTCCGCTGCTGGTGGCACCACGGGGTCTCCAGCGTCCTTAGGGGCCCCTGCAGCCGTCTCGGCTACTGCCGACCTCTCGTCCTCCACTGCCTCCTTTTCGACTTCTGCCGCCAGGAATGCGCCTCGAAGGGCCCTTACGCACGCGGCCCCTTGGGCTGCGTCTCTCTGTGACAGCGGCAAGGAGGCTGGCTCTCCGCAGAGGCTTCGAAACGAGCGATGGATATCGAGGCAACCCCCGCCTTTTTCTTCTTTCTTCCATGCGTCTTCCTCCGCAGGGAGTGGAGAGCCTCGAGAAGCGCCTGAAGAGGGTGTCTTGCCACTGCAGTCCGTTTTGGACTCCCGTTCCCGCCCTTGGTTTGGTGCTCGTCAGGTTCTCAAGAGGAATGCCTCCACCTCCTCCTTCAGCTGTGTCTCTTGTGTAGGAGCTTCTGAGGCTAGTGAACACAACGGAGCACCTTGCGCAGGGAACGGCCCCCCAGCAGTGCCGTCAGCCTCAGCGTCACCCCACTCCGGCCTCACAGCCGCACTGGAGAGGCTCAGGCAACACTCCTCAAGTGCAACACCTCGCGTTGCCTCTGCTCTTGAGAATGGTGCCTCCATCGTCGCAGCAACCGCTGGTGAAGCAGGGGAATCGCTGGTGCGTGAGCAGCGCCTCCGCCTGCTAGACACGAAATCCAGTAGGGGCAGCAGCAGCAGCAGCTACGTTAGTGCCAGCAGCACTTCTGCCATCCACCCTCTCGTCCGGAGCAGCACCTTCAAAGGACTTTCTGCAGGGGCCTCCGAAGGCAGGGGCCCCTTGGCTGCTGTTATGGAGGCCATGCAGGCGGGGGCCCCCTTCGGAGCACCCCGAAGGGCCCTCAGCCCTTTCAAAGGCCTTGCAGATGACAAAGGGACGCCTGGATCTCGTAGCAAAAGCACCTACAGTGCCACAAGCACTTTCAGATACGACGACGGCAAGACAAGCAGTGAGGCAAATAGCCGCAAAAAATTGGTGGAGTGAAGCATTGTGCTGATCAATACCGCACGGGCACTGTTTGAATTGCAGTTGTCGCTGCCGGCACGTATAACTGCACCCATAGGTACTACGGCTAGTACTCTGTGCCCCCACTGCTTATGAGGCATACGTTTCTGCTGGTGCAGGCTGTGCTGCCTGCAGCAAATCATGCGCTTCCGCTGCAGTGCTTTTATCGGCGTGCTTCCCCAGGTTCTTCTCCTTTCAAGCCGAAGCAACGAAGGAGCTCTTTGATGCTGCAGTCGGAGTCTCATGCGACTCAGCAAGGCGCATCTGTATTCCCAAAAGACTCATCGACGCCTCAGAAGCAGCAAATGAGCAGGTTCTCTTCTTCATCCTCCTTTAAAAGCACTAGAGGGGCGACTCCGACACACAAAATGCCGCATGCAGGGTCGTCGAGGGCCCCCTCAGCGCATGACATGGATATCGCCGCGTGGCAGTGCAGGAGCACACAGGGCAGTGGCGCCGCTTCGACAGTTTCCTGCCTACAGCAGCACAAGCGCGTACACCTGAAGGCCGAAAGGCAACAGCAACAGACGTTGCAACGCCTGCAAAACCATACTGCCTGGGCCCCGCACGAGCTTGTACTGCAGCGGCAGACACCGCACAAATCTGGCGTTTCGCAAGTTCAAATGCATCAGCAATGGCAGAGGCACCAGCATCTGCAACTAAGGCAAGACCCCCGCCAACAGCACCACTTAGTGGGTGTGGCTCATGCAGTCCAAGAGCAGCGTCGTCGATCGGCTTCGGCACCTCGACGGCCAAATAAGGAGACACCGAATGATGCGCCTCCCGCTGCTGCAAGCTACAGCTGTGGCGGGGGGGGCGCAAGTGGCGAGCAGATAAACGGCCTTGTTGCTCTCTCGGATCCACAGAGCCGTTTTTTGAGGGCTGCACAACAGCAGCGTCAAAGCCAGCAACAGCAACAAAAGCAGCGGCGCCAGCAGGAGCAGTACTGCTTGCAGCAGCACCAGCAACAGCAGGATTTTACTTACGATCACGGACAGGACCGCTCATGCCGCAGCAGCCGCAGTAGCCTCAGTAGCCGCATTCCTGGCAACAGCTGTCGCAGCAGTCATGCACGCAACAGCCGGGGAGGCAGCAGCTGTTGCGCGAGCCTCTCCGACATGGCCTTTGGATCCCCGCCAAGGGAGCTCCCTAAGTGCACTCCAGCCCAGAACTCGCCACACTTCCTGTACGACAGACTCCAGTACCAATGAGGGCACCCACCGCATCCGATCCATTGCAGAAGCACTGTCAGTAGCACCATTCACAGCGATTACAAATGCGTAGCAGCGGCATCTTTCCTTGCGCCCATGTTTGGTTGCGTCTGCAGGAAGCACGCAGCCTGCGAGGAAGTTATCATAGACTGCCCCGTTAGCAGCAGCAGTACCCCAGAGAGCAGACGAAGCCGGAGCAGGCGACTTCATGAGGTAGTTGTTTTGCCAGCGTCAGAGATGGAGCGCAGCTGGAGTTTGCATCAGATGCAACAGCAGAGCCAGGGAGATTTTAGACAATGGCGTCGTTGCTGCACCGACGTCGAAGCCCAGGAATGCATTTGTAGCGATACAGTGTCTGGTTCCCTCTGTGCTACATCCGAGCAGCAACAGCAGGCGCAGCAGCTGCACAAGCGGCGGGAAATAGAGCACCTGTTGGAGTGTTGGGGTTCGTCTACAACCGAGAAAAAAGCACGATTGGCTGTGGCTCGACTAATTGTGCAGCAGCAGCACCCGGAGTTGTATGTGAACACTACCTTGGGGCAGGATGCTGCTGCCACTTTCGGACGACTTGGGAGTTGTTGCTGTTACTGCTGTTGGAAGCGCTGCAGCACCAAGCAGCAGGAACGCTGCTGCTGTTCGCTTGCTATAGCTTTCACCTGTGTCATGATGTTGATGCTGACTGCTCTCGTAGTTGTCGCTTCCATGCTGTAATTCCTGGCAGCAGAAGTCAATGTGTCAGCGCGTGCATCCGGTTACTTGGCGGCTTCTGCAGCTCTATGTGTCGATCTATTTGGACTTTTGGTGTTTTCCTATCATTGGCCCCTTTCGAAGTCTCCCCCAGATAATGAGGAAAGCTGCACTGGCCTTAAGCACGAGCAGAGGTACTGAAGGGCTTAGTACGTACAGAGTAAGGGAAGCTGAAAGGCTCAAATAAAGGAAAGATTAAAGAGGCACAAGTAGATACAGACAGGGACAAACGCACAGAATCACACCTGAATAGATGTTTGACTAAGTGGAGGTATGTTCGTAGAGAGGACCGGAGGCAAACAAGGATAGCTGTACAAAGGCACGTTTGCATCCTAAACTACGTTAAGTATGCCCTATGTAATCTAGATAGGGAGGCATATACCCCGAAAGCTTAAAATTGATTTTCTTCTGTTTCACCTAGTGTCGGTTCCATATAAGCATCTCATTGCCCTCATCACATAGAACTCCTGTCCGGGAGGATAGGGGGCCGCCGGAATGCACGCGCTGAACCATTAAAACATTCGGAGCTTTCGCACAAAGCTGCGCAGAGTCGGGTAGAGCACAGGCGAGTAGTTTTAATGTTTGTAGCATGGAGCTAAACCTACACCATAGCATCAAGATTATAACCACTGCCAAACCCTACATACAGCACTTGACTAAATATTTGTTGTTGATTTTAACCATTGATTTATCAGGTGTATCTTGCCATACAACTCACCGTAAATAATCTTGATAGAGTGAGTTAGGAGCTACGCTGAAACAAAACGAAATGCAATAAGACAGTGAAGCAGCGGAGCAGACTACAAGTAGTAAAATTCAGCCATCCATAGACACTCGCAAAAGTTTTTCAAAAGCATCATACGACAAATGCAGCGGGTTAAGAAACATCTTAGGGCTTTATACTACACTAGTTATATTTAGCGTTCATTGGTCAAGGGCTGTTCGTGTATAGTATTGGTTACAATGTAGACTTAGCTCAATACTTTATAAATAAAGGCTGCGCCTAGTCGCCATCTGCCACTGGCTGCACAGCAAGTTAGCCTAATTCATGCACTGTCTACTACAGCGGCTATACTTAACTAGGATTTGACCAAGAATTGACTAATTGGCTTGTGCCTGCTCGTCCATTGTGTTGGGTTGAGGGTAGATTCAGCTGGAAAGAAGACGTAGTCTTGTGTGCATGTACGCTAGGAACTACTTGTAGCTAGTTGTTGATGGGTAGAGCACTTAGAGAGCGCAGCTACGCCTATTCAAGCTGTCCTTATGCCTTGAAGTCGTTACTCTGAGAACCCCGGGCAGCATTTCTTGAGGTTCATTCACTAACGTTTTCTCGAGTTTGCACTTGAGTCTGGAAGTAGGTGTCCTTCTACGGACAGGCTAGATGGAGCGTTGCACAAGGCATCAATTTACGGTTTGATTCAGCCGTTCCCCGATCATCCGCTGGCTGTGTAGTCAATGGGATGCAAGATAGTGATATCCTGTACCAGTCAAGGTATTTCTTAATTCACTAACTTTGTTGTGCTTGGCAAAAGGCTGGGAAGGCTACTCAGGCGGTATGGTTTAATGATGTAACAACTCGTGTTCAGGCAGAAACAGCTGCGCTACAAACTTGTATTACCACACTGCCTCAACAGGTAGTAGCACTGCACGATTTGTTTGCTAAGAGAGTGTTCATGAATGCTACAATATGGTTATTTTGAGCAGCAAAGTATGACGGCCGTAAGCCTGCGCAATTACCTCAAAATTTTATCAGCCAACTGGCGGTATACCTCCCTAGGTACCCCCATATCAAGAAAAGCGAGTGCTGCTCGCGGCATCCTTGGTGGATGACTTAGAGCTCCAAATGGTGTATTCATGTACAGACAGCTGCCTAAATGGAGGGATTATTGCAGTCCAAACCATCATACACGGCTAGAATTGACAATGTTACGGCAGTTGAATGCTACTACATTCCAGAATTGGATCCTATCAGCCTGATCGGAGACTTTTATGTTGGGCCCGTGCATCATGCGATGACTACTTGAACAAGTTCCAGTTCCTGCTATTGCCTTCCGGCGCCTCTCATAGTTCACGATAGTAGGAAAGAGAGGCAGCCAGGGTGCACGTAGCAGCACTCTCGGAGCACTCCGAGCATTCACAGCTGGTAGCACATAGTATCTAGCACACACGGACACACCACTGCCTCTTCTACTATCCATTTGAAAGCATTCTACAATAAGCAGCATATATATAAAGAGAAAAACCATGAAGTCGATTCCTTACTATTTCCTAGTTAAGCATGAGCACTACCGTAGAAAGCGTTCAGAGGAGCTTACCCCGCTGTATCAGCGAGCCGTCGGGACACCCGTCGTAGTTGTGTAGTTCCTGATTCGATGTCGGCTAGTCTTTGTCTGGTTCTTACGTGACCACAATTTCACATGATCGGGCTGATGAAAAGGAACATGAATTTACTCGCGGAATGACGAAGCAGGAACTAAAGTGACGAAGACAAGACTCGAACCAACAATCGTCTAATTCGCCAGCTCTTCCGCTGTCCTGCAAGGATTTGGTCTGGAATGAGTATGGGAAATGAGGGCTAGTGTTCTGAAACGGGCACGGTGTTAAGCTATGGCGGGCTGCTAGACAAGTATCTACTACACTAGTAACATTAATCTGTAAAATAATAAAGTACTGAGATTTTGACTTGTGCGTTCGTGTAGCCTCTTTATTCAGAGCACCCTAAACTCGATACAAAAGATCGTGATGTCATGCCCTGTGTGCGCTAGATGCTTTGTGCAACTAGCGATGAATGCTCGGAGAGCCTTCAGGGTGCATCTCCACTTCGCATAGCTGTACGTCATCCACAGATGGTGGGATTAAGCAGGGGGTGCTGAAAAGAGAAAGCATGAGCTTCTTGCTCACCTTCTCTTGAGTTTCTATTTGGTATGACGTGGAGTGTCCACAGACGGAGGCTTCAGGTGAAGCGATCCAGGAGCGCTACAGGGTGAGCATGAGATCTAAAAGCTTTGAACAAGCGTCCCTATGCCTGCTACTTAACGTCAACAATTCACGCCATTCGTGTCTGGACGTATAATGCAAACTAGGTAACTGACGCATGGAAATTACTATGTGCCTCCGAAAGTAACGAATAACTAGCCAGATCAGCATGGTTGTAATTACTTAGCTAAGTCGCCCATGCACATTTCTTTTTAGACCCTAGCGAAGACCTTAAGACTAAGCAGTTAGGGCATCATCAAGAAGAATAGAGGACAAAAAATTTGTGCCAGATTAGCGGACGCGCTGACGCGTCTGAACTTGCGGTCTTACAATTTGAAGACCTCTGAGGTCTACGATTTATGACTCGCGTCTAAAAGTTATTGTATTGGAGGCACCAAACACAAACAATTTTTTGCATCCCAAAATTTAGAGAGTGATGGGAGCATTGTGATTTATATGTACACTTAAAGCTTTACTAGACATTGGCGGGTGGGCTGCGCCCTTTTGGAGCTGGTCCTGTTTTGGGTTCTAGATATTAAATGCGCCCGAGGGCAGAGAGCCTTTAATTTTTTGCTCTAGTTTCTACTGTCAACAGAGTTCGGTAGATATGATTGTTCAAACACACAGACAAGTTGGGGCAGCTACCGCTGTAGCTGCAGGAGCAGCCACTGCCGCCGTTGGCTGCTGTCTCGGAAAGCTGGGGGTTCATGGCAGGTTGCGCCGTTTGCCTGTTCTTATTCTGTTTATCTATTTATCTCTTTAAGAGCTTGCTGTGTCTTAATAAACCCTATTATATTCGTTTGGTGATTTTACCGCCAAGCCGCAAATGTGGGAAGAAATTCTCTCGATCTTTCTCGGGATGGGCGCCGCGGTCGTCTGCCTTCTGGCCACCGGTAAACATCACACGTTTCCCCCTCATGGCTCTGTTGCTTCTGACTATGGTGCCTTCGCTCGAACTCTTGCTTTATGCTGCCGTGCTGGATACTCCAGCTCGCCACCCCAGGGGCCTCAGTGGAGCCTCTGGAGGCCCCCTGGGTGCCGCCGTGCATACATCTGGAGCAGCAAGAGCGACAGTGGCATGCGCAACAAGTACAACTGTAGGGCTAGAAATCTCAGATGTGGCGATGCTGCCTCACATGGAGGACAGCCGAGGGCCGGGGGGGGGGGCTTCTTGGCAATTTGGTTGAAGCGGCGGCAGCGCTAGCAGTACCTGCGGGCATGCAAGACCTATCAGTAGCAACCACCCTTAGCGCAACAAAAGCATTTCGTGCTGTTTTTACGGTGTCTGCTGCTGCTTTTGCTAAATGTCTTGCTCTGTTCTGTGTGTGTTTCTGTAATTCAGCGGTTTTCGTGTTCCCCCAGCGACAATGAAGGGCGATACCTACCTCGGAAGGAGGACAGGCCTCTGTTTCAAGGAGCACTGACTAACGTGAGGCGTTCAAAGGCTCTGTATTCATATGTATAGACGTGCATGTATATGCACATGTAGCCTCGGCTCAAGCGGCAGCTGCACCTGCACTAACAGCAGAATAAGTGGCAGGAAGACCCAGTGTTTAAGCAGCTGTTGTTTCTCCTTCATCAAGTACGGTGGAACAACAGACATGGCTACAGTAGGGGCCACAGTATCTGCAGAAGTGGCGGGATGAGTAGCTGCAGCAACAGCCACAGCAGCATCGTTTGAACATGGGCCCCGCGGATGGAGACCTTACGTTTGTTCTCTTTGCCCCCCCGTTTCGCCATCTGCACTTTGGCATGCAGGGTTCCAGGTCTGGGTATCGGGGTTTGCTGATTCTGCGTGCAAGTGTTCATATGTTTTTTTCTGTCTAACAGTGGTTGCCACCTATCTTCTTGGTATTTCCTACCCCACTTCTTCGCACAGGGGGTTCCTTCAAGACCCCCTCCTTCATCCTATTCTCAGTTTTAGGGAGCCCTCCCGTTGAGTTGCAGGGGGAATCGAGACAGGCCAGGGGCCCCCGAGCAGCGCCCTCAGGGCATTGCGCCTTAAAAGGCCCCCCCTTTGTCCTATTCCGTCTGTTGCTGCTACGGATCTGCCAGAGGGAAACCACTGTTGTCACTCCTTTGTCTAAATTTTTCGAAACCCTGGTTCTAGTCTGTAATATCATCTTACTATGTAGAAATGGATTTCAGGGACCCCAAGGCTCTGCCAGGGCTCCCCGCTCGAGAGAAGCTGAGGGAAATGGGGCCTGAGTACGCAGTTTTCAAACCGCTATAGTGACGAGCTCCCCGCTGCAGGACTATACTTAGCTTTTAGAGGTTCCGCCGGATTTGGCCGGTAGATTTAAGCTTTACGTGTGGACAATTTACGAAAAATGATATCAAGTGATGAGCAAGTTCTGGATCGGGTTTGTCGCTTCGCCGTATGGCCCTCGGCTGACGGGGTAGAAGTTACTGAGGAACGGACTGAAGCTTTGCCCTTTTACCTTTTGCTGAAACACGTTTAATTTGATAAAGTGCGTAAGCTACTGATATAATGAATGGCAGCTTTTCTACACAGCAACTGTAGCTCTGCGTACATTCGGCTCAGGTGCCGCCCGAATTCTAATGAAATCGACAGGCACAGACTGGTAGGCAGTTTTCTCCCGTATTGCTGTGTTGTTTGCATTAACGATGATAAAAATATCCACTCTTTTGCTAAAGCTTGACTTAAAAGAGGCAAAATAGCATGAACAGCGAGCAGATAAAGCCCTGAACGCTTTTGGTTGCACGCTGTCGCCGTTTGAAGATGGTACAGCCGTCGGCAGAGAACATCTCCTGCGGTCGCCAGCTGCTTTCTTATCGTCCTTTGTGCATCCTGCCTGGTTTATTCTGGTCCTTCCTAAATTCATTCCATGTAGTGCGCCAAGTTACTCAAAATTTTCTGTTTTTCCCCATGGTATGCATGGCCATAGCAATAGCCCCCGCGCCGCAAACGACAGTGCCCAGAGGCAGCGGAGTGCCAGGGGCCCCCGCCGGTTTTTCTCGCTATTGACCATTTCTTCCTTCAGTGTAAACATCTTCTACCTTAAAAAATAACCTTCCTTTAAGGGCTTAGCTTTGCCTTGAAGGCACGGTTTTAACCTCCACTCAAAGCAGGTAGCTAGCCGCAACTCCAGCCTCGAGGCTGGCAGGCTGTCTCCTCCAAAGTCGCTGCAACAGTCGCAACCACATCCTCTAGGAACAAACAGCAGCAACTATTGCAATAACAACCAGAAGACAGGAAACAGAAGCAGCAACTGCCACAAAAGCGGCAGTTGTGGCAGCAAGAACGAGAACTTACAAACAGCAGCGTATGTGTACTAAAGTATGGCACCAAAAACCTCGCCATTTGTCCAAGGGGCCCGACTCTGGAATGCACCCATTAGAGCGGGCGTAGCTGAGTATTGGGATAGCTGGAGTGATGTGGAGGATCTCCCAGTGGAGGAATCGTGCTGCCACAGCACGTCAAACGCCTTCCTCCTTGTGCCTCCAGAATGGCAGCAGGGAGACCAGCGCTTGCCTTCATACAGAGACTTCCAGCAACATTCGAATGCAGCGGAGGTAGCAGACGCCTCCCGCCAGCCGAAAGCCTCGACTAGGAGGGAAGAGCAACAAGAAACAGCTGCCTTTTCTAAACCTCAGGGTTCCAAATCCAGAGAAGTCGCCCCCAAAAAAACGAAAAGTACCCGAAAAGCCACAAAGGCAGCTTCCCAGGCGAGCTCCGAAGCTGCACCACGTGGGTCTCCTAAGGCTATTACCCCTGCAACCGTGGGAGCTGCGAGTAACAAGAAGAGGGCAGCCGAAAGGACAGGGCTTAAACGCAAGAAAGAAAAGAAGAATTCGGCAGTTAAACAGAGCGCAAAGGCAGAGACCGTAGCAGAGTCGCATGCCTCTACAAAAGGCGAAGCAGCAGCAGCAACGACGGCAGGCCTGACACAGCAAGCCCAGCAACAGGCGCTGCAGCACGAGCAGCAGAAGACGAACCAGGAGCAGAGCCAGACACAAAGTGCTCCCCTTATGGTAGACTCTCAAGGTCGGAGCATTCGGCTTCTGCCCTCTGGTCGCTACGAACTGATGCAGCCTTTCGAACCAGCAGCACCAGTGGTCCTGCATGGCGAGCCGCCAAGCAGGATCAAAGTGCATCAAGGTTCCTTTAAAGGCATTGCCGGGATCCACACATCAGAAACAGGGGCCTTTGTGAGGCGCCTGCCACAGCGCCTACCCAATAGTGCATATCCTAGGCTGAAGGAAAAGCCCGCCATCCCGGTTAAGGTGAGGCTGCTAAGGAACCCCAGTGTGAGCGCCCCCAAAAGGCTGCTGGAGCAAATTGTAGAGCCTCCTAAGCAAGCAGAAGACGGATGCGTCCATTTCCAGCTATATCAAGTTCAGCATGGCGATGATAGAGAGCACAGGAGAGTCATAGCTTACAGCTGGAAGGAAGGGCAACCCCCAATCATCCCACATGAGGAGGCTTACCCCAAGACACAGAAGGAAGAAGGCTGGGGAGCAGCAGCGATAAAAATCCTCAAAAGTGCCTTCAATGCAGGCGAGTGCAACGACGCAGCTGCCCGAGCTGTGTCGGCCGATGCAGAGAAAGAAGCGGAGCAACAGGAAGGCGTGCAGCAACCAGAGGTGCTGCTGCAGGAAAATGCGCACACGCAGCCATTGGAGCAAGAAGCTTGGGCACTAGGAAAGCCAAAGAAATGGCAACAGAACCAAAACCAGTGGGGTACTCAGCGGCAGCAGCATTTGGGTGCTGAGCAGCACTACGGGTACTCTGGATATGAGCAGCAAGGCTGGGATGAGCAGCAGCAGCAGCAGCAGCAGGCCGAGCACGATCAGTATGGGCAGCAGCAGGAAGACGAAGAAGACGGCTTGCAGAAAAGCACTAAAGCTTGCGCCCGTGTGTTTTGTTTCTGCTGTGGAGCTTCCCGTGAGGGCAGAGATGCGTTGCTCGAAAATATCCTAGATGATTCTCAAAAGGGGGCCCTCATAGCGTGTGCATTATGCGGGTCTCGGAACGTCTCCGAGTCTTTAAACCTGGAAGAGGAGCAGCAGACAGAGGTGCCTTGGCAGCAAGAGCACCAAGAGCAAATCGGAGTCGCAGATCAAGAGCAGCAAAAGCTACATGCTGTAGAAGGCTGCAACGGGATTTTCAGCAGGATGTCTGCATGGCTCTACCCTTCTCAGCCAGCGGCGGAAGAAACACAGGAAATCGACGGGAAAAAGGCACAGGAAGTTAATATCCCAATTAATCCGTCCACGGAGCTGGAGAGACAGCCTGGGACAGAGGATCAAAATGTGACCCGGATCGTTCCTGCTTGTGAAGTCCTAAGGCCAAAGATGGAGATGCCTCTACCTGGGAGACAAACTGGTCATGTTCCTGTTAAGATTCGCGTTATCAGAGCTCGCAAAGCGGCTAGGCAGGCCTCCGCTCTTACTGCTCCACTTACGGCTCCTTCGGCAGCTATCGGGCTTCCTACTCCTCTGCCTGTAGCTTCAACAGTATCTCCAGGCCTGCTATCAGATCGCCTGTCTTCTAGTGAAGAAAGTGTAGCGAAATATGGTGGACCCTCCGTATGGGGGGAGGAGCCGGTGCGATTCGCTTTGGTGCAGGTACAGAGTAAGGGAGACAGGGAGAGCAGACGGCTGGTGGCGTTCCGACCTGCAGTGCACTCTCAAGAGCGTACCCAGAAAAACAGACAGAGGCACTTGACAAGAATATTCGATTATGGAGAAGAAGTGGCGAACTGCGAAGCAGCGCTTGAAAGGATTTGCATGCCCAGAGATGCATCACAAGGCTCGATGGAAAGCGCCATTACCATGAGCTTCGAGTACCGGGCTTCACTGGTCAAGCAGCAGAATAGGGAAAAAGGACTAGCCGTGACGCAACATCAGACTGAGGAGCTCCAGCACCTCGCGGCTGATCAACAGCGGCGTGAGCAAGATCATCATCTGATGCTGCTGCATCATTTTACGCAACAGCAGAAGCAGCAAAAAGAGAGGCAAGTGCAACTGGACCATCAAGAGAAAGAACTGAAGATGCAGTTGGAGAGGTTGCAGAAGAGGGCAGAATCCCCAGCACAGCAGCAGCAAAAGCTTTCTCAGGGCCTTTCCTCCAACCTAGTGACGCCCAAACTTTCTCACAGATCTATGGGTGATGCAGAGGAATTCGCTGCCTCGCGGGGAGTTTCTGGGGCAGCCTTCCAGGTTGCACTAAGGGCGGCTGCTCGCGTAGCAGCAAGGCGAGCAGCGGCAGCAGCGATTGCCACTACTGAGCAAATTAGGTCCCATCCAGGAGAGCTACCGTCTCGAGAAACTAGTGGGGGGGACCGAGGAAACATCCCCCCAGCAAGCCGTTCTCAGAGCCAACTGGCTCTCCATTTAGGGGTACTTGAGGCATCGGAGCCTATGTCTCCCAAGCAAAATGCAGCAGATGAGCAAGAAAGTGCCACCCAAAGAGAAGAGCTGCAATTAGAGAGCGCCAGGTACTCAGAGTCAAGCAATATGCAGAGGCAAACCCCACACTGGAGCATCCGCAGCAACTGTGGCTCTTTACCGCAGACAAGCTGTATCCCCGAAGAGACGTGTAATGAAGCGAGGCCATTAGCGCTTGATACCGCGAAGTACGCAGAGTGTTGGCTCTCCATAAATGGTTCTTGTATGCCATCCTCCATTCCTAACATCCCCCAAAATGACCAAGAGGAAACGGTGGAGCCCCAGGAGCAGCGTGAGCCTGTTGCTGTAGAGTCTTCAGAGAAGCTACTGGAGTCCACACATAGTCAGACCTCTTCCGCTTCCCTAACTCCACAATTTTTGATAAGGAGCTTTGAAGTGCATGAACAGGAAGAGCATCAAGCTCAGGAGGGCGAAGACGGCAGGAAGGAGTCCTCCAGACACAGCACGCTACAGGAAGAAACGCCCAAGAGCACAAGCAGGTCTCTTCCCTTGAAAACATATGAAGTCAAAAGTGAACGCAGTGAGTCAGGACACCCCGAAGGACACCTGCAGCAGTTGGAGAGAGGCTTTGAACATGAGCCTGTAGGGGCCCCTGTAGAAGGGGAGTACGGATACTCTGTCGGATCCTACGAGGTCGGAAAACTTCAGTCGCCAGTAATAGAGACACAAGCGGTACCTCTGGAAGCCCTTTCCCCAGAGGATCAGGAGCTCGTAAGGCAGGCAGTTATGGAGCACCTTCAACAGCAACAATCACATCAATCCCCACCGCAAGGGATTCATACCCCCCAGCTGTTTGTTCCCCCCACTCAAGTTCTGTATATTTCTGACAAAGCAGTGGAATCGGCAGCGGCGGCAGCCACGGCTGCCGCCGCCGCTTCAACAACAGTGGGAGCCCCAGTATGGACAATCCCCTATCAACCAGTAGCAGTGCATCAACCGCAAATTTTGTTCTTACCAGATCCCCTACAGCACAAAATGTTGATAATGGAGCAGGGCAAGCTGCAGGGGCAGCACGACTTCCGGGAACAGGGCTGGTACAGCACAGAGGCAGCAGATACCTCAATACCACCAGAGACACTAGCGGTAACAGGTGAAGGACAGGACCAGTTCTCTGCTGCACTGCCCACCGAGAACGCAGAGGTCTCTTACATCCCACACACCTTGCCCCAACTTCGGATTGCTAATGTAAGGAGGAATACATTCTCCTTGAAAAGCACCTCCGGAAGAAGTGGCTCGCATAGTTGCCGCAAATGCGCCGAAAGAGACTGTGGTACGTGTGTCTGCTTCTGCTGTTGAGTTTTTCCTTCCAGCCATTTGTGGGGACCCTCGATCCAGGGAGGCATCTCCTGAAAGTGCGATGCCTCCAGTGGATGATACGAGGGGGCCACAAGGGTCCCTCGTTGACGTTTTGTGTATGACAGTATTAACCGGCGGAAGTGTCCGGTTACTCTATTATGGGAACTTTTTGCCCATTGTCAACTTGCACCCGTGTTTTTGGGTAGCCGAGAGCGCGCCAACATACTGGGGTCAGCCGATATCGTAGGTCCTATTTTCAGCTCGCTGGAGACATATTGCTTGTCCAGCGCATTTACAAAATGGTTCGCTCACTCGTGATCTCCTGATTTTCCTTGTTCAGTAGGCAGCACATTGCCATCTTTGGGGAGATGGTGCACGACCAGTACGTATTTATCGAACTGGCTAGATTTTCGCATTGAAACGCCTGCCACCAGATTGACATACTCTCAGCTGTAAGAAGTCTCTACAGGCTAGTCCTTGAGGACTGCCAGTCCATGACATGTATCTTTTATATTCATGGATTGACGACCGAAGCCTCACATAGGTCCCTACATTGGAGTCCCAGTTGGCAGCATCGGGGTAACGCAGAAGGTCAGTTCCGGTTAGTTTGCTAGGGCTTCAGAGGTGTGTCACAAACTGGGTTTCTCTGGTAACGAGCCTAGACGCAGCTTCAAAAGCTCCAAAGATACTTCAGGCTTTAACCTTCCCAAGCGGCCTGCTCGTAGGCGCTGTCGCAGTCTCTTATTTGGTGTCATTGGGGCTCTTCATCAAGGAGAGACATTTTGCAGCCAAGCTGTAAGATATTTAACCTCTACAGATCTATTTTGTGGTAGCTACGCACAGTTGCATTCATCATCTGTAATGCTCTGTTCCAGTACCCCGATACACCCCTACCATACAAAGGTACACAGAGGCCCCTGAAACGTCCACGTATGATAGTTATTTGAGACGAAAGGCATGTATAGGTACGGGCACGTGAACTGGGCGACGCGACGGCATACCAACTCCGGTATGAGCGCAAAGACCAAAGGACACATGCTTTCCAGAGAATCTTTGGTTTTTCTGAATCTTCCAAGCCGCTATCTTCGGTTCATGCACACTTTTATCGGGTTTCCGTGTAATTGCCTCTCCAGTCTGCCTCTGTGCACCGTTTCCCCCGTCTTGATTATTTTCCTGGACTCCCTCCACCCCGTACTTTCCTAGCGTGACTCTCTCTGCACAATGTTTGCTTTGATCCCTGTGATACTCTTTCCATTCTCAGATGCACCTCCCTCCTCGATGTTTCTCCTGCTTCTGTGTACATGCTCTGCCGCTACATGTCTTCATGCATACAGTAGCCACCATCCCGTTCAGCTTTCACAGATTACCGCATCATACTCACCCCAATGCTGCTTCTATAGCCTGATCCTGCAATTCGTCTTGTTCCTTCCTGTTCGCTCGGTCTAATCCCTGAATTCTCCGAGCTAGATACTAACTCTGTTCTCTTCTCCTCCCTGTTCCGTTGTCCTATATGGTTCTGTCTCTTCCTACGTCTTATGACCAATTTCTTGTTTGCTAAGCTGTCTTACAGTGTCTCACGGTAGTTATTCGTATCTCCTAATCTTCCCGATGCAACCTAAAACACATCCTACGTCCTAGTAGATAAGCACTACGCATAAAGCCATCAAATTTGAGCACAAACCATCATATTTGCTGTTTCTACTGGTACCACATGACCAACATCACATACGCAGAGTGGTAGCTTGCCACAGCAAATTACTTGCAAGCAGTATGTGGTTATTTGACAGCGATGGGGACCCTTTTACAGGTAAACAGGATGAAGGTCCACTTCCTCTCACTTAGTTGCTTGCAGCTGGCTCTTGAGCCCTTTCTTTATAGCATAGGCCCTAATTCGGCGCTGCCGATTCCTAATGCATACCGCAGACTGTGCTTGAGGTGCTAGCTGCCGCTGGCTTTTGCTGCAAGAGGATTAACCTCATCTCTGTGCTGCATCGTTATGCTGTGTTAGCGAAGCCTTGTTCCTGCTGACGCCACTGATGTTGCTGCTGCCGTCTGACTGCGACAGCCTAGCACCAGCAGTCGGCGTAGCTGCCCGCGCAAGGCCCTCCCTGAGTGATCAAGTAGCGCCTGCCGCTGCACCTGAGGAGAAATTTGCAGCAGATGCTGCTGCAGCGGCGGCGACAGAGCTTTGTTGCATGGCCAGCCGCTGGCTTGACTCGGAGGCAGTGCGCATAACCAGCTCTCTGTCTAGAAGTTCGAACGCCTCTTGCAGCTCTTCCATGAATAAACGGCTCGTCTCACTTCCCCTTGGCCCCTTCTCAATCACTGGAAGATAAACGGTCTGAGCGACCTCCATCCATGCCATGCGCATAGCCTTGGGATTCACTTCTGGCATCTGGGGGCTCTCAAGAAGACCGCCAGCAAGCCCCCACTGTGCGCTTGGACTTGGCCCCCCCGAAATTGCCCCTATTGCCTGGGGGGACCCCTGAGATGCGCCGGGGAGCTCTGCCGTGAAAACTCGCTTATGCGCTGCCACTGCTAAAGACCTGAGGTGTTGAAATCGGAGCCTAAATGATCCGAATGCGTTTTCTTCCTCAAGCTGCTGCAGGAAAACTGCCTCCCTTGTTTCTACATCAGTGTGTCCTGAGCCAGGAGTGTACCCCTGAAGGGGCAGGTTCGGAAGACCCTTGAATGGGTCCTCTTGATACGCAACAAGCCACTCATCATGTGCAGCGAGTTTGGTAGTGGGGCGCGAGCGGCGGCCTTTGTTTTTGTCGTCTTTCTCAACTCTCGCCGGTTCATGGATTTTCTTGCTGCTCTGTTCCTGTTTCCGCTTTTCCTTCTCTGGACGCTGCTCCAAGCCGCTGCGAATGACTTTCACCCAATAACCAAAGTCATTCACACGCTGTATCTGCTCCTTCAGGTACGCACCATATGAAGCGTCTTCCCACCTGTGCCTCACGGCCTTTCCCCAACGGCTGTCGCCAACAAAGGGCTCCGCCTCCTCAGTGGGGCCTACAGGGGGTGCCCTCACAGTAAAGTTCCCGTATACAGTGACTGCAGCCAGAGCCAGAACGAGCAAGAAGCAGCGCGGAGGCGGCAGGGGCCCCCAAGGCCCACAGGGCCCAACTCTCATTGACCTGAACAAGCCAGGTAGGCGGTGGATACAGCCTTCTAGAGTAGTTGCTGGATTCCTTGATAAAGCGAGACCTTGAGGGGCATTCGAGAGCAGAGGGCACTGTCTAGACGGAGAAGAGAAAATCCTCGAAAGAAATCACAGGGCCAGGCCACTTCGGGGTAGTATAACACCGAGCCTAGTTTTGAAGGACAAAGAAGAAAGAAAAAGAAAATAGGGCTAAGTGTTCGGCATCTGTGAGTTTGCCCCCGTCGCTCAAAACAATGCGGTCCGGGGGGACAGCCTTTTCTTGTTAATCCCTCAACTTTTTGCTTTCCCGGCAGCAATCCTGAAATGTAGGAATTAACGAGGGATAAAACCCTTTGAAAGGTACACCCCACCCCGTTGAGCCCTTGAAGGGAGGTCGAAGCCCTATGAAATATAGGATCCTCTCTTGTACGCAGTGAGCTACTGCAGCCCCGGTAGTGAAACCAGGGGCTCTGCATGTGCCTGTAATAATTATGCTCTATACTTGGGGGGGCATGATTAGATGATACTTATTTGCCAGAGCCCATTTCATTAGCGAAGGAGTTTTGCCGAAAGAGAATGCAAGAGGACTCAAGTGTACTTCCTGTTCAGCTGTACAAGGCGCTAGGACCAATAGCACGTGTCTGTTTACAGAGTAGGGTATAGCTCTTCTTTTCTTTCCCTCCGTAGGCTCCGTCTCACAAGCATTATAATGTTTCAGAGCTGTGGCTGCATGACCTTCTTCGTGTAGTCGTTACACTATAGATGATGCCTTTGCATGGAGAATGCACACAGCTTGAATGCGGTCAAGCGACGTCTGACAAATGTCTGATACACTTGTTATTTCGTTTAGTGCTAAGAGTGTACCTCAAACATAGATATCTTTCGCTAGTTTTTGTTAGGACTACTACAATCATTTGATGGTGAATGCTGAGTGCGTAGCTCGTAGCAGCAGGCTAAGCTACACTTGATACTTTCTACTGCACCAGTTTTATTCAACCAGGATTTTGTTAAGAACTATTCAATTGAATCGTCTACCGGCGCATGCCATTTATTGCAAAGTACTGATGGTTATGTAGAAGAAGACGCAATGCTGTGTTCGTTTGCACTGGATGCTGTGTGCGAATGGCTCTTAAGGCTCCGAGTGCTCCCAGTGTGCAGCTACGCTTACCCGCGATGGCCCCTCCCCCAATATCCAGATGACAAGAGTGCTGGGAGAAATGCAGGAGCTATGTTGAGAAGTATAACTTTATAGTAAGTTTGTGTTGAATCTGGAGTTAAGTGTCTTCTAGCAAGGACATTCAACGAAGCGTTACAATTAGTAGCACCGCCTGGTACGATTCAGCTCTCCATTGCTTCAGCACAAAGAGGGATCCATTTCTGGATCGGAGAAGGGATCCTCAGTGTAAACCAGAGATGCGGGGGAACTGTGTGTTGACTACTGCAGTGTTGTCTTAGGAGCCCAACTAGAACAAAAAAGAAAACCATGCTTCGAACTTCAAAGTATATGAGCAAAGGAAAGAAGAAATCGTGGCAGGTTTTGATTTGCGCATTCCATCCTCCCATCTGCCCCAGGGTGGCTGGCAGTGGTCAAATTATTACAATTTGTAGACACGTAAAGGCAGGCAAAGCACTAACGAACTTCGAATTCCCATCCTCAACTATTTTTCTATACAATCTGTAGAGCCTCGGTGAATGAGCTAAAAATAATTGTGCAAGGTAACTAACCGCATCGTAGCTGCCCCAAGGGATAAAATGGGCATTTTGATGCGTGCCTCCAAAACGACGTACACACCAACTCGACCCTTGACCTCCCCCGGTCGAGCAATAATGTCCATAGTTGGAACGATTCAAATCCTTGTAAGGGCTGCGTTTTGCAACGACAGATGATCTCTGAAGACAAAATACCGATCTGATTATGGATTTTGCTCTTCGGCTGCCAAAGGCCGGGGGTCAGCAAGTCATCTACGTCATCGTCGACACACTCAGCAGATACGCCAGTTGCATCCCTCTCTCCGTATCTATCGTTGCCAAGGCTTCACTCAATTATTCCTACACGCGCTCTGGAAGTTTCAACGATTTTCTAGGGAGATGCTAAGACTAGGTATACAAAATTCGTTGGTGAGTTCTGCCTACCCTTAAGACCAGCATACAAGTCGACCTTAATATGACCACTGTCAGCCACACCAAGACAAATGGACAGACAGAAGACATCAACCGCCCTCTTCGGCAGTGTTTGTAAATCTATGCCCATACACATTGAATTGACCGGCATGTGCTTCCTTCCTTGTGCTCTGTTATTAAGACAACAGTACACTCGTTTACACGATGTTACTCTGCTTCCCTAGTTTTCACTTGGGAGCTTGGCCTCGAACCAGACCTGGAGCTTGTGGTCTGGGGTCAGAAGCCACCCTTAGTAACAAAGTGATTCAAACAATAGGTAGATAATGCATGCGAATCTATGCTAAAACCTAGAAGGCGATAATCACATAAATTGAAGCGCGGATGTTAGCTGTATTTCGAGCTTGCAGTTTGGGTTCTGATGGGATAATACGGTCCACGAGTTTACAAGGTCACTATCCAAAAAAGTTTGCAGCCAGGTGGTTAGAACCATTTACGTTTCTCTCACAGACCACTGCTCCTACTTTATAGATTTCCCTAGAATTTGAGGTGCCACAATGCTATCCATATTGGCTTTCTGTAACAGTTTTAAAACTTCCCGAATTAGTCGCAGAGCTTGCCGCACAGGCAAGTCGACGGCCGCTCAAAGGTATAAATCCACAGGGTGCTGTAGAGGTAGTACTTTCTAGGACTGATGTGCGCCTAGGACACACTTAACTAGATTTTCCATTAAAATGGAGTAAAGAATGCGCATTATTGGTTACCAGGGGAGCCGCTGTGGATTTTGTTGCCTGCAGCAAACTTTTGCAGCTTTGCTTAGCTTTCAGCACTAGTTGCCATACCCGGTGTTCCTCATGCTTCTTGGTAGCCAGTCTTCCCAGTGCATGTTTTCGGCCTGAAATATTTACCCTTATCTAATGACATCGTTAAGAAAAAATCAGCTATCATAGTTCAGGTGGTCTCTATGCTAAAAAATATGCGAGGCACTATAGGAGCGTTGTTTCTACATCTTTGCTTAAGCCTCTTTAAGGCCTTGAGATCAACTATATTGCATGCAACAGCTGTCATGGCAAAAAAGGGAAATGCTTCATGAGGTGTGGAGGCACTGCTGAAGTAGTGTGTGATTTAATTCGCTTAATGCATTTTTCTTGTTTCTTGTTGCCTCGTCTCGAGGGGATCACACATGCCGAAATTCGGATAATGGCGAGGCAGCCGTCTTCTTCGCTTCGGCTTCTTTCTGCCTTCTTTTCTGGTTAGTGTGCCTCTCTTCCATCCCTTGTACTTCATCTTTTCCGGTTAATCTCGACTTTTCCTTTTCTACTCGCACTGTTTTCGCATGCTCGCCTCATGGGAAGTGGTGATTGGGCTGGAACTCTTTAGTTCCCCTGCATGCCCTTGGTCTCGGTGGACCTGTGCGGCTGAGAGAGCATATTCACGCCTTACGGGGAGAAGGTATCGCGGGTACCCCGTTACCTGTATTTTCATAGTGCTAGTAACGAAATGTTGAGCGCTCCGTCTTTTTGTCCGTATAGCTTATCTATTGCACAGTAGTCTTCGCTGAATATAATGAGAATCGATGCTGCGTGCTTGTGCTCTAGATGCCATGCGCCACTAGCTCTAAAGTTTCTGAGTTTCAGAAAGTGCAGCTGCGCACAACCTAACCGTAAAAGTGCAGCTGCGCACAACCTAGCCGTCCTTTTCCCCTCGAACCCAAACCTTCGGGTATGAGTGCTTGTAAAGTGGACCCTTCTTTAGGAGGAACACTCGAAAATTTTTTACTGTGTTTGTAGTGGGTTTAAAGCAGTGAGTGTCTCATTGTGGAATGCCTAGATGAGTGCAACGCTTTTTTCTATTTGCTTTAGGGAAGTTCTGGCTCCATTTGGAAAATGTACACTATCTACCTGTTGATGAAGAGACCATATACGCTCAACCCCAAATGCTGGGAGGCGTAAAGCGCCTTCCAGTCGTGCAGTGGTTAGTTGCTCATCCCAGGCTGAAACTTGAGGGAGTCAAGACCAGCGCATGAACAAAATTCGTTTAAAAGGACATTTAGTAGTATGTTACACTGTGCTGTGCTCTGCAGTTGAGGGAACTTTAATAAAGAACTCAATAGGAGCATTTACACACAGCACTATCGAAGTCCCTAGCTCGGCACGCCAGAGCCACTGTTTGAGGGGAGAGTGCTGCCACGACATGGGAAATGCAAAAATAGACTCAGATGGTCGGTAGCAAATATTGATAAACAGAGATTGCCTTCGTGGCTCTATAGTACTTCTTTAAAGGAACTGAAGCCAGAATGTCCAGCCCTCTGCACAGAATCTCGCTGTGTATCGGATTGAGATGCATTGAACAACATTCATCATTTATAGTGTTCTAGCAGTATCAACCACACACCCAAAAGCTTGAACCGTAAATTTTTGGCTAGCTATATGGATTTAAACGGACGAATGTGGGCTCTGTCGCGCGACTTCTGTTCGTCATGTTACTAATCAACCATCGATTGTCGGTTTCTGTGTCCTTCAGTACCCTTCATAAAAACATCGGACTTCTGGTGCTACATTTGTCCCTGTTAACATTTGATGCTGTATAATTTCTCTTTGGACCAAAAAGTAAACAGAAACGGACAGAATAACTATAATTTTTGTAGCTTACTCCCCTCCAGGATTGAGTTCTCAATGTGCACGCGCAGCCCTGATGAGAGCGCTAGCCCCTTAGCCACATTTCTGGGCGATTCACTCTGTTTGCCCCCGTTCCCGTCTCCTTCTGACTGAAGCTTCAGGACGACTGTTGTTTTTCTGGTAATTGGGGAAGAAAGGTAGCCCCCCAAGTCACGCTAACCCAACCAGCTACCGTCGGTGAGCGCTGCCAAGCCACGGAATCAGCAGACAAACTGATGCACTCACCAATATCCGCGAGAAGCTGGGGGTTAGGCCACTTAGTTTTTCTCGTGCAGTGTAACTATCAAAACGTAGAAGGTGGGCGGAGCAGGCAGGAACGACTCACTCGACAGCCAAAAATCCTGCAAATCCCGAGCTACGCACCTGATGACGCAAGCGCTTATTCCTCGACTGTTACCCCTCGGGACAAGCAAAGGGGTTTACTCTTGATTGCCTGCAGCAGCAGGGACGCTCAGCGTATCCGCAACACATCACTATGATGAACGAATCTAGACCAACGGTTCCTCTGGGAACGAAGGGGCCCCATAGTAAACGACATTCCAACCAACAAAAAATGCCAACAGGTAGCCTCAGTTCCAAACCTTTCTTTTTCATCAAACCCTGTACCAGCATCCCACAGTGTGTGGTGGCATGCCCTTTCCTTCCCTCCTCGCTGCTACCTTATTTTGCTTTGTCCAGGATACACTAACCTAGTAGCCTGGCTTGTTCGATTCTGTTCCTACACCCCTACTGTCTATCCCATCGCCCCATTGCACGTATCCGTTTTTGTTGTGACTACTTGTTGAATGCGCAGTAGCCAACCAACCTTCGGCGGGTCCTCCAGGGGACACCGGGGATTCCCCTCCTCCATATCCTGCTGATAAGGAGGATGTATCAATGCCTACACCTTCAGGGGAGGGGGAAATCCCTCCAAGCCCTAGCCAGCGTGTTGTTGTCGCACCCCCACCCACTTCGCGTGTGAGCAGGACCCTGTTGTTGTTGGGAGCGTCCCCACCGCCTCTTTCCCAAACTGACGGACGCTTTCCATCAACGAATATGGCTGTTTCTAAATCGGAGCGTGATGCTCTCACAGAGGAGGGAACCCTCTTTTCTCCCCAGAGGAAGGACCAGCTCCCTGTAACCGTCAGTTTTTGTGGTCTGTGTACATAGGGCGTGCTTGGTTACAATTGCTGGTCTCACCCGCCACCTTCCCGGCGTGGGCGATTAATCATATAAGGAGACAATTCCGACAATTGTGCACAGCACGAAGGCGTTCCTTTTGTATACACTCGTATGCGCAGGCGAATTCCACCACCCCGACGCCTCTGGCTGCAGGAGCAACATCTGGTGAAGGTGCCGTTCCAGGGGCACCAGCATCGCCTATTCTTGTTGCTCCAGCAGACGAAACACTTCCAAAGCCTTCTGACACAGTAGGCTTAGCTGATGGAGCCACTACTGACGGCGCACCTCTGTGTGTTGTAACTATTGATGACTCGGCACTTCATACATTACCATCCGGAGAGGTACAGAGACGCGCCCCCGTCAATCCCTTCCACTCTCCTCTACTTGCTAAATTTGGAATAGGGAAAAACAGGAAAAGAAGGAGAAAAGTTAAGGATCCGAAACTCCTGGACAACCCACTCAGAGGAAGACTCGTTGTCTGCATCAGCACGACAGCTCTTCTTGTGTGGCTGTTTTTGTGGGAGTAAGCCAGAGGGGTCAGAGTCTAGGGCTTAGAGGAAAGGTTAGGACGCTTAAGATGTTTTATTTGAGAACATCTGTACCACCTAAAAGAATGCAGTAGCTTTTGACCAGTATGAAAGATAAAAACTGAAATATTCGTTGTGCTAAACTGCAGATTTTGACGATTTGTGGGCCCGAGGCTTATGTGCATTTGTGCCCACATCACGATTTGTGTGCTCTCTGTGCGCTCCATCAGACTCCTATACAACTACACCAGCTTCAACGGCCGTTGTGTGAGTCAGGTGCAGTACCCAGACTACAAGATTGATAAAGTTGAAGATAGGGCTCCAATGGTTATTCGTTATGGCTACGGGGCCTGCCAGTACAATTTGGGCTCCTTGGCGTACCCCAGAGTGGCTGTAGGGAATTCAGCAGGAGATAAGGGCTGGCCCACGGACTTAGTGAAGAACGGCTCTTCTGGTTCTCATTCGGCCTCATGGGATTCTCCAAATGGCAGAATTTTGTCGGCATTTGGTGGTCTGGAAACCAACTTAATGAGGAACTATGGCGAATCGTGGAGAGTGTTTACTTCAATGTACCTGCATGGGGGGTTTTTGCATATCTGCATCAACCTGCTGTGTCAGATCCAAAGCCTTTGGATGCTGGAACCGGTATGCGTTTTCTTTCCCAATTTTCGAACTGTAGCTTTGTGTCTCGTACATTCCTCGACGGTGAAACCGTACACCGTCATTCATAAACCGGGAGCTCTGCCCGTGCCTCACTTGCATACTTGCTTTGCAGGATTGGGGCCTTTGGCGAACAGCATTGCTGTTTTTCGTTGGAGGAGTGTCGGGGAATTTGCTATCCGCCGTTGCCGATCCCTGCAACATCACTGTTGGCTCGTCTGGTGCAATGTATGCTCTCATGGGGGCCCTAATTCCTTACTGTGTCGGTGAGCCATATTCTTCGCCACTATCTGCATGTCTCTTGCTTATTTGTGTCATGTTCTTGCTCGTACATCACCGAGGTCTTCTTTTACTTTCTTTGCTTTGCGGCTTGTGTGTTGCATTACTCATCAGGGAAGTTTGTGTGTTGTTTTTCTCAGAGTACTGGAAAACCATTCCTAGACCCTGTTGTATCTTAATCTTTTTCATTATAGTTCTGGTGGGCTTTCAAAGCAGTAGTATTCTGAAGTCGTCTCACGTATTCTTGTTGTTATCACCTGGGCATCATGCTTCTTGGCCCCCTGTCATGCATCTCCTCTGCTAATCTCTCTTGCTGTCCCCGTGCCTTCCACTTTTTCTCTCCTTACTGCCTCTTTCAGTCCTCGCTGGTTCCTCTAGCTGACTGTTATTTTTGTCCTTCTGACAGTAGCCGTCACCTAGCTCTGCTCTAGATTCTCCTCTCCATAGTGCATCTGGTTGAGCCTGATAGCTTACCGTATATTGTCATCCCCTGCTATCCCTTTGTTTTTTGTCAGTTAATTGGAATCCTAACAGGCATGTCCGGATTCACAGACAACTACGCGCACATTGGGGGCTGCGTTGGTGGCATTCTTTTCGGTTTTGCGACGATAACAACTGTTGCTGCGTGTGATAAATGCACGTTGGGTGAAAGAATGGCGACGACGAAGCCGTTCAGCTACTGCGTGCCGAAGAATACACAAGAAAGGTTGCTGCAAATGGCGGAGGCCAGGAGTATGTCGAGCACGAAGGAATGGGCTACAGTGCAAGGGTCTTGTTTGCCCTAAAGATATTCATCCCAGAAGCTCTTCAGTTCGATCGAGCTGCTTGTATAGTTTTGGGAAAATTTTTTTCTTCATTCAGTATCTGGTGTCTGTTGTCGGCTGTTCCTGACTTACAGAAACTGAAGCGATGAACCGGCGAAGAGCGGGGGCCATGAGAAAGAAAAAGGCAGGGGGCGCAAGGGGGAAAGCAATTAGGGTAGTCAAGATGCAAGTTGAGGAACAAGGCAGGCCTCCTTGTAAAATGGCTCTCCGAGAATGGATCGTCAGGATAGCGTGCGTTGCTGGCTTGGTAAGTTCACAAATACTTCTCGTACAGCGTCTGGTGTTTTTTGCCCAATATTTGAAGCTATTCGTTCTCTACTTTTTCACTACTCACATAGTCATTTGTTTATATCGTATTTAAAAAAAAGAAATTTGTAGTTTGCCTCTGCGTGTTACTCTAATCGCTTTACGACCTCCGTTCACAGACCTTTTTTCTTGCCGCAGTTACTCTTGTATCTTGCTAATCTGCTATTCTTGTTGGTCGAACAGCTAGCGGAAAGTCTCTCCACAACGCAGATGCCGCGCTTACACCCCGACTGTTTCGTTCTCTGCCCTCTGCAGATAACATACTGGGCTGCTCTCTTCGTGGCACTGCTGAACGAATCAGTGTACAAGGATTATGAGCCACCTGGGCAGCTGAAGTTTGAAGGCTGGCTCTACTGCAAGTGTGGCATTATTAAATATGAAGCACGGCAGACAACGTGGAACAAAGGCATGTTTTGGTGTTTCGGAAACGACCAGGATGCTAATTTCTATCTTAACGCGTGAGTAGCAGGAAAGAGGAGGATGTTGGATGAACAATCGACAACACAGCGCGAAGAGCATCTCAGGGAAGGAAGAAAGAAAGAAGTCGAAGGAAAGGATGAGAGGAGGAATAATGATTAATGGAAGAACACAAGTGTAGAGGCGAAAGAAAGACAAGGAGAAGAGGGGAAAAGAGGTTGGGTATAGTTTTGAAGCTCTGGTAGGATAACGTGATAAACCAGAAAGGTTGCCGAGTCGGAAGAAACAGGAAATGGACAGGATAAGGGAGAAACGAAACGAAAATATAACATGAATTTTCATTTTCTTAACTCCATAACTATTTTGTGTCGTATCGCTAATTCATAAGCGATCTGTTTAACCATAATGAACATACTACTTGGCACCAATTTGCTTCTTGTGAAGCTCATTCTCCCTGTAGCAATTTCCTTGCTTCGAAGAGAGGTTTAGGCCCTACCTTCGCTTGTTAGGGCTGAGCAAGTCACCAACTCCTCTTAAAGGAAAGTTCTTGGGCAATCATTCCAGGGGACGCGGATCTTTGTGGATGGCTATTTCGTCCATCTAATGAAACGGTAAAGAGGGATTGTCAGCGGAACCCCATCAGGAGGTCCTGTCTTTCAGCGTGACCGTGTTGGACACCTTTTGAATTGGCCTCATGAAAGGGCCTTGATGGTGGAGCGGCAGGGGAGAAAGAGGATTCAGCATCAGTGGCTGGCTTTTAAATGAGGAATAATCTGTGCAAAACAAGAGGATTATTGAAAGAAAACCAAGAATCCCTTTTCATTTTACTGTCTTAATGAGGGACTGTGGCGCTGCCTCTTGCTGCGACCTTGGCTTCGACTCAATTATTTAGTTTATGGCAGTTGAGTTGTCTCAACGCTCTGCACGGCAAGTTCGGCGAGTTAAGCGTAAAGGCACTTGCCCCCGCGTGTCTGTATTTATGACTTTCTGCTTCTAGGTTTACGCATAGTAGTGCATGTACTCTTGCTGTCCAGTGTGCGTAGAATATGGCTTCAATCAACTCATTCTGCCCGCTTCTTCTTAGATGTGTCTGCGCCCTTTTCTGTTTCCATGTCCTGAGAACATGCTTCCTTGGGCTACTTTCCCCTCCGCAGCGTGCTGCGGTAATAGAATGAAGTCGTCCATCACGATTTATCTACCTAGCTACCAGTATACCTATCCACCTTACTCTCCCCTGACTTTGATGAATAATATGTCAACAATTCACTTTTGTTGGAACGAAAGCTCAGCCTCGACAGCTCGGGGTGAAGGCTTAATAAAGTTGTAAATGATCTTTTGGGGTAATAGACGAGGAAGGAAAGGGGAAAAGGATGGAGGCCACACCTTGCACACCACTCTCCCGCAGACCATAGAACTGCTGATGCAGCCGTAGTTTCGGCTATCATGAGACATACCTGAACGGACATCGAACATATATCAACCTATTGTCCAAGCGATTCTTGCTTCCACTTCCGATATAAAAAATCATGTGGAAATATAATAGAGGGCTATTTAATGGATAACACGAAAGTCAGTGGTGAGAAGTGTGGAATACATTCGCAAAGCCAACAGTATTCAGGGAACACAACCTAACAAGTAACAAAACTTTCCACCTCTTGTACATATAAGCATTTGAATGGACAGATTAAACGCATCAGAAAACACAGTTCTACCCCTGCCCCACCCATGCCATTCACTTTATCGCAGATGCAAGCCGTTCTGCATATGCACTTTTACTCAGAACAACAGGGGGAACAGATGCTGTCATATTTCGAATTCCCGCAGTGTGAGATAAAAGACAAATTCATACGGCTCCAACAAAATAATACGACTGTAGCGCTTAACATACAGGCAGATCAAAGCTGTGAGTGCAGAAGAAAGTAACTAGGGGAAAGAAACAGGTGCTTACTTGGGTTGTCACCTTGTAACCAAACGGAATGCTCAGGCACCTCCACAACTTTTCGGTCTTCCTCGTTACTAAGAAAAATCTGGTGCTCTTTTCCTGCCGGAGCGTGAGTAAAGAACACATCTCCTTCTACCCCAACCACCCGCTTGCAAACAACGCAGCCGTCTTCAGGAGAATGAGCAACCACTATATCACCCCTTCGTATGACAGCGATACCAAGAAAAGAGGATAAGAAAAGAGACAGGCGCTCATAAAATAATACATCTCCAGAATCCCTTATTGTGGGGCTCATTGATAAACCGCGGGCCTAGAAGCAGATAACAGCAAGGACGTGATTAAGAGTCAACATTGGTGTAATCCACGGAGACGACAAAAAAAAGCAGTCTGCAAGAAGTGACAGCGTGATTATAACAGCAAAAACACCTAAAGACTGAACAACAAGCAACAACGACAGGACTCCTATTCACTGCCAGGCTTTCAATCAGCCACTATGGCTCGTACAGGAACAAATGAAAGTAGGAGCTGAACTGCGACCACCATTCTTTGAGAAGCTTTTAGGCAGCGCCTTACCTGTTTTGTAGATCCGACATAATTCTCAATAACGTGAAGAGCGCCGAACGCAAAGGCAAAGCGGCCAGAGATGGAACAGAGGGTTTTCCCCCAAAAGTATAGTCCTTGAAGTGTGCGGGCAGCTGCTTTCATCTTAAGAATGTGAGAAGACCATGCGAAAAGCAGGAAGCACTTATGAGTCGTTGCCCCGTGGATGTTGGGGCATGCATATATTCATCAGAATGACTAGGTCCAGTAAAAAAATGCAAGTCCTGTGGACGTGCAGCTGCAGCTATTAACCGTCAAGCTTCCCGTGCTGCACCTTTCAGCTCTGGACGAAGCTCATTGCCTCTCAGCGTAAGCATATTATTATTCAAAGTAGAGAACTTTGTTGAAATTTTTAAACAGTGGAATTTTTGAAGGTCAGTTACCCTGTATATGACGATGGACATACAATGAACAGCTGTCCAATTCCATTCCCTGGATCCATGGCGTGAGTTGAAGATGATTGGACAGAAAAGCACGAAGATGCGAAATGACAATTGGAGGGAAACCGCGAAGTTATGCACGGCTGAGAGCGATCAGGAGGACAGAATAAAAGCCAAGAAGGGAGAGTGCCGGCTATGCACAGATTTAATGTCAATGCTCCGGAGTGCAAGATAAACAGAAACAAAGAAGAGAGGAAGGAGATACATTTGTTGGTATTTTAATCCATCCTGCTACCCACCCAACGTTTAACGGAAGGAAAACGCAGGAAGCCAAGCGGCCAAAATGTTGTTTTAGCGCCTGAATAAACAGTAGAAAACAATATATTTCTTGCGGCTACAACAAAACAGTCAACCCTACCCCGCCAACTGCAAGCTATTTTAACGTGGTCTCCTAAAGGTCCCCCTACTAGGGGGCCCCCCAGTAGGGAAACATCGGGTTTAATGCGAAAAGTATGAGTGAAACCTATTCGTTGATTCTTGTGTTATTTTTTGTTGAAGAAAACTAGTAAATTTACCGCAATCTGAATATTATGATCAAAACACGCAATAAGATAGGAGGAGAGTGCTTCCAGTTTTCTTTTCAGCGTCCCGTGATCCCATCGATTGTTCTCCTGTGTAATGCACACTCAAAATAGCCATATGCGTCTTTTAGATGACATCCTTTCTCCACCGCTTATCCAATGAAACAAGTAGCAGCTGATGTTTCCCCCCTGGGTTCATGACAGGGTCGGGGCCCAACGGGGGACCGTCTCAGCTATTCCTTTCGAAGGCCAACAAGCGGCTCCGTTTAAAAACCAATGGCGCTTGGGAGCTGTACTACTTTTTCTGTGCCTCCTGGCACTTCTCGCAGAAGCAGCCGCTGTGGTGAACAGTGGGACTCACGTGGGAATGTTCACCATGCTGGCTCCCCCCAGCAAACAGACGTGTGCATGTTCCTCGCAGCAGCCCTCCCTTCGTCACAGAGAAGCTGCCGCAGGCACAAATGTATTCCGTAGTGTTTCTATAAGGAGAGCAGCAAGCGCTACCTTCTTGAGTCCCACCGTGCTACAACAGTGGGACCTGCGAGGTAGGTGCGCTCGCAGCAGGAGCAGCGCCAATACATCTTTGTGTGGCTCCCGTTCTAATCGCATCAACGGCAAGAGGCCTTCGGTGCTTCCCTCTCCTTCTCCCTTTCCTGCCGCTCTGCTTCATTTGCTTTCTGGAAACAGCAAAGCCAGAAACAGCAGCAGTCTTCCCAACGAGGTGTACGTGGGGCAGCATGTGAGGATCCCTGTAACCCCATCATCTGATCTAAGTCTTGCAAAGCTTCCCCGGGGACCTCCCAGGCTATTCTCTCCGGATCCCATCCGCCTCGACGCCCGAGGGGCCTTGGTGACACAAGGGTTACCCCTTACCCGACTCAGGTGGCCCCAAGACGCAGAGCAGCAACAGCAGCAGCAAAACCAACCACGTGAAGAGCAGAGTCAGCTAAAATCGGTGTACGGAGAGCCTCTGACATTTGAATGCCTGTGTGAAAGAGGGGATAGGCACCCAGAGAAGAAGACATTTGGTGAGGAGGCCCCCCTCTTTAAGCACCACCTGCACTTTGGTTCTCCCCCTTGGCCCAATGCCATTATCCAGATGGCGAAAGAATACAACGCGCAAGTGCGAGAAGATGGTAAAGAGGAAGAGACGGTGCCCGAAGAATGGATTTGCGTGAGACTAGGGCTACGATAACGGGTTGACGGTTCTTCGCTAGTGAGAAGGGACTCCATGAGTCTCCTCTCACTGACGCAGAATGACGCATTACAATGAATTTTGGTGGAACAGCCTACTAGCGGTAGCTTTGCAGTTACGGTGTCTGTGATGGGTGCTGTTGTTATTGGAGTGACTGATTCTGCTGCAGTTTGGTCAGTACGGCTGTTTTGGATGCTCAGGATACGCTTTTCTGTGATGAGAGAGGACGGGTTCTTCGTGTGCAAGTGAGAAGCGTTAGATTTCAGCATTTGCCTCGTAGGAACCAGACTTTTATGCTACTGATTTAAAGCTTCCATGCCCCGAAAACTCCAAGTTTTCTGTTGGGAACCGCCTCTTCGTTAGGCTGTGCGCCTTTCCTTCATATCTTCTGCACGCAACGGTTACCTGTCTGTTTTCATGTGTGGTTCCTGCTAAAGCTCATTCAGCCACTAGAACACTTCCCTGACGCCCCTCTCTTTGTGAAAATTGTGAAGCATTCTCAAGTATCATGCATCTTGATTTCTTATTGCCTGTAAAATAACTAGTGGACGTGCATACAAATGCCGGCAATATGCGATACCATACAGAGTCAAATATCGAACGATAGAAATTAACGCACTGCTCAAAACCAAATCATAATGACTGCTGTGATCATTGTGCAACCCGAAGTATGTAAATTTACTTACTGTTATCGCCGTTTATATAAGCTTGTATTTTTCTCCTATTTTTAGTGGATTTTGCTTGACTATCGTTTCTCAGGAGAATAGTGCTCCCTATGGTGGCGAGGATGAGCCTGAGTCAGGCGCGACTACGTGGGAACTGTTTAAGCTTCGAACGGAACAAGGGAAAAAGCAGACGCCTCATAGATTTGTTGTGACAGCTCCTGTGAGTTACAGTAGTCTTGTGCCAGCCCCGTAGGTGTGATGGAGGGCGGCAGCTTCTCTGCTTTGATTCCGCTTGATGTATGTTGTCCTTGGTGGCACGTTTTACTACGTAGATCAGCAGCATATGACCACGGAAAGTGAAAGCAGAAGATCTCTGAAAGCAAAAACACGACCGCTGCGTGCCAAGTTTGATCTCGTTGTAGATGTGCATCCGTCTTTCGGTGTCTGGTTGCTCCATCCTGCTTTCCACAGGCTGGTTACGTCGCGGAGGCTGGTATAACCGTAAGTATAATTGCTCAATTTCTTCTCATGTCTGCTATCCATGAAGCGGCTTTGCATTCTTATGCCAATCGACTTTACATTTCTTTCTATCCGTTGTCCTTTTCTCACCTCTATTCTACTCGTAATTTTGCGTGTGCTTAAATTCTTTGTATGGTTCTCGGTATTTTCCCTCATCTTTTCTTTTTGTTGTCTGCTGTTGGATAAGGCTGTCCCGTAACTTCTCTCCTTGTGTACTTCTCGATCTAGCCAGCTGCGTATTTGCCGTTCATATTTCGGGATGTTGCACCCAATATCGTGCTGCGTTTTTTCTGGCGCACACATATTCTCAGGTCGGTGATCAGCTTCCGATGCTGAGCGACGAACAACTGGAAACGGTATACAACAATCATTTTGCTCTCCCCCAAAACTTCAGGGAGCCTCTCATCCTCCCAGATGGCACTTGTATTCCCTGAACTCCAGCCACACCTATTCGCTGACTTTTGTCGAGGCACGATTGCAAGAGCTCACGTTAGAGGCTGAACTGCACAACGATCACTCTTTTCTTAGAGCACTTGATTCGCAAATGTATAACCGTATTTTTTGCTGAAAGATTCATGTCCATCTGCGGCTCTAAACACCCTGTGGAAGTCAGGGCACCCCGGCTTAGAAGAATTTTCAGCTAGGAACTGCACCTGAGATTAAATTATTTACGGAAGTGACACGTCTCTCAGGCCTACTCCAATAACACTACTCACGGAGTTAAACTCCGAGTACTCATAGATGAAGATAGATGCTCTCCTAGATATTTTTCTAAAAACAAAAGATACGGTTGGGATTTCCTACTCCTCAGTGAAGGGAAAAGTTTCCAAAAGGTTCGCTGGCCGTAGTATTGAATGTGACAATAGAGCACGCATGCCTGATTCGCTCTCAAGAAGCAAAGTGGTGGGTTTCTTGCGCGTCCTGTGTCTCTCCGTCTTATCTCGTTAACATGCTGAAACTACCCTCGTCTGTCCACCTTTACCCTTCATACTAGAAGCCGAGTGTCAGGAAAAGCGGATTAAGGGCGAGTAGCACCGTGTTTCCCCAAGTTCCCTACCTTCTTTTCACTCACTACGGTCTGTTTGCTGCACCTATCATCATGAATGGTTTAGGTTCGTGGCAAATCATTTTTCCCGATACACCAAGTTGGCTCTAAAAAGTGCTACTCAGGCCAAATATGTCCTGAAGAGTATATCGAAAAAGCCGATGCACCAGAAGCCGGTGCGCTAATGCTGCGACTGAGCAAGCATGTACACAGCGTGGAGCGAAGGGAGTCAAGGATATAGTTCCCAGAGCCGTGTGGATTAGAGTATCATTCAATCACCGACTCGTGTAAATATTGCCACACACTTCCGTTTCACCCAACTTCGACCGATCAAGCGAGAGGGCGAATCCCTCCTTTGCTGCTACTTTTGGTACGCGTGGATATTGTCTTTCTTGAGTGTATCCGAAATAGCTGTACCCTTTAATCTCGCAAAATTCGGCGCTAGCCCTTCTAATTGGTGTAAAAGCCCCATAGTGCTCAAATTTGTCTAATTCCCTCCCAACGAGGATACCAACTTGTGCACCAAAATGGCTTCGAGGACCATTTCCTGCACGTAGAAATTGCGCCGAGCATACCCTTCCAATCAACCTTCCATATTCAAAATTAACCAGAATCTATTCATTTTGATGGTGCTCTTGGATTGGGTCTTCTCTTGCGGAGGAAAGACAACTAAAGAGGCAAAAGCTGGTCTAGGGAGTCATGTCAGTTGGAATGTGGGAAATAGAAAGTGGTTGCTTCACACCTTTCGCTAATACTCGTTTTCGATAAGCTGGAGAATGTGCACTTGGTGAGATAAGAAGCCACAGACACTTTCACCAGAACGGCCAAGGCTGTCGTAAAGGAAGACTTCGACAGACGTATCCCACACGACGAGTCAGTCTTCTAGCTACCACCGTGAGGTGAATGTGAGTTAGTACCCCATGCCTCTAATGTATTTGAATATATAATCAAACCATGGATTCTATGTGTGATAGGCATTATATGCTCGAAACTCAGGTGTGGGTGCATGCGAGTACCTAAATCAACAGCCAAAGATAGGGCCTTAGCTTCGGGTGGGTATCAGAACATCTAAGGCGAAACCGAGATTACCTATTGGTCTGTGTAACTCTCCAGCGTACGCCTCAACGACAGGATGCGCTGCGTACCGCGGCATTGGGCAGACGTGTTCTAGGCGAGAGGTATTTCCTCACAGTGGAACTCCATGGGTCTCCTGGTACACAGCTTTGTACGAGGAGGAACGATTCGCATTCATTGGATCTCCTGAAGAATACCGAGCGTGCCAAAGATTAACTCATTGGACTGCCTCTTCGAAGAGCATTTTACACACAGAGCACCCTTGAACTTCTATATGGAAATAATGCAATAGCTGCAGTAACACTTGATGTCCCAGAATACGTCGACGCAACGTGCAGGCGTCTGCCTTGCAAGCATGCAAATGCCCAGTTTACTACCACTTCTGGCGATACTCATAAGGTTAACAATGGCTATGAATTATTCGTCTTCATCTCTTTTCTCTTCTTGCATCTGCACGAAATATATGGGTAAAACCCCTTTAACAGCAACCGCCACCACACTCTGGATGCTCCGACAGGCTGCAAGAGGCCTTATTAGCTTATGGCGAAGGGAATGGCTTCTCTTTCATGCATTAGGATCATGTGGTGGATTGTGTATTTTAGGGGCACGTTTCATGTGCTAAGGTGCAAGGATCAGTGCTGGACATATCTCCTCGCTAACGTACACCAGCGCTCTATCGTGTAAAATTAACTAATCGCAAACCCTGTTGTCACAACAGTATTAAGGAGGGTTGTAAATTGATGACGCCATAGTCGCTTTGTGAAGGGCACGCATGAGCTCATAAAAAGGCGGATATGAATCTAAAACTGCTGTCCTTAGAGCCTCACGATGTGGAATCTGCAATTTTGAAGAGCGCTGATGTGATTTGCTTCTCTTATTGAAACGATTCGTCAAGTAACCCCCATTCTAATGGTGATCAATGTGAAAGGTCGTGCCATATACAACTGAAAGTCGATTCGACACAATTCCGGAAGTGTGCATCGGCAATATGCCTTCAACAGCCTTTTGGCAGGTGTTCATAAATGATCGCAGAGCAAACGCTTCTAGTAATTTAAATCCTCCAGAAGAGTCAAGTCATTTACCGCCTCGGCCAGACCAAAAAGCTTACTTCTGGCATTCGAGGATGGGGCACATCTTCTGGACACGCACTTGTTCAGGGATCAATATTCTTCCTAAAAAGCATATTGTTGACTTGTTTTAAAGCCTTTCACGTACGACTTCGCCAGAATCCAGACGATGTGCTTCGAAGTTGTGCTGCTTTGGAGGATCTTGGGGACGCTTAAACAGCTTTTATGGGTCTCGTGAACATGATGCAGCATGTGTTCTAGCATAGTTCTTTCTTTTAAGCGTACCGAATTGCATGCGCATTGTATATAATGCTATACTTGTTGGATCTGCTTAAGCTAGGAAAAAATACCGCTTAATATATGAATAAGATCTCCTTCCTCGTGCTGCTAAACACAGTGTTACTCTGCCACTATCTGGGAATCCCAAGTTGGAGGCATAGCAGTAGTAATTTCTTGATATCTGGCAAACTGCATGCATAAATGAGTTCTTGCAAAATGATTTCCTCATGAGGTATTCAACAGTGTATAGTGTAGACTGTGCAAGATTTCACGCCAGACGACATAGGATCTAAAAAGAATGGAGGGAGCTAAGTCACACATGACACCATTGATATTCGTGCAAGTTTGGTTGCTGTGTCATGGGAGAGGCCTGGGCCCAAGTACATTAGCGGAGATCCTCAAACCCGGCGCCGGAAGTTCCTCCGAGGGTCCAATCAGCTGAGTAGACAGTGTGAGTGAGAGAGGCACAGTGGTCATGAAGGCGCAGGGAGAAAGAGTAGAAAACCTTGAAAACTAGCGAAAAAACGAATGCGGGACCGAGCAGATATGAAGACGGCGGCAGAATGCCTCACTATCTATAGAGTGCTGACATTTCTGAGTCTCCTGCTACAGAACACAATAAAGCAAGTAAAATGTTTATGGAGAACCAGACATTCACTACTATGGGACTGACTCAAATGTTCATGGAGAACCAAACATTTACTACTACAGGACTAACTCACGCCTCGCAAAGTAGTTTCGGTGCCAGTACGATCGGTGCACGCAAGAAATTCGATTTCCTACACTCTCGTAAGAATGCAGACTAACGAGTCTAGCGTGTCTGCGCATAAATGCGAGTCTAGGAAAGTCTAAACAACTAAAATCGGGAAGATTTCCAGCAATAGTTCTCAATAAACGTGAGTAGTTTAGGCAGAACATGTGATGAGAAAGGACAACTTTCACGCCAGGCGAGGAGTAGCATCTACCAAGAATAGCGTTGGGATCCAAACACAGCAGCGAATTCGCCCTCAAGCACCTAGACCCACACCTGCCACTTCATCAGCCACCGAACGTGACCATGTTTACTTGAAAAGCATGTCTAGTGCTGAATAATCGTAGACTCAAACACTTTTGCAGGGCCCGGTAAATCTTCCACTCCCGCATGGCTCACCTGTCAATGCGGACAAGAGTGCAAATTATTTGAGGATCTTGAATGTGTGTCAATGATGTAGAATTTCCAGCTCTCGGCCAAGTCAATGAAATTATCGATTTGGGAGAGCATCGCAAATGATCCTACCCATCTGACGGCAAACTTCCTCTTCAGGTCACCTTCAGGTCAAACTTGAAGACCCCACGGATCCACTAGCACCCAATCTACATGTACGATACTCGTACCTGGCCACCACTCGGCATAATTGAGTGGTGTTGCTTTTGCGCTCCAAGAATAGAGTCGCCTGCACTAGTCAGCTGTTCCTCATAACCCGTGATCTGCCAAGGGTGGGTGCTGAGTCCCGAATACCGGATCCGGGCGCGTCTGGAGAGGAAGTCTGTATAGGCCACAAATGAGGCGGACCTACTATTATATTTATAATCCACGCAGTGCAAGGGAAAATTTCATGCTAAACGATTGAATCTGTGTGAGCACAGGTTTGCAAACATTGCAGAAGAGTGCAGGTGGTGTGCTCCGTCTGCCCCTCTGCCTGAGAGTTGTTTGCAGTGGTGATGTTATAGTCTACGTGCAGGTAGGTCAGCAACGCACACCAAAAAGGACTTACAAGCCTTCAAGTTACTGTCTGCGAAAAAACTAGGGCGCGGAATGAAACCGGTACCTTTTGCTAAGTCTGCCAACAACGAAGTTCATGCTATTCTGACCCTTGACCACTGGCAATCCAACAACGAACTAGCTAGATCAGTTTGACTCTTTCACGAACCAGCACATTATGCAAATTTCGAGGGGTTTTAGAAAGTGAGGAGGCTTCAGCTTCTGACG